TTCCTCCCGTCCCACCACCTCTACCATCGTAAGCCCCGCGGCTGTGCCTACCCGCCATACTTATAATGCAGAACATAGTTGCATTGCATCTACATACACCCATTTACATGGTTCCCTTCCACTGAAGTTGGGAACCGGTCGGTAAAATATGCACACATCCACACATCTACACATCTTCGTTGTTGGTTCCGATGCAAGGAACCACCGCAGCTGTCTCGGATAGTTACCGAGCAATGGTAGTAGGTAATAGGACATCGCGCTTCAACAGCAGCACTGCAGACAGCACTTTATCTGCGACGAAAGTGACACCGGAGACTCGGGCAAGTTTGGCGAGAGTTATGTTGGGGGGGAATACAGAACGAGAGGCGCGGGCAAAGACGGTTAGCAGATGGGAGAAATAATAAGATACATCCCGACGTAAACAGAGGGATACTAAACCGCTGTTGACCTACCTGGGTTTGGAAGTGAACATCAAATGCATTGGTACAATTGACTCTGTTGCTATCTAATGCTTCGCTGTTGTCCATATATGAGGACGAGACACTACACTACCGGCTGGCTGAACAAATGACTGTATGGTAAAAAACCGAGTAAACCGCATGAGTCCATTATTCGTTTCAGAGTGGGAAAAGAACTGGGAATGACAGAAGGAGTGGAGTGGTTCAGTTACACTGAGTATCGTCGGTGACCTTCGAGCACCAACACGCACCAACGGCAAGCCGCTGATACCAACCACAGCACCAGCTATGCAACGAAACTAAAATCATAACTCCGTGACTACAACGCACACAGATGGCTGATGTGGAAGACGAGATAGCCCGATTCAAAGACGACTCTCGATGCTCGGATAATCGTGCTCGCTAGGCCACTGGCCGTCCGGCCAAACGTAGCGAATGGCTTCCCAGATATGACTACGGTTATGGTAAGGGTATGGTTAGCAAATCAGGTGCCTGAAACAGCCAGCATTGAGGAGAGGGTTCTGGGGAAGGAGTATCAGACATCAGACAACAACCTACCTGACATGGATGATTTCCAATCCATCCTTGACTTCCTGGGGTAAGTCCTTTGCGTCCTTGCGGTTCTGCGCCGGGAGTAGGACTGTCTTGACACCCGCCCGGAGCGCTCCGATGAGTTTCTCCTTGATGCCTCCGACGGCCGTGATCCGTCCTCGGAGGGAAATCTCACCCTGTGACACAGAAACAAACGCCGTGTTAGCCTTGCACACATCACATGGAAGCACGGTATTTCGTCCTCTTATCCATATCGGGAAAGTCAAACGGACGTAAGATCCGCTTTGCCTTGCTCTGGTTTCGTTGTGTTTCGAGTCCCAAGAAAAAGAAAAGGCAAAAGACAGGTAATGGAACTAAAGAGGGGTGACGGGACCAAAGTGATGGGATTGGGAAATGCTTACCGTCATGGCCATTGTTGGTGGGACAGCCTTGCCGGAAAACAGGGAAATGAGAGCGATTGCCTGCGAGATGCCGCTGCTGGGTCCATCTTTGGGAACGGCACCGGAGGGGCAATGCACATGAATGCTCCTGTCCTTCATAATGTTCTCACTCGGGCTCTGAGTGAGTCCAAGCTCATATGCGTGTGCCTTGACCCAAGTTAGGGCCACCTCGACACTCTCTTTCAACACATCACCCAGTTTGCCTGTCAGCTGGACGCTGCCGTTGCCTGGCATGTCGGCCACCTCGATGAAGAGAATACTACCATTTCCACCCGAGCTGTACGCTACCAGACCAGTCACTATTCCTGGACGGCTAGTCTTCTCGGCGATTTCCTCTTCAAACTTTTCAATGCCCAAAAACTTCTCCAGATCATCCACGGTCAGTTGCGGGTTGTAGTTCTCAGGGTGTCCCGAGTCCTTGGCGTCGGCGAACTCGACGGCTTTGCCACGCGCAACGGACGAGATCTCCCGTTCTAGGTTGCGCACGCCGGCCTCCCGCGTGTACGACTCGATGATTTTGGACACGACCTCTGGGGTGAAGGAAACCTGTGATTCGTCAAGGCCGTTGACCCGGAGTTGCTTGGGGACTAAATGCTGCATCGCAATGTGGCGCTTCTCGAGAGTCGTGTAGCCCGGAATGTAGATCGTCTCCATTCGATCCAGCAACGGTGCCGGAATGGTGTCGAGACTGTTCGCTGTGGCGATGAACAGTACCTTGCTGAGATCAATTGGCACGTTTACGTAGTGATCGGTGAAGTTATGGTTCTGCTCAGGGTCGAGAACCTCGAGCATAGCCGCCGAAGGGTCGCCGTGAATGCTTGAGCCGCCAACCTTATCAATCTCATCAAGGAGGAAGACAGGGTTTGCTACGCCTACTTTCTTCAAACCCTGAACAATAAGGCCTGGCATGGCGGCGACATAGGTACGTCTATGACCGCGGATTTCCGCTTCGTCTCTCACACCACCAAGAGAAATTCTATGGAATTTCCTTCCCAGAGCAGTGGCGACTGATCGAGCAAGACTCGTCTTCCCAACACCTGGAGGTCCGACGAGGAGGAGGATGGGAGACTTGTCCACCATGCGCCTGCTCTTCAAAGCCTCAAGCTTGGCTCCACCGGCCTTGACCTTTTCATGAACACCAAGGTCGATAGGAGAAGATTGAGCAGCGTCTTCTTTACTGCTCTCGGATGCTACCCCGAGTTCCTGTTCGAGCTGTTTAATCTGGCTTTCCACGTCATCGTTGATGGCTTGCTTGAGGCGAAGGACTGCTAGATACTCGAGCAGGCGCTTCTTGACCTTGTCTAGTCCATAGTGATCATCGTCGAGTTGCTTCCTTGCCCGGTTCAGCGTATCGGGACCTAGGCGATCATCCGTAGTAGTTGTCCAGGGGATCTCTGCCAAAGTTTCAAGATATGTCCGAGTCACAGCATATTCAGCCTGTGCGGGATGGATCTTTTTCAGTCTCTTGATCTCCCGGTTAGCGACCTTGGCCGCTTCAGGGCTGAGTCGTGCGGCATCAAGTCGTTTCTGCAGCTCCTCAATCTCGTTGGGCTCCTGATCTTCATCCGCATTTCCACCTCGTCCCATGAAGCCGCCCTGTGGTGAAAACGGCATTCCTGCGCCTTGCCCTGGAGCCTTTACAGGCGGCTTGATTTTTCCATGTTTTGCCGCATCAGGGTCCATCGGGAATGGCAAGGTCGTGGCTGTGATGGTGGTGACCCTCATGCTGTTCTTGATGTTTGTTATCTGGCGGTCAAGCAGCTCAATAACCTTGGCCACACGTTCCTTGACGTCGATTAGAGTGAGGATCTCGAGCTTTTCCTCATATGAAGATTCGACAATGTTGGCCATAAAGTCTGCGAGGGCACCGGGATACTTCTGCTTCGCGATGTAGAAGTCAAGGCGCCGAGCAAGCAGAGGTGACAGGCCAGGCGTGCCAGAAGACTGTAGCAGAAGTGAGGACAGGCGGAGGATCGTGACAAACTGCCTGGACAGAAGCTTGAGAGACATAAACAGCTCCTCGAGGGCGGCGTCTGTGATGAGAGCGGGATCGGCGTAACTGGAGACCTTGCCTTCCAGATAAGCCTTGTCCGAGATAACCGTTTCGACGTGAATTCGTGTCACACCCTCGACCAGCAAGGTGAACTCGCCGGTACCACGCCCCTCGACGCCGGTGATCTTAGCAGCAACGCCATATGGGAAGAGATCAGCCTTGGTAGCCTTTGCTGGATCAACATCGTCGGTGGTTTCGGTTCTGTCGTCGCCGTTCTCGATTAGAAGATGCCCCTCTGGTCCGATCAAGGGTGATGCCAGGGGCACGCAGGCAATGGGAATCGTATCGATACGCCCATTGGGGGTTTTGGAAGCCGCCTTCGCGTAAACGGCGGCGAGTAACGAGGCGATGTCGGGTCGGGTAGACGAAACTGCAACGCGTTGGACAACGCCTGGGAGGAGAACGGTCTGTTTGGGAAGGGGAAGAAGCGGTATCGTGACCGTCGGTGCTCGCATGTGAGCCATGGGGACGTCGGCTTATAGTGGAGTTTGATTTGATGTCGAGAAATCCGGGGAATCTGGGGAAACCAGGATCGGTCTTGTAGAACGGCTTTGGAGTCGGTATGTGTGATTATCGGCTTGCTTCTTTGTTGTAACGTTTATGTTATCGTGGTCGTTGCTTCGTATACACAAAATCGAAAAACTCCAATGTGTGTATTCCAGCACCAAATGCGGCAAACGAGATGACGGGTAGTACAGGTAGAGGCGGGTTTGTGGTGTTGTTATGATCAAGGTGCCGTTCTCGGCTCAACGGAAAGGAATATTATTTAACAGTAGAAAGTTTATGCAGTGCGCCTTGGTTGACGTAGGGTTCAACTACAGTCTGCGTCTATGATTTGATGCGATGTTGAAAGTTCGATTCACTGACATCTGATTGCGCCACGGGCTGAAATGGATGATGGGGTGAAACGGCGGCGAGGGGTGACGGGCGGGAAGTCGGGTCACCTCCAGGTCCGCATTCCAAGTGGGCCTCTGTCATGGAATCGGCAACCCTTGATCCATTAACCCAGGGGCACAATCAACCGAGGCAGCGCCAACGTGTTGGAAGGTCCCGCTTTCTCGTGCTGGAAAGCCCCAGATTTCAGCGCATTTAGAACTCAGAATCCACTGGAAACCGTTCGACCCCGCCTGGCAGTCCAGTGAGGTTGATTCTCGGCGAGAGGGGCCAACGTCGGGCACCCAATGGAAGCCGAAGAGGCCGGGGCATGGATAGGTGACACCAGACTAGACTAGTCCCCGCGCCCGTCATCTCCAGGCGGCAGTCCCCTCCATCCCGTCCCGCACGCGCACAACTCCCGGCCATGGGTTTTATCTCAATCGTCTATGTAGCATTCACGTGAATCCGAGTCACATGGCTTCTCCGATGCAATGTTCTAGAACCCCCCGGTGGCTCTCTCCAACGCTTCGAAGTCCGAAATGAGATGTGCTTACCCAACACAATAGGCAACCAAGCAACCGGGGCTCCTGAACTCTTGATAGGACGTGTGCACTCTGTTTCTTGCGAATTCCGGCGAGACTTCCGGAATATCTACAAGTACAGTAGTGATGGGTGGATACGCGGTTGTGTCCTCCTATCTTGGAGTTTCTGCTATAAACTAAACTTGACCTCGCCTAATTTGCTCGGCTTAGCGTTTTACCAGTTATCAGACTCAACTACACACATCTACATCCCTTTAAATTGAATAGACTGTTGATTAAATATATTTCAGCTTGATAGTCAAAATAAGTACATTAAGTAGCTTCACATTTCAAACCTCTTCTTTTCTCTACTGCTAGCCATAAGGGAAACGAGATGTCCAGACCCGGCGATTTGAAAGTTCCCTCCATGGCCTTTACGTTCTAATTGTTGCCATCGTGAAAGGGCAATTCAACGATTAATAAAACCCCATACCTCCAGAATCTTTCCACCTTGCAACTAGATACTCATCCTAACCAGCCACCATCTTTACCTGTCCCACTACACCCCCAGGAATGACCTGCGCAAGATGTGCCTTGATTTATGTTGCTTTGTGGTATCACGAGCTCTTACCTTGGACGCAACCTTGAACTTCAAGCTCAAAAGAGTGAAATGTTGGACTGAGCACAGCTGTACACACATTAGCATGAGTATCAACATTCCAGATCTGATGACGGGAAATACTGCCTCTGTGAATGAACGAGGTGAACATCGAAATCTGACAGTATGCCACAGGACGTTCAGGTGCGAGATAGACATATATAGCACCGAATTATCGTCATCTTCAGGTGGTCTTATCACAACACAAGCTTCCAGACAAAAGCACGCGAGCTTGCATAAGCGCTATCCACTTTATCTTCGTGCCAAGTCTAGGGGACTCGTGTGGATGTCAGAAAACAGAACAGGATGTGCTCCGGACTATGGTATGTGTTGTAACAAAAGCTACCTTTAAGAGTCCCGAATCAAGGATCATAGGCAAGAAGGATATGGGACGGCCAGATACATGACATTTGTCTAGATGTCAGTCCCTTATGCACTGGACTCATAGCAGCTGCAAAGTGTTGTGTCTCGAAAGAGTGCACGGCAGAAGAGCCTGGCTTGTCAGGAGCTTGACTGAAGATATGACCCCGGAGCTTGGTGTTGTGAAGAACACCTGTGTTGAACAACACCATACCTTCATTTTTGAACAGCTTAGCTGTAGAAGGGGGAGAGGTGGGGTTATCACTGCGACACTTCAAGCTGATGGTAATCCATGTTTCGTAAAGCCCATAGAACAGCTGACGGCCATTCCGTGGATTCTCAGTTTTGGTTAAGTTGAGATTTCCTGAAGTTGAAAGTGAAATGAAGGAAGTAAATGAAGTTAAGGCATGGACGGGGGAGCTGCATGTCCACTGACCAAGATCCACCCCCACGTTGAGGTTGGATCTGGGGTGCATGAAAGAGTCCCATCCGCCCCCGCTGCGAACCACTGATCGCAACGCCAAGCTCTAGCAGGGTTCGGGTTCGACGGATTCCATTGATGAGAGCATGTTTTTTGGTGGATTTAGTGTCCTCATAACCGCATATTTTGGTCTACTAGCGCTCTGAGCCCAAACAGAATGTACAAGCAGAATGTACAAGGGTAGATGCGTTCGGCTAGGGAACTCTCGCGTATCCGAGTTGCTAAGATGCAACATTCCAGATGAAAGAAAGCAAAGCCGGCTGCGTATCGCCGTCTGGACTTTTTGGCTTGTACTAAGCTACGAGTTGAACTCCTGTTGAGGGTGGATGAGGGAAACGACTGGAGCCACCAAGACGCGAACGACGTAGGCAACAAACTCCTGGGCAAATCTGGACAGACCGGTGGTGTATTAGACTTCTTTGACAACATCTCAAGAAGCAGGTATGTGGCCAAGCAAGGGCTATTTACCCTTTGCAAGTTCTTGTAGTCTTCGATTGTATCACCCACCCAGGACTGTATGGTTGAACAGAAATACCTGCCGGTCTCATTCTTCGATGAGCTCCAACATGCTGAGAAGGGTTCATGTAGGAATTCGTATGAGGAGATGATTTATTTGAGCCAGATAGGGTGCTGGTTAATCGGGCTTTACATTCTTCGTAAGGCGTGACCTGAACCGTTGGTTGCTGAACAGAAGGCTCGTTTTGTGATCGGCCTACATGCCGGCCGCCTTTTGATCACTCACTGCGAGCAATGTGACCCGGGAAATCTGATTTTCCAAAAAAAAAAACCAAGGAATGGCCAATACCATGATGACTCCGTTCGACATATGGCCCATATCCGTGGATCGAGCAGCTCGTATGTACAATATTGATCACGAACGTCGTCTAGTTACAGAGCGTTGTTATGGGGTCATTGCGATCCCATTCCCCCGGAGATCCAGCATTGTGTACGGCGTGGTCATCACCTGTTGGACGGAGACGAAGGGTCGTTGATATCGTTGTCTTTGTGGAAGCCGAGCATGCTGCCGAGCATACCCCCGGGCTTGGGCACTGGGCACTCTCTCTTCAGAGCTCGTGCCCTGCCTACGTCGCCAGACCCAAGCTCTGTCTCGAACTGCAGGATTTCGTCTTTGCCTTCGGTGTTTTCCACGCGTCTGCGTCTGCGTCTCTTGGGCTGTCCGTCGGCAGACATATCTCCATCGGCGAAAGCGACCCTGGGGGCGGGACACGGCAGGATGTGAGGGACGCCGACAACAAGGAAGCTGGCCACAACAGTTGCTGCGAAGAGGGAGGAAGTCATACGCGACCTCGGGTGGAGGTGAGGTGGTGGCATGATCAGTGGTATTCGGATTGGAGGGCGGGCGGGGTGCTTGACCGAGAGAGGTCCAGAGGAAGGGGGGGTCTAAGTTTAGGGGAGCTTGCGCCAATTTCATCAGCCATTGAGGTTCGCGTTTGGGGCTTTGGGCCGACGGGACTCACTCGTGGCTTTTGCAACACTTAAAGGACCATCATGCGCGTTGGGAACAACCTGAACCCTTGAATATCACGAGATTGCAGCGGTTAACCTCAACGCGCAATGCGGAAGTCAGTGAGAATGAAGTATGTGCCACGCAGGTGGGCAGGTTCCTTGTCAAGATCGTCGTTGGGCGAACTGGACCGTGGACGGGACCTGTCGTCAAGCTCCGGGAAGATGGAGCTTCGATTGTGCTTTAGTTCTCGAAAATATTTCGTCAGTGGACCCCTCGTTCGTCAGCTTCCACTTCAGCTCTCAAAACTGCAATGGGCAGCTTCCCGCGCTGTCCCGCACTGGAATGGAAAGTGCATCTTCGCTCCTGCACTCCCGCCGCCCCAAGCTTTCCCCACGGCAGCTACACAGTACATACGTAGGTACCTCTAGTGTACACTACACCTGAGCTCGTCTATGTAGTGCTGAAATCTGACCAATGGCAGCTAGCGTGCTTGTCTCTTTACAAGCGCATCATGGGCGACGGCTCGTAACATGTGCACTTAACGGGGCTTTTGCACTTGCTGGCATCTCTCTCCCATACCAAACCGGGAATCCGGGCCGCCATGGGCTTGCACTTAATGGGCTACTTCCACCTTGCATGCGTTTGCAGGAAAGGGGGTTGTAATCACAGGGAATGATGTAAACTACCTCCAGGTACCTATGTACCTGCCTAGGTACTGTGTATTGACCCATTCGACGTTCAATCTCCCCACCAGACAGGGATTTCTACACTTCACTTGGCAGTTCCAGGTCCCTGGGCCTGTCGCTAAAACTCCTTGCTCCCTGCTTCTTGCTGGATTGGCGACCGCCGCCATACCATTCGTGCCATTGTTGTCGAGGTTGTGGTTTCGCGCCATCCCCAGTCTCCCGTCGCAAAAAAAACAGAGCTGCCAGCCTAGAACACCTCAGCCCTGTCAACAGATCATTCGCCTCATCCCCACGACAATCATCAAGACCGATTTCAAAAGGGTTACTATTTGTGCTTGTTGCATCTGCAAGACGGACCACCAAACATTTCGGCATAGCATGACGCGAAGCTGACGCGACCCTACGAGACACCGCATTTCAACTTCTATTTTGATATACAAGCTTCGGCCCGGCTCAGTCCTCCTAACTGCGCGGCATCCACTCGCAGCAAAGCAGCATTATCTGTTATTCATAAGCCTCTACAGCCATGAGTGATCTGGACAGGTTAGTGCCCCGGTGCTCTTGCGATCGGGCATTCGAAACCACCCGCCGGCGACTATCGCTCGTGGTGTCTGACCTCTTTGGTGGATAGGGCGATCGCTCAGCTGCGAGCATGCCGGCCAATACCAGAATCAGACGTCCGCGAACTCTGTCACAAGGCCCGGGAAATCTTGATCGAAGAAGGAAACGTAGTTACAGTTAATGCGCCGGTAACGGTACGTCTCGAACTATCCAAATCGAAATACAGACATGTCGAATCTAACCAAACGGCAACAAGATATGTGGAGATATTCATGGCCAGTTTCACGATTTGATGGAACTGTTCCGCGTCGGCGGCGATCCTCCCGATACCAATTATCTTTTTATGGGTAAGGCTGTCCCTGGCCTGTCAATCGTGTCGTCAAGATCATGTTAAGCTGACAATTATATTGTCGGATATTGACAGGTGATTTCGTTGACCGTGGCTTCTACTCGCTCGAAACATTCTTACTTCTTCTCTGCCTTAAAGTTCGATACCCCGACCGCATGACCCTCATCAGAGGCAACCACGAATCACGACAGATCACAACCGTATACGGTTTCTACGATGAATGTTACAGGAAATATGGCAGCGCAAATGTTTGGCGCTACTGCTGCGACGTGTTCGACTATCTCGCCTTGGGCGCTCTTGTTCTCGGGGCCTCCAATACCATCTCACCAAGCGCCGGCGAGTCCAGTATACCAACAACACCTGAAGGGGACGAGGTGGAAATCGAGGTGTGCAACGCACAGGGCGAAGTAATGAGCAGGTTTCCTCGGCCCAACAACGGTGCAGACAGCGATGTACAGAGCAGGACCAACGGGATACCACCACCGAGTAATACAGGCCCACCTGGTTCAGGAGCGTCGGGATTGAGCAGAGGAACAGTGGGCAACCCAGCCGGCGCCGTTCTATGTGTGCACGGCGGCCTTAGTCCGCTGATAGACAAGGTTGACAAAATCAGGCTGCTGGACCGAAAACAGGAGGTTCCACATGAGGGTGCTATGTGCGACCTCTTGTGGTCCGATCCGGACGAGATTGACGGTTGGGGGTTGTCGCCTCGGGGTGCCGGCTTCCTCTTTGGTGCCGACATCGTCAAAGTGTTCAATCATCGCAATGACCTCAGCCTGATTGCCCGTGCCCATCAGCTGGTCATGGAAGGTTTTAAGGAAATGTTCGATGCCAGCATCGTTACCGTTTGGTCAGCACCAAATTACTGCTATCGTTGCGGAAACGTTGCTGCACTTCTTGAGCTATCGGAAGACGATTCGGGCTTGGGTGTGCTTGCCCGCAGTAATGGCGATGTCAATCGCAGTAATGGCGGTGCAGGATCTTCTGGAGGGCTCGGGGAGGGTGAGCTACAACCGATGAAGGGTCCAGCAAGGCGTTACCGGGTCTTCCAGGCGGCTCCTCAGGATTCAAGGGGAATGCCAGCCAAGAAGCCAGTGGCCGACTACTTCCTGTAAACCGGCTACCGGGCATTTTTTGGAATATGTTGTCCCATGTTCGGTCTACGAGGGACAAGTATGCCTACATAACATGCGACATGTAGCTCAGTGTGCGTATTATTTTGGGACAACATACCCCAGCGTCATGGATTTTGGGTTGAAAGATCTTTGTCCAGGAAAACGCAGGAAATGGGCGTGCAATGTCTGGTCGGGAAAACATTGGCATGAAATTCGCTAAAAAAATCTACTGGACATAGTATTTGAAACTGCCAGATAGATTCAGCATCCCCAAGATAGTAACTCTCCTGAATAGGTGTGACTCGAATTTCGAGCGATAGGCTGAGCCATCGTCACCTTCATTCCGTTATACCGGGTCTTATAGAAGCATATAAATTTTGAAATAGCGTCAAGATGAATGAATGACCCAGCTCCTATCAGTATATATGAAGTTCACAGCGAACATAGATAGTCCAATACTCAGATATGTTGTCATTGAGTGTCCGGGGAGCGGTAAGGCGGAGATCTGGAGCAATCGGGCTACATGGAAGGTAGAATGGACTTGTCGACGGCAATTCCGATCCGGGATGATCGGCTTCGGACGCGCGCCGGCCCAGCTCCATCCGGTGCGGGTCCCAGGTCGCCGTGTCCGCTGTCTTGATGCCGAGTCATGAACCGACCGAAAAGCTCCGCACAGCCAGGAACTGAGGTCCGCCGAGGCCCACCTCGATTAAATAGACAGTTGAGGTTTCCACAGCAGCTTACCTTGTTGCTTCCGTTTACACCAAAACATGCGAAGAACATTATCAAGGGATGTTCACGATTCAAAGTCATGGAAGTTGGGCTCTTCCTTGTGAGTTCACTAGTAGTCGCCCAATGGTCTGAAACGGTAAGAATAGTTTCCTTTATGATCCATCACAGAACTGATCCACATCAAAGTTAGCTTGATTCACGACTAGCCAGGCTCTGGAGCACCAACGCAAGACGGCCAGCGGAGGGTAACCGACGTTCAATGTATTCCGAAAATTGCATTACTACCACCAAGCGGTCGGCTTCAACCAAGCCAAGATGTCCTGTTATTCCATCAAGCCTTTGGAAGCCATGTACTGTATCACCAAACCGCCCGGGTGGCAGGGCGTATGCCCAAATTTACTTTTTCTCCTGTGTCGTCCCGTTCTCCTTTTGCGCCCGCTCATACTCGATAATCTGTCTGCTCCAGCTAGTGGAGGTAATATCGGTCGCGTCAGCTTAAGAACATCCCCGCGGTTTGCGCTCGCGGAAAACGTTACGCATGTATAAAAATTTGGACGGGGGTCTGTCTGCCAGGACATACTATCTGCTGGGATAAAAGCGACCAGGCTCGGGCATCTTGTGACGGTACTCTTTCTCGGCGCTAAGCTTCCAGACTGCGGCAGTGATGAGGAAGACGACGCCACCGAGAACAGCCGTGTTCTTCTTCCAGTTGGCCGGCTGGGCGTACCAACCACCCGAAGGCGACCAGACGTGTTTGGGGTAGCTGGAGTGAAGGGCGAGGCAACGATTAGGACGGATCCATGACACAACACAGGCTGGGTTGGACAGAATGCGCGGAGGGTTTGCGCATGTCGAGGACGATGAAACTCACGGAACTTGGGGACCGCCGCCCTATAGACAGGAAAAATAGAGAGTTAGCAGACACAAAACATAGCAGTGATGATGGCTATTCTAAGCAATCGGGTGGACACGCACCATTGTGATGAAGTTTTGGGATATGTGGTGAGGTAGGTTGGACGTTCAACGAGGATTCTTTCCACCTCGCAGTTAAGCAAGACCGGTTTCTACTGTCAACTTTGCGATGCACTGCGAACGACGGGACAATAGTGGTGATGCTTCAGCGGGAACAATTGGATAGAAGGACGAATGATTAATCCGCCTACAGGCTGACGAGGGGCTAAATCGCATCAACCATCCAGGCCTGAAAGTCACCATGTCACTCGTCCTAGCCGGGGCCGAGGGCGCATGCGACAGACGGGCGGCGGGCGGCGGGCAGCTCCCGCTTGTCCACCACAGTGCACCGTATGCTAAACAGACAGCGCAGATAGTGGATTGGGGTCGAAGATGGATCTTGTGGAGACCCTCACTGGGCCAACAACGAATCATGTCATCCGGCTTTTATGTCTCGGTCTTGGGGGAGTAACCCCTGCGCTTGAGCACTGATTCACGGCTCTGGGTGGTGGGCTTGTCTAGTGTACGGGTGGTGAGCGTTCAGATTGGAGAACTTTTTTTTTTTTTACCCGTGTTCGACGGCCGGCCGAGTCTGAACGAGAGAACCCATCCGATCAACGCGCGACTCCGACCGGGATCCCGAGTAGCTTCCCACCCCGCGACCACCGGCTCACCACCTGCCCGTCCGATTTCCCTCACTCCATCCTTTCCTTGGCAGGGCCTCCAGACGGCGCACACTTACGGAACCTGGGCCCCAGCACGTCAATATCCGGTTGTCGAGCCGACCATCACCCATCAAATATATCGCCCATGAAGAGGATAGCAACGCCCAGCTTGACGAGCCGGCTGCTCGTCGCCGCTCGCTCCGGAGTGTCGCCCGCCACTGCCGCCATCCGATCCCGATCTGCAATCTCGGTGCGATCGCAATCGACAGCTGCCCTCGCTCAGCACGATGCATCCCACGACCTCAACAATGACCGGTTCCCCCCGCTTGAGCCCCTCCCCCCCGCGGCCGAGTCCCTACCGTCGCCCCTCCCCGAACGGGCCTTGACCTCGGCCAAACTGGCCGCCCTCCACGCCCGTTTGAACCTTTCTCCCAAGATCCCCCTACAGACATTGGCAAGGACACTGGTCGACGCCTCGGCCGACGAGAACCCGCAGTTCAACAACGCCAACCTCGCCTTCGTTGGCCAGACCCTCATCAACTACCATATTGCCGAATGGCTCCTCTGCAAATACCCCCGTCTACCCCAGGGAATTCTCTTCAGTGCCATGAAGGCTTATGCCGGACCGAAGCCCTTGCTCCAGATTGCGCGGTCATGGGGTGTTGATACCGCCGCGGTGCCCGGCGGCGAGGTGGATCCCGGTCTCCTGCAGTTCGATGCCCTCAAGCCCGGCGTCTCCATCACAAATTTCGGCTATAAGCGTACAGAGCTCGCCTACCTCGAGAAGTTCAAGTGGCGTCGCGGTATGGCCTCGCGTGTCGTTCTCGACGACGACTTTGGTGATGTCGTGCGCAGCGACCCCAAGGTTGCCGCCGATCTGGAGAAGGCGATGGAAGAGCAGGATCAGGACAAGACTCCCGACGAGGAGGAGGCCGAGATGGTCGCTAATGAGCAGGACCAGGACGTGAGCTACGACCGCTACGGCAACCCCGACACCCGGGCCGCTGCTGAGCGGGCCCACGCCTACTTTGTGCGCGCCGTCGTCGGTGCCATCTACGCCCACTGCGGCCGCGAGGCCGCCAAGGCCTTTGTCAAGGCGCACATCATGTCGCGCACCCTCGACATCGCCAAGCTCTTCGAATTCAAGTACCCCACCCGCGAGCTCGCCGCGCTCTGCGCCCGTGAGGATTTCGAGCCCCCCGTGGCTCGCCTCCTCTCCGAGACGGGTCGCCAGTCGCGCACCCCCGTTTTTGTTGTCGGTATCTACAGCGGCAGCGACAAGCTCGGCGAGGGCGCCGCCTCCTCTCTCGACCACGCCCGCTTCAAGGCCGCCATGAACGCCCTGAAGGCTTGGTATCTCTACAGCCCTGGCGAGAACCCTCGGGTACCCAGTGATATGCTGGAGGAGGGTGCCAAGCCCTGGACGCCAGCATACATTGATATGGGTGAGGTTATCTCCCGCTAAATGAGGAGGTTGAAACACGGAGCATGGCGGCGGACAGTACGGGAGGGCAGTAGAGACCATAGGAAGTGTATGAAATGAAAGGCAAAAAGAGAGAAGCAGATGGCCTGCTTAAACTCTCAGTTTTATTGGTTGTGCGGCCCATCAACTCGGGATAGGTCCCCCTTGTGGAAATCGACGCAAGAGGATCGAGAGGGAAACAAACAAGGAGTGGATTTTGTTGGTGTGGTCTAAAAGCTCAGCTTACCTTTCCACTCTTGTCCTGTTGAGAGCGGGCAATTGTCGTCCTGCGAAGGAAGGGGATATAAAATGGATGGTCCTCTCTCATCCATTCCCTTTCCTTCCATTGTTCCTTGCTCTTTTTGCCGAAGACGAGATGTTGTATACAGATTTGCGCGCAACAGACATACATGGACACACACGCACACCCCCGCCACATATACCAATACAAAGGGGGGTTGGGACGGAACGGGGAATGAAGAGGGTCTGGATGGTGGCTGCTTGGCTCTGCTTTCGACAAAGAGAGACACAACCCTCCTCGGGGTGGCATCTGTGTCCTTCTTTCTCAGTGTATAATACCAAAAAAGTAGCCGGGGCCAAGGAGAAGGAAGATCGTTTGTATGTGTAGCATTAAGAAGTCAAATTTTTACGAGGCATCAACGAAGTACATGACATGACAAATCCTTCCTCTACGTACTGACTGCTCTGGCATGAGGAGAAGGCTGTGTAAGAGAGAATATGGTACTACGTATTTTACACGCATTGTACGATTCCAAGATGTGTAAGCCCTTATTTTGTATAACAAGCATCGTAAAGGAAGAAACGGGAATACGCAACCGGCAAGAGTAAAAGCTGAGACCAGACGACGAGATCAAACCTGGAAGTTCCTCCCAAACTTGCGCGCCTTCCATTCATCCAAACTAGAGGTTGTTCATCTAGTATTTTGCCTCCTGATTTCTTAACATTGCTCTTGTTTATTTTAACGTGAGAGGAAGATGAAGTTGGTGGGAGGGGAGATGAAAAGTGAATTGGTCTTGCTGTATTTGCCTTCTCACTTTCTTACCTCCTCCTGAGAAATTGTCACGTTTCCAAAACACGCTCATCAGGACTTGCAATCTAATGTAGAAGGGCCAGTTAAGGGAACTTGAACAACTATAGAATTGGCATATTCTTAAGGTACAGTGGTCTAGTGTAAGATAATAGGGTGGGCCAAGGCAAGGAGAACATGGAGTGCGCGTAGGTTTTCTCCTACTGGTTTTTTTTTTAAAAGAAAAAAAAAAAAACACATTAAGTTGCTGTTACCCATCTCTTAATCTTTTCGGCATTGTCTATCCTCTTCATCCTCATTTTGGGGTATAACCGTCCGTCATCTCATTCATCGTCATCAATCCCATCAGTCATAACCCATTCCTACCATCTCCATCACCAAAGAGTAACCCACGGAGAATCACTCGCCTCCCAAATCAACAAAAAGAAGAGACACAACGCGCTCGCTCAACTGAAGTGATCACCCTCACCCAACTTACCGTCGATCCCCAGCCTAACCTTCCTCCTCTGTCTCTCCTCTGCCATCCTCTTCTCCCTCTCCAGTCTACTATTCTTCTTGCGCTCATACACCGCCCTTACCGTCGCCCGAATCTTCTCTTTGCCCTCGTCATAGTTCGCCCTCGCGAGTGCGACAACCTGATCAACTTGTTCCGGTGTGTACACAAAGTTCCACGTGCTCATGTAATCGCTCGAGGCTGGATCAACAGAGCTAGATACCTTCTCGTTGGCCAGGAAGGGCATGTAGACGACCGCGATGCCGGCGTCCGGCTCCATGAGCTTCCACGACGAGGTATCGTCCACTGGCGGCGGCGGCGGGTCATCGGTGCGTCGCTCCTGGGTTGTGCCGACCCAGACGGTACAGTAGCCGAGCTCGTGGGCGGTTTGGTCGTATTTCTCTTGCTGGCTCATCAAGCTCTGGTCGCTGTCGCCTTCGGGCTTTACCTTGGGGTCGTTGGCGTGTCGGGTGGCTTGGTCGGCTTTGGCTTGGGCGAGTTTGTTATCGGCTTCGGCTTCTGTGGCTTCTTCAGCTTCCTTCAATTCCCTGGCGGTGGTGGAGGCCGATGCAGAGGCCTTGGGCCAGCCGGCACCTATTGGCCATCCCTTAATCCCCCTTTGCCTTGCGTAACCTTCGACCACGGAGAGCCAGTTGTCCGTCTTGATGTCGGCAGAAGCATCGAATGCGACTATGATGTCGACATTGCGACCTGGCCGCAATAAGGGGTAGATAGGGAGGTTATTGGACATGCCAGAGTCCATAAGTTGGATGTAATCGGAGTCGTAAGCAAGCCGAGGAACCGTTGGCGGAAGCTTGCCGTTCATTCCGTGGATGAAGTTCGGGATCGTCGCCGGATCGATTGGATGAACCTTGCTGAGATTCTCATTGTGACCCCAAATCAAGTTGTCTACAGCCTGGAAACCACCAAGGCTCTGGATCAAAGGGCGGATTTCGCGGTAGTAATGGCTCAGTGTTGCGCAGAACGCACTGCCCCATATGCCCAGGAGTACAGGCAACCGGATTTCGGGAAGGTAGAAGCCTTCTGTTGTAGGCAGGTTGACGCCATCTTGGAAACTTCTGCCCATGGCCCAGGTGGGGATACCGGCAGCGAACTCTTCGCAGAAAAGCTCAAAAGGCGTCATCTCAAACCATTGAAACCATGCTTCTTTCTTGGCCTCGGCTTTTGCCGCCTCTGAAGCATGAGACTGCTCATTGCCGGCCTCGTCCAGCTCGGGGATTTCGTGGCGCACAGCCGTATAAATGGGCATGGGATTTTGTCCGTAGCGAATGTACTCTTGCTGGTGAGACAGCTTGAAGTCCTGTGCATTGATGCCAAGTTCTCCCTTGGGAATGAACAACCTAGCTGCTAGCAGCAACCCGTAGGCGTCAACGAGCCCAAAATCAGCTTCTGGATCACCCTTTAGCTTTTCTACCACGGCGGTCAGCAGTAGCTTGTTCGTAGGCGCAGACAATAGAGCTGAGAAGGCAGTAGGCGGGTAGGCAATATGAATGCCGAGACGTGCTTTCAAGTGGTTAACAAGTCGCTGGAAATCGTTGCCTGAAAGGGAGGAGAAGTACAGAGACTGAAGCCAACAGGATCCACTGACGCCTGATGTATACGTGATACAATCGAAAAGGCCATCCTCGGCCGCCGCCATATATGACCCGGTTCCAGCGACGAGCGCCCTAAGGCCACCACCAGAGCCACATATGGCAATGGTGGGTACGTCTTCTGGGTTGACATCCTCCTCTTTTATGCCAAGGTAGTGAGCCAACGCAACGGCTGTTATCTTTTTCCTGCGCGCCAGGAAAGTTTTCTCTTCGTCACAGAGGTCCTCCGAAACGCGAACCTTGGCCGAGTACTGGATCTCAGGATTTATGGCAGGATCGCGGGCCTCCTCCCAGATTTCAGCGGCGAGAGAACCTGGGGCCATGTTGAGCTCCCGCTGGAGCTTTCTGATGTAGCCAGGAATGAGTTTGGACCATTCTGGAAGAACAAGATCGACCAGCTTGTTGGAAAGTTTGCCTGCCTCGGCCGAGGTCATGGCCGAGAAGCCCTCAAAGCCATCAACGAGTTTGGACCAGGTGCTATTATCGTCGATCTTGCCGTGAGATTCTAGCTCCTGAGCGAAGAGGTCTGTATCGCTCGATCGGTCTGTCTTCGCAGTCTTGTCGGTTGAGTCGAAAGTCTGAACAACATCAGCCGTTGGGTTGAGCGAGAAAACAAGCAAGGAGCCGAGGAGTACCGCCGAGAGGGATCGAGGGACCCGCGTCTTTGGTTTGGGCTTGTTATCGCCTGAAGCGAAGAAGCCATGTCGCGTCTGTTGGAAGGATAGCAGGGAGGGTTTCGTCCTTGCCGGTGCTCTCGAGAGGGCGCTACTTTGTGTGAGAGACCTTGCCAGGGGAGATCGGCGACCCGTTGATGAGATGGCGAAGGTCAATTGGCCCAGCCGCGCCATCTTCGCGGTTGCTGGTAGGTTGCAGTACCTCCGCTGGCAAGGCTAATGGAAATGCTCAATATGCGATGCGGCGCGATGCGGGTAGAAATTAAGAGACACCAAAGTTAGGTTGGTATTGCGCGCAGTCTCGAAATACCTGTAGAGGGATGGGAGGTAGGCAGGAACCTGGGGTCCTTTATTAAAGACAGGTCCCGACACGATACTTGTTTGGTTATTGCTTTCGATTAAGGGCTATCATGTTGGCCGAAAAGCGCCCGGCCCAGTTGACGAGCGAACTTGGTCTATTTGACGAGCTTCCTAGTCCTTCCGTCCAAGTTTTATTGTCGGCAGCTTGTATGACTGTATCGATCGGTTACGGTAACTGATTCCACGACGAGTCTGGAGTTGATTTCCATGTGTATGCGATTCTGACATCATAGCTATGGAGCTTGGAAACCTGAGCTGGAGGGGCCCGAGGTCTGTTAGAAGGGTACCACCCAACAGCCTGTACTCTACTACACTACCTTCCGTGCAAGCCCAATAAGCGACCCGTAGCATATCCTGATTCTTAGTGCCCAAGTGGAATGCTCCCGTCAGTCCCATCATCTTACCGGGTACCTTTTGCCTCTTCCAGTGGATATCCCGTCGACACTATTACTTAGCTCGGTGGTGTCGGGATACACTCCGGATGTTCCAACTTGCCAAGTTCCCGTCCTTTGAAATCAACGCTGCAACTTTGTCCCAGCTAACATGGATTTTTCTTGACTGTATACCGGTATGTGGAAGTACATATGTAGTCGATCTTGATTACTTACATTAACACGAATATCCTTATCTCTGCCCACTATCCACCCGTTCTTCTTCTTCTTCCAACGAGCAGACGGCGAAGCATACATCGACCAACTATGTATGCGCACCGATTAACCAATCATGTGACTTCTCGGGAACACCCGAAGTACAATACTTGTCGTCCGAACCTTCGAGGATTGCTTTAATCCTCCGCATGCAATCCTGGAACCAAACTGCCTCTACCTAGTGGGGAAGTAGAGGATACTATGTATACAGATGTGGTCGTGCCAGAGTGTTTTAGGAATCCCCGAAAGGCTATGTGTTCGTCTTTGATTTCTGTAACCGAAGGGGGAAAAGATATAAGAAAACGAAGCGTCCAGTCCAGCCCTTCCGGATGTGGGGAAGTTGATCGGATTGTTTCTTTAAAAAGCCAGGCGGCTCCAGTCCCGTTCGCTTGTTTTGGAGGACGGGAACTGGAGGAGCTTCTATGTATGAATGGAACTGGGGTTTCCACACCCAGGGTGTCAGACCATCAGGGCCAGGCGCATCTTGCAACCACCTCCACATGGAAGCGGTATGCTCCAGGATGCACCGAAAATCGACGGATATGCGCCCAAATGTCCCAAGCCACGCCATTGCCATGTTTCTTTAACCATGGGGCATCGAGTTGGTTCCGTGTCTTGCTTTTCTGATCTCATTCAGGGTCTCCGATGATCGACCACCGTGACGGCTTTGAAGAAGAAAAGTGATCACTATCGACCGCACCGATCAAAATGTCCAGCAAGAACTCACGGGATTTACACCAAAGCATGGCGACAATATTTGGATGCAAGCGCCCGAGCACCATCCAGAGTGTAGGAGCCTGACGGTAGCCACCATGTCTGTCTCATCAACAGGCGGAAACAGGCGTATAATATAAAAACACATAATCCATGGTAGCTGGCCTCCAGCAAAGACAAGGAGATGATGCTGTTTGCCCTGACTGAAACAGTCGCTCGTCTGGTTCCGAAGTCGGGTGTGGAATCTAGACGCGCTCAAACCTAGCCCGCCTACCCGTGCCTCGTGGCCAGGCTCAGCAAGTTATGTCCGAATATCATGAGCAGTCATACCAGAGAGCCAAGCACCAAATAGAGTTGCAGAGAAGCGCGAAGCAAATCAAAATGTGAAAGTGCACGGGATTTGGTATCCAACAAATGCACGTAATTTAATTTTCAGGAGCTCCCTGGCTCATCATAAGTACTTAGCTCATCGTCACATCCGTGCTAGTACAGTGCAGACATGGCAAATTGAGCCGAGGCGGCACCTTTGTGGTTGCTACTCCTTTCTGCTTGCTTGTCAGATGTTTGCTCTTGTTGGTATTGCGTTCTACACTGGTAGCTTAGTGTAGGTCTCATGTTGAGATGATGGATTAGATATTACTCACAGACAATAGATGAAGTTCCGTTGCTCGATGCCAGCTACTCAAGGTTAGAATATTGTGTTGACACAAGTTTTGAGATTGGATTTCTCGAGCCCCAGAATTCACACTCATCTTTTCCCCCAAATGCTGGGCTGTAACCATGTCCTGACCAATCATGTGTCCGATTGGCTCAACCCCTGCTTATTAGTTTCCCCTTAGCATGTCCTTTTAGGTTGCCCACCCGTCAGGCCAGTGGACACTTCCTAATCGAAGTCTAATGTGCCAGCCGGGCCACCAGCGAGCGAGGCCTTGCGACCTTGCGCCCGTGTGTTACTCGCGGTCCTGGCACTGGTGCGTCGGGCCTGCCATGGCCTGTCCGGCGTCCATCCGGGTTCCAGCACGACACCACCTAACACCACATTTGGCACGTCGAACCTGAACCCCTTTTGAACTGCTCCAAACGGGACGTCGATGCAGCCAGGCACAGGCAATCTAAACACCTACCCAATCTCCATACCCACCCCCCATCCCATCCACAATCATCCATCCATCTTCTTCGACTGAAGCCGCCCTGCCTGCTCGTTGCTGCTGCTGGTGCTTGCTGCTGCCACACTGACTGCCGTCGCTCCTCACACAAATTTTCCCATTCTTTTCTACCGGCAACAACTCAGCATTCTCCTCCCCGTTATCACGTCCCCATCTTCGTTTCGTACCTTACCTTTGGCACTCTTTTCATATTCATACGCGATCCAGCGTTACCTTTCAGATTCACCGGCCAATTGCCTTAGAAATCCGCACCAGGCGGCGCCCATTGACAACTACCCAACCTTTGACAATACGCGAACCATCGAGGTATCTACCCTACCGGCTCGCCTTCCTTCCGGTAAGTTGATGCTGCTTGGTCGTGAACTCTTCGATCCTCTCTCTGTACAGACGCTCGCTCCTGGTCCAGCCCCAGGGCACGTATCTACAGCCTACCCGTCCGGCTCGACAGATACCGAATGGCTCTGTTGTTACTGCCCCAACCTGCCGGTATCTCGTGCTCTTCGTCGTCAAAAGCCCCCCTCATAGTTGCCGCTGGGCTGCGCCGATACGAGCAGCCACTCCAGCCAGCCCGTTTGCCTCCACCGCGATCCACGTTGGGGTTTTAGGTGGTGTCGGTGCTGGTAGTACCGGGCTTGCACTGCAGGGCACTTGACGAGTGGGCGGTAGCCGTCTGCACGGAGAAGGAGGAAGATACATGCCGGGTGCAACTCAGCTTCCATCTCAATGACTGACGCTATTCGTTTACCTTCCAGACTTCGCGCCTTCCTTACGATCCCGATTTTTTTTTACCTTTTTCATCAACTCTTCACTTCTCGACTCGACCGAAACATCACCATCACGGTACCTTCTGCTATAATGGGTAAGCGCTTGCTTTCTGTCCTCTACTTAACCTGTCCGTTCGACCAAGCCGCAGGAAGCATCGCCGGATCACCGACCTCCTCGTACCTTACTCTACGGTCCATGGGCTCAACAAAACCCGACTCAACGCCGCCCTTCGCCGACTTTTCATCTCCCTTCCCCCCACCAACATCACAGCTCGTTCTTCTGATACGATCATCACATTCGTTGTCCGCTTGCCATCTACCGTTTCTTGGGAACCGTCTTTTTTTGGAAGAGAACCATCTTACCACCCAAATACTTTGTTCAAACGACTCCGCTGCAATGCATTTCGCTACCATGATGCACAATGCCACCCGGGGCCGCGCCAAGAGTGTTCAGTTTGAGAAGAGCTTCGCCAGTCTCGCTGAAACCATCGATGGAAGCGCCTCGCGGGATGGTCCCGTGTCCCCCGTTTCCGTCCCCGGAACACGGACCAGCAGTTTGCCCCTTGGGGAGAACAACGAGATGATCAAGAAGGCTCTACGCCGATACAAGAGCTTGCTGGAAATCGAGGACCCGGCCCCGACGTTGCCAATGACCCAACAATTCTCATACGACGAGCTATATCCCAAGGCTACGGATCCGACTGTGTCCCAGGAGCCATTACCGAAGCGGCCTTTATCCTCTAGTAGTTGAGAGCTCCGCGCACTTGACTGGACATACATTACATAATTTTGCGCACAAGATGATGGATATCATGCTAACGTTGGCTCTATGACAGCTTCGAACGGTATTCCCACCTCTCCTCCTGTTAGGGCGGCTCCCGTACCTCAGTCATCGACTTCCCAGCCATTGCCATCTCAGACGAAACAACATCAAGATGCTTCTGGTTCTGACACCGTGGCCGCAGCTCTCCCTTCTACCTTGAGCGACAACCGAAACATTGTCCGAAGGAAGCTGACGGGATACGTTGGTTTCGCCAACCTTCCCAACCAATGGCACCGCAAGAGCGTCCGCAAGGGCTTCAACTTCAATGTCATGGTTGTTGGTATGTGACGCTTTCTGTGCCCATTGAAGGAGATTTACTAATTCTAGACATGCAGGTGAATCGGGACTCGGAAAGTCGACCCTCGTCAACACTCTCTTTAACACTTCGCTTTACCCTCCCAAGGAGCGCAAGGGACCTAGCCTCGACATTGTTCCCAAGACTGTCACCATTCAGTCTATCAGCGCCGATATTGAAGAGGCTGGTGTTCGCCTCCGTTTGACCGTCGTTGACACTCCTGGCTTCGGCGACTTTGTCAACAACGACGAGTCTTGGCGTCCTATTGTGGACAACATCGAACAGCGCTTCGATGCTTACTTGGATGCCGAAAACAAGGTGAACCGCATGAACATTGTGGACAACAGGATCCATGCCTGTGTTTTCTTCATCCAGCCCACCGGTCACTCGCTCAAGCCTCTTGATATCGAGGTCATGAAGCGTCTCCACACCAAGGTCAACTTGATTCCCGTCATCGCCAAGTCGGATACTCTCACCGATGACGAGATTGCTGCTTTCAAGGCTAGAGTATGTCTTCGAGCCCTACTTGTTCTGCGATCAATACTAACAGTTTACATAGATTCTTGCGGATATTAAGTACCACAAGGTGCAAATCTTTGAGGGCCCTCGCTACGAACTCGACGACGAGGAGACCATCGCGGAGAACAACGAGATCATGTCCAAGGTCCCCTTCGCTGTTGTCGGTGCGACCAACGAGATCACAAACGCCGATGGCCGTAAGGTTCGCGGTCGCCGTTACCCTTGGGGTGTGATCGAGGTGGACAATGAGGAGCACTGCGACTTTGTGAAGCTCCGCCAAATGCTCATCCGTACTCACATGGAGGAGCTCAAGGAGCACACCAACAACGTCCTTTACGAGAACTACCGCACGGACAAGTTGATCGCTATGGGCGTCTCTCAAGATCCAAGCGTCTTCAAGGAGGTGAACCCAGCCGTCAAGCAGGAGGAAGAGCGCGCCCTCCACGAACAGAAGCTTGCGAAGATGGAAGCCGAAATGAAGATGGTCTTCCAGCAAAAGGTTGCTGAAAAGGAATCCAAGCTGAAGCAGAGCGAAGAGGAGCTGTATGCTCGTCATAGGGAGATGAAGGAGCAGCTGGAGCGCCAACGACTGGAGCTCGAGGAGAAGAAGTCCCGAATCGAAAGTGGGCGGCCAATTGAGAAGGAGCCGACAAAGAGGAAGGGATTTTCTCTCCGATAATTTTGCGGCCACAACTTCACCCGCCTCTCACGACTGTTTTACTGTCATGTTATCCCGCATACACCTCGGCCCGCCGCTTCATTCCTTCATTCTCTCGTTTTCCATTTGTTCATCTTCTAATCACAACCTCCTAACCCTGCGGGAGGATCCCCTCGCAAGCCAACAGACTCTTTGCAGATCCCTTCATAACCGGATGGGTTTCTGTTAGAAATTTGTTGGCTGCCTTAAACGGTCAAATTTCCAAAAGCCGGTGTGTTCCGTCGTTGGGACGGGGTGCGGTCCGGTCGACTTTGTTCTTGAAAAGCTAATGCAGATGTAATTGGGCCGGAGGAGCTTTTTCGAGAATCTCTTACTTCACAATGGCAGCATGGTTCCAACAGATATATCCTCTTATCTGCTTTAGGGAGTTGAGTTCCGAAAATATGAGGGAGAAGAAAGAGAAATAATTCGTTGGCTGTCCCCCATCAGATGTTTGCGGCGCAGCAGCACAGCAGTCCGGCCCTCAACTCCCTTTCGCGGCTCTGCTTGCCCTTGTCTTCTTGACCGACTGTCGGCAACATCATGTTTCCGGATGCCACCATGACTGACAAGTCGGTTAGGATGCTGTGGCTGGCGGGAGCGAGGAGCAATTCACAGCCGAGAAGCTCATAGAGGGATCAGAAGGAGTCGGGTTTGAATTGTGCTCGCGACGTTGCACCATATGCAAGTTGCAAAGGGGGCGTAAGGGAACAGGCGGGAAATCTCACTTGGACGAAAAGCAACGAACGACCAGATATCCCAACAACACATGTATTTTATTAACTGCTTTCATCGGCGATCAGATGTTTTGATTTCACGGGGAATTCTTGTAGGAGGTTTTTCTTTTCACGGTTTACGGTCGGTCATACCCAACCCAACATTTTCGGCCGATTCTCTCAACTGGTGCTTCGCTCTCCAGCCACGGGGGGTTCTTGCTTACCACATAAAACATACACACACTCAACGTACACTTAGCCTCTCCTAGATAGTTATTTCTTAGCCTTTTTCTCTCGCGCTCTCAAGGCGAATTCTGCCGTCTTCCTCAGTGATAAGTGTTTGCCTTCGCACTGCTCCTCTCGACCGACAATGCTATGACTGGCAACTATACTATATAAGCACTGAGCTTTCAGAGAGGAGACCGTAGGTGTCTCGGTGGTTCTCATCTGTCTCCTTACTTTCTTACGCAGAGAAGAAAGAAAACTGTCTATGCCCCTCTTTAGATCCATTTAGTTAATAGTGGTAATGATACATGTAGCGTACATCGATGTCGAAGGGGGCAAACAAAATGAGTCTGCAACAGATTGTTCGGGTATTGAGGAACGAACAAACTGTTGCGCGCAATGTGCCCAAAATATGTATGAAGTCAACTCATCTCGTACATGATCCATGCCCGTCTCCTTTTCTCCGGGAATCGCGAGATTTGCCGCCCACTTCGCCGCTTTCTCATCGAATCCGAACCCGATTTCCAACGCATGGTCCAACTGCAGCCGCAGCAGGTGCAGAGTATCCCATCGTCCGAGGCTGCCTTGAAGATGCAACAAGTACAATAGAGCGTACCCGCGACATGCAAAAAACTGGGTGCGCGCGACTTCCATCGTCCATTGCCAAATTCTGCCGCTCTGAGACGGTAGAAAGTGGCTTCCGTTCTTGCCCCCATCTCCCCTTCTCATTCCCTCGCTCCTAACTGGACGTCCTTCAACCTCTCCGCAAGTACCAGTTGAACGCGAGTTGGTTGATAGTGGGGGAGAAAGGCGACGGTACTTCGGACTCGCCCGGGCGCGCCACGGGGTGGCGGAGGTAGACGGCCGCGCAAATGTTTTGGTTGACCTCGAGGTAGCGGGGGATGAACGCGAAGGCGGACATGTAGTTGCGCGGCCTCCAGGGGGTCATGTACGGCTTGCTCGGGTCGATCTCGTTGTCTTCGTGCTCGTCGTTGTACTCGATCACCTTCTTGAGCACCTGGCGCGACTGCTTGTCAAGCTTCTTGCTCAGCTCCTTGGCCGCCTCCTCCTGCTGGATGGCCTTGGAAGGGGAGACCGCAAGGCGCTCGAGAAGCATCGTCAGGTCGTCCACCACGTTACCGGTTGGCGAAACGGACCCGTCGCGCCGCTGCGCTTGCTTGATGGCGGCCTTGATGTCGCGCTTCAAAGCGCGCAAGGCTTGCTTGCGCGTCGCGGAGAGCTGGTGAGACGGCGAGTCGGCGATGTGCTTGGCGTACTGCAGCAGACGTTGGAGCTGCAGGAGTTCGTACTTGCGGTTCCAGGCCTCGTCGAACTTGGAGGTGTCGACTTGCTTCTCCTTCTTGCCGGACTTGGAGGTTGCTTCTTGTGCCTCTCCTTCCTCGGCCTCCTCGGCCTCCGCATCGTTCTCTTCGGCGGCTTCCTGTGCTTCCTCCGCAAGTTCCTTCTTGGCGGCCTTCATAGCCGCGGCGAGGAGCTTCTTGTCCTTGGGCGCACCGGTCGCATAGAGGACGCGCTCGACGTCGACTTGGAAGAGATCGCCAGGGTTCAGGAGGTAACCGGGGTGTTTCATCTGCAAAAGGATCGCGTAATGTTAGCGCCGAATTTAGCAGCTTTGGCATGGGTTCACTATATTGTGGGATTCGGTATCGGAACGTTATAATGGTGTACATGCCTTCTTGCCGTTGACGGTGACGGCACCGTGCACAACCATCTGGCGGGCCTGTCTCGCACTGCTGGCAAAGAGGGCTCTGAATATGGCGATATCGAGGCGTCTCTCGAGAGGCGCAAAGGTCATTTGCTCGTACGGCGTGGGAACCTTCCTGCCCGGGTTGGCGATGACTTGCTTGGCAGGTTTCTCGTCGGCGGTCTTCTCGTAGGCTGGGGGCTCTGAGAGGCCGGAACCGCGGCCGGCGGCTTGTTCGCTGCCGTTATATTTGGCCATGTATGCCGGGTCCATGTTGACGACGGCCGGTAGGCGACGGCTAAACATGCGCGCCCATTTGCGTTCCTTGATGTGCTCGCCGTGGTATGCTCGTGTCAAGGACTTGGCGAGCCATTTCTGCTGGAAGAATGTCTTGCCGCTGATTCTGGGTTCTCTCCCGGCCGTAGCCAGGTTGTACAGGTTATATTTGTTCCATGTCGGCCTGATGGGCTATTTGGAAGAAGAAGAAGCGCACACAAAATACGTCAGCATGATCGAGTGTGGTGGGTGTTGAGTGTCGTGGCAATGGGACTGGTATGTAGTAGGTAATGGGGCGAATGAGGTGATGCGGCGGCGACGGCGACGATAACCAACAGCAAACCCGGCGACGGCGGCATAAAACACCGAATAGCACATACCTTTTTCTTCAAACTGTGGTACTTGAACAACCTCCGGATCTTCATGTTGGGTGTGTGTTTGGAGGAGCTTCGGGGATCGGATCGGACTGTAGGCCCCGTGCTTTTGGCGAAGTGGACGGACCGGTTCGGCGCAGGTTGTTTGGAGATTGTCGAGTCCGGAGCGGTCCGGGGCACCTAGCAGCACTGCCAACGAGGGGAGCCTCCCGGGGCCCTTCCACCTCTTATCGGGCGCCGTCCTCCGAAAATTATTTCAGACCCGAATTGGAGCACGCGCTCGCCCATTGGTCGCATTCACGTGAGAAGCTCGGGCCACTGTGCGCGTCAACTCCAGGCCGGATGGTGGGGAACTGGCAGGCACAGGATGCGGGAGCTAGAGCGCATGCGGTATAGCTCCGCAACCTCTTGGCGGATTGCGGGTGCAAGTGGAGTGGGGCTAGAAGCAGAGTCGGGCGGTAGAAACTGGCACAAAAAGTCCGTCTAAAACCAAAGGCGCTTCCCTTGGACCTGGGTGGGGCTGATTTGGTTGCTTGGTTGCTTTCGCCGCTCTTTTTTTTGCGCTGAGGGGAGGTTTTGACAAGTGCAGTCCTCGATATGACTCCAATGCCGACAGACCCTGGAAAAAGTCCGGGCAGATGGGTTACGCTACTGTATGATGATGGAGGGAAGGAGCTCAGTAATAGATGGGCAAGACTGAATGAAATTCTCGATCTTTGACAAGGGAATTGAAGTGTTTGTTACAGTTCAGAATTCTCGATTTACCTACCTGACTTACACTACCTCTACACTTCAAACACGTCCTGGGATTTGATGGTGAATGGCCGTCTTTCCTGTCGCGTCGATCAACAATCAACCCTGCACCAACCCAACACCATTCCCCCACTGCACCCTGCAATAACATTTTGCGCCTACCGCCCCAAAACTGGAGTGCACCTGAAGGACCCACTAAATAATTTCGTCGTTTTGCCTGCTTGGTCCCCGGTCTCCAGTGCACTTTCTGCATTTTCATCATCCATTCACCATTATCTCTCTCCCGGCCATCTACATCCATTCTTCTCTTCCGTGCACGCGCATCACGTTAGACGGTCAATTGCCTTTACAGCCGCTTGTACTTTACCCTTTCAAATACCTACAGGCCACTCCGACCTTCATCATGAGCGATACCACCGCCAACACTGAGGCTGCGCCTGCCGTCGAGAATGTTCAGACCGAGGTCCAAACCGAGACTGTAGAGGCCCCCGTCGCTGAGGCTGCCCCCGCCGCCGAGGAGGCTCCCAAGACTGAGGATGCCAGCAAGGAGGAGGAGAAGAAGCCTGAGGCTACCAAGTCTATCGACCGCGCCGACTACAAGAACAACAGGAAATACGATCCTTCGACCCAGCCCGTCACTGACGATCCCGTCAAGATCCGCAACCAGGTACGCTCAGACTACAAAAAAATTGGCATGCTGCATGTCACCGTGTCTAACAAATAGTCTTAGGTCGAGTTCTACTTCAGCGACAGCAACCTCCCTACCGATAAGTTCATGTGGGAGACGACCGGAGGCGTGGAGAACAAGCCCGTTTCGCTCAAGACCATCTGCAGCTTCAAGCGCATGCAGATGTTCCAGCCCTACTCGGCCGTCGTCGCTGCGTTGAAGGAGAGCGCCTTCTTGGATGTGTCTGGCGAGGAGGGCCAGGAGACGGTCAAGCGCAAGAAGGCCTACACTTCGTCCTCTGATGCGCAAAAGGCCCGTCTGGCTGCCAGCGTTTACGTCAAGGGTTTCGGCGAAGAGACCGGATCCACTCAGTTCGACATCGAGGCTTTCTTCACCAAGTTTGGTCAGGTCAACCTGGTGAAGCTGAGGCGTAACGAGGAGAACAAATTCAAGGGCTCGGTCTTCGTTGAGTTTAAGACGGAAGACGAAGCCAACGCCTTTGTTGCCCTGAACCCCGCCCCCAAGTGGCAGGACCAAGAGCTCGTCATCAAGAAGAAGAAGGACTACCTGGACGAGAAGACCCAGCTCATTAAGGAGGGCAAGATGGAGCCCGGCACCAGCAAGAAAAAGATCTTCTTCGAGGGCAGCATCAAGGGTGCCGAACGTGGCCGCGGACGTGGCGGCCGCAGCGGTGGTGACAAGGGTGACTGGAAGTCGCGTCGTGATAACGACCAGAGAAACGGCTTCAAGGGTGGCCGTGGTCGTGGAAGGGGTGGCCGCGGTGGCCGTGGCGGCCGTGGTGGTCGCGATAACCGTGACCGCAACAACGAGTAAGTTACAGCCATCCGACAATTGGGTTTCGAACATTTACTAACGTGTGGTATAGTAACAACAACAAGCGTGCCCGTGAAGATGACGGAGACAAGAGTGCTGAGCCAGCGGCGAAGAAGGTCGACACTAAGACTGAGGCTGTCGAGCAGCAATAGAAGGCCGACATTGGTATGCTCCAAGTTCTGGGCCGGACGGACTGATGACTTGTTCCTGATGAATAATTGTCGAGGCTGTAAAACATTCGGACGGCGTTATATGGGTGGTGTTTGTTTTAAACTTAAAAGGGCAGGTATTTCGTACTACAACATCCGATATTGACCTTGATAGCGTGCTGTGGTTATTGCATGCAAATATATACGCAGTATAAAGGCGATGGTTCTAGAAGTAAGCATTGTATTACTTTTGCTAGACCAGTTGAGTGAATGGACTACTAGATATTTTATCATGTCAGACCTTCATGCTGTTGTTCCCTCAAGATTGGAAGTTGTGGTCTCTGATAGCCCAAAAATCGCCGACTGGATTATGTGTAGATACCAAGGTGACGCGGCCATAGTCAATGGTTTGGGTAGACAAGGAGACCGTCTCAGGCGCCTTGGGGAAACAGCCATTCGTTTACTGAACAGTCATTTTCTTTCATGCTGGGCCTTCCACGCTGAGCACGCCTATGATATCGTTCCAGACCGCAAGTCACCATTTACCAACTTGAGTCTTATGGTACTATGTATCGATGTCTGGGCGTTGTGTTGGCTGCAAGGACGGGATGAGCACATGATGTAGTGTAAGATGGAGTTCTAGTATAGTGCAGTTTGGGGGCTGGACGCAACGAATGAGATGCGATGCAGTATCTCGATCAAGGCACGAAACAGACACAGTGCTCGAGATCCTCTTCTGATGCTTGAAGGAACCTCCGTTCGACCAATGATATCGCCGAGAAAACCTCGCCATGGGCAATGATCATGATTACTAACACTATTATAGCGTGTGTAGAAACAATTGAGAGCGTTTACAACTTGCAACTAGGTCGAGGTTTAAAGCTGCACACGCACTACCTACGAATCGACAATTATTGTCACTCGACACGATAGGGGTCCAAGTCATTTTGGCCCTCAGACCAGAAACAGTCAGTTTCACAGAGTCCCAGCAGCCTTGTCTCTTTATTTCGTGTACTGCTACGAAGCGTAAGTTGACGACTGTTACATATGCCTGCGTACCCGAGCACATCAACTGGGTAAGGTACCTCAAGGAAACAGCACGTACCAGCCGACGTCCCGAGTCTTGGTTGGGGATTTGGGGGTTTAGTTCAAACTTCGCTTCCATTTTATTGATCATCAACCACTTCACCTCACGTCCAACGGTGAACAAGAGAACGGGAGATCCGCAACATCTCAGGGGCTTATCCAATAGCCTTTTTTTGCTTTTTTCTGAGTCGTCCGTCTGCGTGTTGAACGTCCCGCTTGCGCCGGCGTTCTCTAATCGCTTGTTCGGCCTCTTGTCCTCTTCTCACCCGGCCTTGTACTCTGACTCAAGAACCGTCTTGACCAACCTGGCCGCCCCCATCGCCATCACTGTTGTGACTTTTCTCTTCCCGAAATCCCTACCCCGGACTACCCCGGATCTCCCTTGCCTCTGTTGGGCTGTCTCGACCCACGCCCACGCTGTGAGGACTGTGGAGTTCTGTTGCCGACCTCGACGGAGCTTCGCCGAGGTTATCACTGTTGGTTGGGATACAACGCCCGTCGTCCGCGACTTTGATAATCGTTCAAGAGATCCTCCATTGCTTCAGTCGCACACGGTCTTCAGTCCAACACCGGACCTTTAAGAGCTGAGGCCCCGGTGACTCCCCGCCAATTCCCCGCAATCCAGCACCCTGGTACAGAACCCATCGGCCAGACGATATCAGGCGTCACAATTCCGTGTCGAGGCTTGCTTGCTGTCACAGTTGCAGTCCTTGCCAGAGCCACTATCACGGCTCGTACTTGGCAGTTCACCAAGGTACTCCCCGGCAGATGAACAGTTCGGATGTTCAAATGATGTCCTCTCAAGATGCGCCAGGCTCAGCCGGACTCGCCCCCGACAAAATCGCCTCTTCGTTACCTTCCAAGAAGAAGTCTAGGCGGGGCGCTGACCCTACCAACCAAAAGCGAAGATGTGTGAGCACGGCCTGCATCGCCTGTCGGAGGAGGAAGTCCAAGTGTGACGGCGCCCTTCCGAGCTGCGCGGCCTGTGCCAGTGTCTACGGCACCGAGTGCATCTATGACCCAAATTCAGATCACCGCCGCAAAGGCGTCTACCGGGAGAAGAACGATAGCATGAAAGCCCAGAACGCCACACTGCAGATTCTAATAGAGGCCATTTTGAATGCTTCCGAGGAAGATGTGCTCGACATTGTGAGGAGGATTCGCACCTGTGACGACCTTGACGAAGTAGCCGAGTCCATCCTCAGGGATGAGAAGAACGCAACAGCAACCAACTACAACGATGACAGCGATGATCCCACCCAAGCTGGCAGAGATGACGCTACCAGCCAGGCCGTTGAGGGTGAGAGGGACTTGGCCCGTAAGATGGGAGAGCTCCGAATCGAAAATGGTTCTGTTCGTTTTATTGGCGGTACCTCGCACCTCATATATCTCAGTGAACCGACAGATGCCTCTGAAGAACCGGAGCTGGAAACTCGCCTGTCGACCTGCGATGAGGATCCAATCACCACCTGGACAGAGGTGACCAAGAATCCTCAACTAATCATCCATCTCGTCAACATGTATTTCAACTGGCACTATCCTTACTTCACCACGCTGTCTAGAAGCTTGTTTTATCGGGATTTCATCAAGGGAAAGCCGGCTGGCCAACCACGCTCCACTGTTTACTGTTCGTCGCTGCTGGTCAATGCCATGCTCGCGCTTGGCTGTCACTTCACAAGTGTCGACGGTGCCTTTGCGGTACCTGGGGACAGCAGGACCAAGGGTGATCACTTCTTCGCCGAGGCCAAGAGACTGATTGTTCAGAACGACGAGTACGAAAAGCCAAGGCTCACTACCGTGCAAGCTCTGGCGCTTATGTCAGTGCGAGAAGCAGGCTGCGGACGGGAAGCGAAAGGCTGGGTATACAGCGGCATGAGCTTCAGAATGGCCCAAGACATTGGCCTGAATCTAGACATTGGATCGCTGGACGAAAAGGAGGTGGATGCCCGGAGAATCACCTTTTGGGGTTGCTTTGTGTTTGACAAGTGCTGGTCAAACTATCTCGGGCGGCTACCACAGCTTCCCAAAAACACTTATAACGTTCCGAAGTATGATGTGTTTCCAGACGAAGATGCTGAACTATGGTCTCCTTATACCGACGCAGGCTTCGACCAGTCTTGCAAGCAGCCATCTCGGACACGGGCTATAGGCTTACAGTTGTCGAAACTCTGCGAGATCAGTAGTGATCTTTTACTATTCTTCTACCACCCCAGTCATATTGGAAGATCGAGCGGCAAATCAGCTGAGCTCAAAAAGCTTAGCGAACTTCATCGGCGTCTGGAAGACTGGAGAACGGAGCTACCAAAGGAATTCGAACCCAAGGACGGCCAGTTACCCAATGTTATTCTAATGCAGTACGTTTTCTCACTCTCTACTTACCCAAGACTGGGCGGAGTTGCTCACCTTTTCACAGCATGTTTTATCATCTACAGTATATCCATCTATTCCGACCCTTTCTAAAGTACACAAAGGAAGCTTCGCCCCTGGAGAAGGTCCAGCCCCGAAGAATATGCACAACTAACGCCAATAGCATATCCAAACTTATGCGACTTTACAAAAAGCTGTATAACCTCCGGCAAATATGTAACATTGCCGTATACATGCTGCATTCTGCCTGCACAATACACATGCTTAACTTGCCCGAGAAAACTGCCAGACGGGATATAACCCACGGCGTTAGACAGTTGGAGGAGATGGCTGAAGACTGGCCTTGTGCGCGGAGAACATTAGGTATCATCAGCGTTCTAGCTCGGAAGTGGAATGTCGAACTACCCGAGGAGGCCGCCATCGTCTTGAAAAGGACAGACGAAAAGTACGGAATGTTTAGCACTTCCGAGGTCCCCTCACCCAACAGGACGGCCCCCTCTCTCGCTCCATCCTCGCCTGCACCTCCTTACTCCCCAGAAGCGCCTCTGCTTTTTTCTACAACAGCCGCCGCAGGACTAGAACAACAGCCGTACAGTCCAATGACACTATATAGCCACCCAACTCCTCCGCATCTTGCTCCTGAGAGTATATCCGATCCCGGAATGTCGCCTAATATGGTCACCTTCTCCGACCTGCCTGGTCCGTCCGCTCCCATTATCCCTCAGCAACAGCAGAACATGCAGGCTATATCTAGCTTAAGCCAAAACAATATGCTTCACCAACACCCCCACCACCTACAAAACCAACATCAACCTCAACAGCCACACCATAATCACATGACCTACCAGCAGCAACAACATAACCTGCTCACCCACCCAGTGAGCGCCTCATCCATGTCTATGAGCGACACTCTCGCCACCATTACGGCATGGGGTATACCAACCTCTTCACCCGGCAACAACAATAACAATAACATCGTATCCCAACATCCGCACCATCAAAAGCAACCACAACAGCAACAACAACCACAACCACAACGATATCCCACAGTTGGATCAATCGGCACAAACACCGTGAAGCCTCCAGCGGCTGCCACGCAGACCTTTACTCCAGCCCAGTTACACGCGAATAACTTGGCGACTGCAACGAGGTCGACAGCTTCCAACCACAACAGCAGCAAGAGCGTTGGCCGACACGTAAGTCCCAGCTCGATCTACGCCATTGATGGACAGGATTGGTACCTGAAGGATGGCGTTACCTGGCAACAAGGCTTTCAGGGGTGGGATCTGGAGGGTGGTGGAGCGGGAACAGCTACAAGCACTGGTGGTATTGGGGATGGGGGTGGACCTACTGATGGTGCTGGTGATAGCATGGCGAGGCTAGCTCCTCGAAGGAATATTGCCGGCGGCGGCGGCGGCGGTAGTACAGGACAACAACGGCAACAGCAACAGCAACAGCAGCAAGAGGCTAATATGTTCGCGTATCATCATGGGGCAGAGAGAAGGGGGGATGGTATAGAAACGACGGGCATGGGGATGACGACGGTAGCAGGTGGAGGAGGAGGGTTCGATCCAATAGGAGGATCTGGGCTGTTGGATGATTTGGTGGGTCTGGAGGGTTTGGGCAGTTTGGACGGCTTGGGACATCTCCCAGGTCTAGATTGAGTTTGGGGTTTTCTCATGTGACTTGAATCGAAGGACACGGAATTTGGAAAAGGGAATGGATGGGTAGAGGTGGAATTCGGACATACATATATATACCCATGGTTGAGAGAATAAATGCGATAGTGTCATTGTATACACGAATTTCTTCGAAAGAACTTCAGAAAGAAGCTTTATAGGTGCCATGGTGATTCACAGCTTGCATATATACTTAGCTCGACGGCAGGAAACCTTGAAATGAAGTTTGATTCAACTCCTGTCCACCGAAGTATGGCAGTTTAAAATTGTCCAAATTCCCCCAAACCCACCAAAAATTTTTACTTTCCTGTTGCTTAAAGACCACACATAACAAAACAGCGATCATAAGAAGAGAATAAGTAACTTACCGAGGCTATTCTAGTATTTCAGTTGCCCAAGTGCTTTTATAGTTGCGATGGCAGCTCTCTATAGCCATCACAGAAGTTATGATGTGGGCACCAATATGTATACCTTTAGAGATTAAATTACGTGATATGTAGGTATGGCCTTTTGAGCCAGTCGAAGCGTTGAAATGGAAGGCGCGCGGGATCGAGGCATGCCAAACATGTCTGATCTACGCTGGGGTCACTCTAGGCATTTGTTTTTTTTTACTTGAAAACACATCCATTTCAAATAACTATATAGGTAGGTACTGTGTTCCATATCTAGTCTACCAACTCAACGACCCTCAACCACACTTCTCCAATTCTTTTGTGTACACCCCTGCTATACACTCAATATTCCCATCTCCTCCAATACCTTCCTATACTCCCCGGCCTCCCTCTCCATCTCCTCCATCTCCCTCGCCGTCCTCGCCGCATCCTCGATACTAGGGAAACTTCCTCCCGGCTTTGGTCTCGCCTGCAGTTCCGCCACTCCCTCCTCCTCCTCCTCCTGTAAAAGCGCCTCCACCTCTTTGCTCTGGATGTCACCCCCTCTCCCGTTCAATTGTTGCCCTCCAAGAGCACGCTCTCGTTGCTGCCCAAAAGTACTGCTGTGCTGAAGATGATGATGATGATGAGGCCCACCACCGTTACCGTGCCCATGCCCGTGCCCATGATCTCTATCCCACAACGCCCCCCCAATATTCCCCTTCTCCTCCGCCATCCACTCATACAGCGCATCCGACGGCGTCTCGGTGTCCTTGGCGCTCACGTTGCGAATCCGCGGGATGACGTGCACGTGTACGTGGGAAACGGTTTGGCCGGCTTCGGGACCGTCTTGTACGGCGATGTTGAAGGAGCCGCCTGTTTCCAGCATCACTTTATCTTCGACTCCACCCTCATCCTCCTCCTCCTCCTCCTTCTCCCTCTGTTTTGGGTGGGTGGTGGTGGTACCAGGGTGGAAGTAATACCGTCCCAACATCCTCTGCACCACTTGCACGGTAGAAAACAAATCGGTGACTTCGGCGGGGGAGAGGTCGGTTAATCGCTTGTGCGGGACCAAAGGGCAGACGAGCACGTGGCCGGGGAGAAGAGGTTTGAGGTTCACCAGGGCGAAGGAGTGAGGGGTCCGGAGAAAGACTTGGTTGGTTACTTTGAAAGGACCGAAGTGGATTTCATTGTCGCTGCAGTGGGATGGTTGTGTTGATTCTGGGCGAATGCTCCCTTCCGAAGGGTCGGAAGAGGTGCTCATTGTCATTTTTCCAGTTGCTGTTGTTGGCGGTGCGACCTTGAAGGTAGGAGGGAAGGTTGAACCAAAGAGGGTGGTGGGAAGGATCGATGAACGGCCGGTGAGTGTCGTCGGCGTGGATCGTGGTAGAGTTTTGTTGTGCTTGGGGATGCGCGGGGCAGCGGAAAGGCTGATGAGTTGTCTATGTTGTCTTCTGAGGACAATGTTCGTCTTTCCACTTTTGATCAAACTAAGAAGGTCACTCTCTGTCTTTTTGAAAATGTGCCCCATGCGCAGCCCTGTGGATATGACTTCCAGGCGATCTGAGATTTGGTCATGAAGATGATGTCAGACGTTCCGGTAGTTGGGGAATGTTGTCAAAGCTTGGGTTTCACGACAGTCGGGTGTTGGACGACGACGTACGAGAGCTGGTGTTGCGGTGAGGTGAGACACGAACACAGCTCGGTATACACTAAGTGTCGCTGACAGCGGTGTCTTGACAGCCCGTAATATCGGTGGAGACTGCGGCGCATGGAAGCTTTGCAGCAGTGACGTTACAACGACAGGGCAGCTTAAGCGACCAATTCAATGAAAGACAAGGACTGAACGTGTCCATCGCGATTTCCACAATGTTCGCCAATTCACTTGCTCGGTCCTCAGATATTCTCGAGGTATTCGCATACACTCCTTTATTGTCGAGAATGGTATCTGTGTCGATCAAAAACAACATCTAGATTTTATGAGGGATGATTCCCAATTTAAGCTGGTCAACTCCAACGACTACTAATGCACTGGCCTTCGAGGTAGACACTATCACCAACTTATACACACATGTATCGGATCATTGATAAATGAGAGGAGTTTACATAGTACAATCCTTCAAGTGGTGTTTCCCGTCTTAACAGAAGATTCACCTTCATAGTCACAGCATCCAAGCGATATAAACAACAACAACAAAAGCCACCTTGATAGATACAGCATCCAAGCGATATAACCAACAGAAAAAACTACCTGGTGTTGAGGAATCTCTCCACACATACATGCAACTGAAATGACAAGGGGAGATTGCGAAAGGGCTACAAATAAGCATGGCATACTAGATCTTACAAGCCAGGTATAACCTCCTCATCCTCCAATAGATCCTGTCTCTGCCTAATTCGTGTCGATCCTGAACCCGCTGACGAAGGTCTAGGCTCATCATCCTCTGCTATGAATACTACAACAAACTGTCAGCGGGTGCCAAAACAAATCAAAGCCACGGCTGATGAGGGCTTTCCAAAGGGAACTGAACATACCATGAGGTCTAACAGTAAAAGACGCTACCAGCGCTACCGCAAAGATAGAACACAGCAACACAAAAAATGCCTGCGGATACGTCGACACGGTCGCTGCATACAGCCCATTGAAGATGATGGGGAAGAAGACACGTGCCAGGGCATGAAGCAGCCCAACAGCTCCCAGCAACTGTCCCACCCGCTCAGTAGGAACATGCTTGCTTATAGAGGCCTGAATTGATGCCGATCCGAGCCCCCCAAAGGCTGCAATGACAGCTGACAGGATGAACCACTCCTGGGTACGAGCAAAAATGTACCCGCCAATGCCGATAACATCGGAGATCAGGGCACTGCGCAGAACCCAGACGTCCAGTTCGTCGGCGCCGACATTCTTCTCGTCAACCAGCAAGTTGCCAGACTCCCTCCTTCGGCGAGCTGCAGGCCGAGTGCGGAAAATGTAATTGATGACGGGGAAAATGCCAATGAGAACGAAGATCCGGACCATCGAGACCAGAGACATGAACCGCGAAGCCTCGAGATTTCCCCAACCAAACACAAATTCTGTGTACAAAATCAAGATCGTGCCGGAGCTCATGGCAGCTCCAAGGATGGACATGTCGATGAGTGCCAGCGTGACAAGATTGCGACGCAGGCGCTTATGTTGAGGTCCCGATGGAAACAGGATCTTCAACGGAGCAAAAGGATTCGCCCTGTGCACAGAGCGCACGCCATGTCCGAAGTGCTTGCCAAATGGGATGAACTTGGACACCACGGCTGCCCAACGGGGAACTTCCCCGAGAGCCTCTTGCTCTCTGGCGTATTTCTCGCGTGCGAGGAGCTGCCGCCTCCGGGAGAGCGATTCGGGGGTGACGAAGTAGATGAACAGGATGAAGACGATGTGGCAACCAAGAGTAACGTAAAAGATGGACAAAAGGGATCCTGTCCACTTGACGAAATAGCCGGCTAGGAGAGGACCGAAGGCAAGGCCCGTGAACAGGCACGCGTGGAGGTAACCGATGGCAACGCCTCTCTTGGATGGGGGCGTACAATCGCTGGCATACGAGTGGATGAGGACGCTGCCGGCAGTGAAGGAACCGGCCAGGCCGTCGAAGAAGGCGCCGAGCAAAATCCAGCTGTAGTGAACGGTATCTGGGTACTTCCCAGCCAAGATGACCGTAATCTCGGAAATGACACCACCGACGGAACAGATGGCCACCATCGATGTGCGACCATATCGATCCGAGAGTGCTCCGAGCTTGGGTGCAGTGAAGGCGCTGATTATGCCCACCAAAACGCTCATGCACAATGTGAAGCTTGCGACTAGGCGCTGTACGTCGGGGATGTTGCATTGGGGGTTGTTGCCGCCGTGGATAACAGGTGTGAAGACGAAGCTGGGATCTGCTGCTGATCTATCGGCAAAGTATCGGTCACATATGAGAGTGATGATTCTGGATTTCATTAGTTTGGAAAACGAGAATTAGCCCATACCCACGGGCTGTGAGGCGGGCGACATGGTTCAACAGCGAGGGAATCCTACAGATTAATCTTGGGGACCAAAGAGCCTCCAAAGGCCAAGGTGAACATGGCATAAGGTGCCACCAGCCACCAGACCTGTGCCGTTGATTAGCAACTCATCAAAGCAATAGTCAAAAGCTTGGAACATACGGCTGGTTTTCTCCACCATGGTAGCCCTTCAAAGTCCTTCATTGCAGCCCAGCTGTCCTTGCGAGCATCATGGCCGCCGTCAGGACCCAACAGGCCCGTCGCCTCGGTGTCATTGTCCGTGAGCCCGTTTGTCTTGAGGGTATCGCGAAGACGTGTCGTTGTATCTGAGTCCATGCCTTGGAAATCCATCGTAGTGCCCCGAGTCAGCGTTGATGCGGGATCCGAATCCGGAAAGCCGCTGTGTGTAGCCATATTGGGCCCAGTCCGGGCGTTGATGTGTTGCCGCCTCGGGTCCCACCAGCGTTGCCTTTCAACGCCTGGTGTTCTTGCGTGCTTGAGCACAGTATCCGTCTCGAGCGTGATACTCAAGATCAGTCTGCAAGCCCAAGCTGTGTATTCAGCAAAGAGAGGATTGAAAGTGAGAGTGAAAAGTAAGAGGAGAGTTAAGAGTAAAAGAACTGTGTGTGACAACAAACGCTATTGCGCCATGGGCGGAATTACTTTTTAGTTGACAATGCTCGCACTAACAAGGAAAAAAAAGCACATGCGCGTAGGGTTTCTTATCTCGTCGCAAGCTACTGCCGGAGTAGAGATGATGGTTCGCTGGCGCGGCCCGATATATGTCCTGTACCAGATGCTGCTGCAACGCGTCTATTGGTGATGGATTGATTGATTGATTCCAACTGGCAGATCAATGAAGTATGCTTTATCCTATCAGAATATCGGAGCCCAGATATAATGCGAGCAAAGCTGGATGAGATTTTGTGGCTCTTGAACAAAGCCAGTACACGCCTCGTCTGATATCGATGTTTCGTCAGAGTGCAGCAACCGCTTACCCGGGAAGAACGATAACGGGAGGGAGGGATGGAAGAGGGGGGGAAAGTTATGGATGAAGGGGGAGCGGGATGCCCCTGGGACGGGGATGATGGGAAATGGAACTGAAAACCTAAGCCACTCAAGGAAGCAAAAGGTAGGGTGAAGAAGAAACCTCGCTTCCAGGTGTCAGTTCCATGTGGCCCGCGACTAGACATTTCAGAAATGCCGAAAAAAAAAGGTCCAGAGAAAAGCCCATAGGATCTGGGGAAAACGAACGCTTGTTTGTTCCGATATCGATTCTCAATAGTTCTGAACTGCTAGGCCTTACATAGGATACACGAAAGTACTTTATTGTCTAGCAATATCTACCCCCATGCTGCAGATAAACCCTCACTGTACTAAACCCTGTGGTTGGATGTCTTGGAAGGAGCTGTCACTGCAGCAGGTATTGATAAGTACCTGCCTACCTAGTCTACGTAATTTGCCCGATCCAGTCTACAATCGGTCGGTCGGCCGGGCACCTAGGGTTCCGAATTCCGAACCCTCCACGCAGAGATTATGTTGCTTTGGTTGCTGCTGTCTCACCCTAGATCTGCGTCCGCTTTCAGACACTTTTGTTTTCCCCTCGTTGACATTTGCCAAATCGTTGTACCCCATTAGTCGAGTCGCAAAACCGATGCAAATACAGTTTGCATCTTGCCCCTCACCTTCCGATAGTAAATAGACGGAATGCGAGCCCAAGCAACCCAATGGGCCACGCTTCAACTCATCTATGGATTGATGGTTTGTCCACTACCATCGAGACTCCGCGGGCGGCCAGTACACTATAAACAGTAGTCGATGACGCAGCCATTAAGACGTTGCCAGGGATCCCTACCATGCTTTGCATCTCTCCCCCACGACGAAATAACTTGCCTCGGCTCTGATTGATAAGCCACCACACCACCGTCACATAGCACCTCACCAAGGCACATTTGATCTCTAGATGGATACCGAACAACGCTCGACCACCTCGTTTGTAGTTCGCGGTCGCCATGCTAACCTTTGCTCTGCCGACCACTGTTCCAACTTGAGTAGAATCTTCACTTTGATGTATGCCTTCAGTTCATGGAAAAAGCCAGTTCTTTTGGAACCAAAATGCATGCATACACGCAGTCCATCCCTTTTTGAGACCCGCCCGTATTATAGATTTTGTTTGAAGTATTGTACACGATATTATGGGCTCCCCCAATCATTTGTTTCAGTGACCAGGGATGATCTCCTGGCCAGCAAAGAACTTCTTGGACGCCGCACACCTCTCGCTCTTGCAGCCGGGGCATCTCAGGCTGTTCTGGTGCGAGCAAGCAAGTCCGCTATCAAGATGCTCCTTGGCGAGATCGGCCAGGGCCTTGATGAAGACGGGGTTACCGTTCAGACTCTCCACGCGCTTGACCGTGTCGGGATGTCCAGACTCGCCAATGACCTCCTGGTCAAGCTCGTAAAGGGTTTCAATGTGATCAGACGTAAAGGCGATTGGGATCAACACGAGGTCCTTCTGGCCCTTGTGGATGTACTCCTCCACAGAGGTTTGCGTCTGGGGACCGAGCCACGGCTGGGGCCCGACTTGTGACTGGTAGCATAGCCTGTAAGGGTTGGAGAAGTTAAGACGCTGCATAACCGCCTGGACGGTGGCGCCAATCTCCTGGGGATAAGGGTCACCTAAAGTGGGTGTTATTAGTATCTCCCATTGCAAGGTCACTAGAGAGGAGATCGGCATACCTCTGTTGACAACAGACATGGGCAAGCTGTGAGCCGAGAACAGCAACACAACATCCTTCCTGCGCTCCTCGGGGTACTCGGCCAGCTTCTCCTCGATATTCCTCGCAAAGGCCTCGACAAGGCCAGGGTGAATAGGCCACCTGTCAATCACACTCCACCGAATGGTACCATCCTTACCATCCTCTGATGGCCCAGCCTTGCCCTCGAGTCTTTGCCTCCACTTCCATAGCTCGTTCAAACTGCTGCCCGTGGTCGAGCAGGAGTACTGGGGATACTGAGTGAAAGCGACGGCCCGGCCGCCCTTGCCATTTCCGAAGCCATCGGCCAGAAGCTTCTTGTACATCTCCTCGGTGAGAGGGTTGGCATAGCGGAAAGCGACATAGGGCTTGTGAGGCGCCGTCTCAGGCGAAATTTGGTCCAGAATCTTGCACATTTCCTCGCACTGGTACTCGGACCACTTGCGAATTGGGGAACCGCCGCCAATCGCACCATACTGCTTCTGAATCTTGGGAGTTCGGCGCTTCGAGATCAAAGGCCCCAAGTAGTTTTGTAGCCGACCCAGGGGGATGAGATCGGCATCAGCCTGCACGGGTTGGTCAACACAAACAGCCCCAATATGAAAATGGCGAGCTGCGCACAAGTATCGCCATCATCGTGATTCATGAACATACAAAGAGTCTGCTCAAAAAGTCTCCAACTTCATCCAAGGTAGATGGGCCGCCCATGTTGAGGAAGACCATTGCTGTGCCGACATTCTTCTGGGTGACGGGGTGAGTTGTCGGCGTGGCGAGCCACCTCATCTGCTGCTGAGCGCATCTGAACGACGGCCGGAAGCTCGAAGACCTCGCGGCCTTGCACAGCTGGGCCGTGGGCAGTCTAAGTGTCATGGAGGCCATGATGAGAAAACCGAAAGAAGGGGGTTTTGAACACAGCTCAGATCAAACTCGGTTTTCCAGGAAAAACATGTAAAAACTTGGTGGCCAAAGAGTGAAGAATATAGTGGTTTATATCAATCAGGGACAGAGAGTGACGCTGCGTGGGCGGGACGGGACGGTGGCTTCTTTCAGACGTGTTAAACTCGGCCGAACAGCCTGCGAAGCTGCGATCCTGTGGAGTGATGCCGGGACTGCTGCAGGGGTAGCTGTATCGGAAACCTCCCCAGTCTCCAATTGCTGACCATTTCTTGACTGCCGTCTGGCGATTTTCAGGGCCAGCAGACAGAAGAAGGGAACTGAAGCACGGGCCACGTAGGTGCCTGAAAGTGCAACTGGCTTTTGTCGGTTGAGACTGAGCTTCATCTAGTAGCCAATCACATCACACCACTCGACAGTCCTAGTGCTCCCAGGTCACATGCATTGGCGTTTAGGCAGTCGTCGTCGCGTCCCCATCGCGTTTCCTACATGAAGTCATCATCACCCTGTTGACAACTTGGAAATCCCAATCTCAGCGTTTACTCATCGCAAACCATCCGACTCCAACTTCTCACCCCGCCTTTCGTGTAACCAGAAGCAACCCGAATCAGGGCTTAAAGTCCGTTCAAAATGTCTTGGAGGAAGGATGAGGATGAGAGACTAGACGGCGACGAAGGCGATGAGGAGTTGGATGAAAATGTTAGCAATCACCAATCTACTCACGGTCATCAACAAGCTTGCTGACAACGAGGCCAGGACTACAAAACACAAAAGGATGCAGTACTATTTGCCATCGATGTGAGCAAATCGATGTTGAAACCACCGCAGACTACGGGGGATAAGAAAGCCGACAAGGACTCTGCCCTGACAGCAGCCCTAACCTGCGCCTACCAAATCATGCAGCAGCGAATTATCTCCCAGCCCAGAGATATGATGGGTGTCTTGCTTTTTGGAACCGAAAAGTCCAAATTCCGCGATGATTCGGGCAGTGGCACAGGATATCCTCACTGCTATCTGCTATCCGATCTCGATATACCCGGCGCCGAAGATGTCAAGAAGCTCAAGGCCTTGGTAGAGGATGGCGAGGATGAAGACGAAATCATGGTTCCATCCAAAGAGCCCGTGATCATGTCCAACATGCTCTTCTGCGCCAACCAGGTCTTCACCACAAACGCAGCCAACTTTGGGTCCCGACGTCTGTTCATTGTCACCGATAACGATGATCCCCATGCCGGTGATAAGCAGGCAAAATCATCTGCCGCTGTTCGAGCCAAGGATCTTTACGACCTCGGCGTTGTTATCGAACTTTTCCCCATCAGTCGGGAGGACAAGAAGTTCGACCTGTCCAAGTTTTACGACGTAAGGAAGCGTGCATGTCAAGTTACTGAACTCTACGCTGACGATGAATAGGATATTATCTATCGCGATCCGGCAGCTGAAGCTGGACAGTCAGAAGGTCCCAAGACTTCCAAGTCTGGCGACGGTTTGACGTTGCTCAACTCCTTGATCTCCAACATCAACTCGAAGCAAACCCCGAAGCGCTCATATTTCTCAAACTTGCCCTTTGAGCTTGCCCCAGGGCTCACTATCTCTATCAAAGGGTACATGCCACTCACCAGACAAACCCCCACCCGCTCATGCTACGTATACGAAGGAGAGGAGCAGGCTCAGGTTGTCCAATCGGAGACCGCGCAGGTTGATTTTGCTGCCCGAACCGTCGAGAAGTCGGAACTGAGGAAAGGCTACAAATTTGGCGGCGAGCATATATGCTTCAAACCCGAAGAGCTGGCGGAACTCAAACAGATGGGCAAGAAAACACTTCGAATCATTGGATTCAAAAAGCGGTCCAAGATCCCGTCCTGGGCTTCGGTCAAAAAGTCCATATTCATATTTCCCAGCGAGGAGCAATATGTCGGCTCCACTCGCGTGTTCTCTGCTTTGTGGCAGAAGCTGCTCAAAGATGACAAGGTGGGTATCGCCTGGTTCGTCGCAAGGGAGAATGCCCATCCCGTCATGGTAGCCATCTTTCCTTCCGGAAACCCGGACGACGAGGAGGCAAACACGCCGTACCTACCTGCAGGGCTTTGGCTCTATCCACTTCCGTTCGCAGATGATGTTCGAAGCGTGGACCACGTAACAGCGCCTCCAAGGCCCGCAGACGAACTTACAGACCAGATGAGGCAAGTCATCCAGAACTTGCAACTTCCCAAGGCTATGTATGACCCGCGCAGGTATCCCAATCCCTCACTGCAATGGCACTACAAAATTTTACAGGCCAAGGCACTCGACGAAGAAACCCCCGATGCTATTGACGATCTCACGTTGCCCAAGTACAGGCAAATTGACAAAAGGGTCGGCGGTTACCTTGCTGAATGGAAGGAAATGCTTGCAAAGAAAGCCAATGATCTTCAGAATACCAGAGCGTTCAAGCGTGAGTTCGAGGAAGATGACGAAAGGCCGGCAAAGCGCGCGAAACCAAGCAAAAAGGCTGCCAGTGGTGGTGGCGGACCGGCCAACAGCAACGCAGACCTGAAGAAAGCATTTGAACAGGGCACGCTTGGCAAGATGACGGTAGCTGAGCTGAAGGACATTATGGCAAGCAAGGGCATAAGCACGGCCGGTAGGAAGGCTGAGCTAGCTGAGAGACTTGAACAATGGGTTGAGGAGAACTTGTGATTGTGAGGTTTGCTTGTTAGCATGCGGTGTTGTTGGAGTCTTGCCATCTTGGGTTTGAGTGTTTACGCTAGGCGTTCTCACAGGACAGTGACGATAGTTGCTGGAAATAAACAGGCCATGTCGCCGATCTTGTACTGAATGTGCCGGATAGACAAGTCAAGTTCATAGTAGATCACAAGCCGACGTTTCAGTCCAATAGTGTCATTGTCAGAAAGGATGAAAGAACCTAAGTGTACCCGGTGCTTATTTCATACGCAACGCTTGGCAAAGGAACCGCTTTATACAATTCAAAGTCGATCTATCTAGCGTATACCTTGGTGTTCTGAATAGTCTACTATGTACTGAGCTAACCAACCCCGCTGGCACGTCCTATCTGCAGATGATTCCCAGATCTAGGTACCTCTTCTACAAGACCGCAACGGGCTTTACTTACTGCGTAGAGGTAGATAGCGGGAGGGGATCTACTTTGAATGAGAACAAGTGGAACCCTGATCCTGATGCGGCTTCAATCTTTAAATACAGTGGGGTGAGGCCCTGAAGTGCGGTCCATAGCGGGCCGCTGCTCGTGTTACACAGGCATTCCCAGTCGCAATTCTTACAGCGGTACCCACACGTCCGCCCAGAACGAAGCGAACCTCAACCGCCGCGACTCCACCATTTTCGAGCTGCCCGCGTTTCTGAAAGAACGACGCGCATAGCGAGCGGGCATCATCACGACAACCACCTCAATTTTTCATTCCGACCACCCTTCCCCGCGACGGCTGTCCGACTGCTGCGCCTCTTGTCGCCGATAATTACAAATACTACTTAGTGACTTTTGGCTTCATTTCGACCTGGTCTGGCTCAACCGTCCAAACACGAAACAGGATCTCACCACGGTGATTGAGAATCAAGCACGATGGAGGCGTTGCTAGGCGCTTCCAACTCCAACCCTTCGTGCGGGTCCATCCTCGAGCTTAGGGAGCAACTGCGCAGCGTCTTCAGTACCAAGGTCACGGAAAAGAGAGCCGAACACGTCTCAGTCACATTGGAGCTGCGCTCGACCAGCGTGTTTCATATTCCAGTCACCGAGCCTGAGAACGAGCAACTTGAGCAAGCCGCCTCGATCGATCCGTCGTTGGGGGGCGCGCAATCCAGCGTAGCGCCTGTATCAGGAGAAGGAGGCGCCAACGGCAATGTCAACGGAAACCAACCAACGCGGCAGATCAACGCGATTGATGCGCTGATCAACCAGCCCTCCGACGACCACGTCTTGCAGAAATCGGTTGCGAAGCATATCATCACGACGCTGGGTGAAATCGATGGCAGTAGCTGGGCGGTGCGCCAGGTCTCGCGCGGCGAACAGGGCTGGACATTTGGATACGTCTGCAAGGATTCATGGCAAGCTTGGAGTCGCCAGAATGCTAAGAATCCTGCCCGAGCCGTCATCGGCGAATGGAGCCAGAAGCCGGATAGTATGGATGCTGTTAATTTGAGTAAGTCTTGGTTATCGTTCATCAGTATAATCGGACTCTGGGCTAACAGGACATCAAGGCCGCCCTGCGTTTGACTGCAGAGGATCAGTAACGGTTGCGTTTTTGAAGGGCAGAAAAGTCACCGAAGTCAAATACGATCACACGCCTCTTCACAAAACAGTAGGACAGCTTATCGAACTTCTAGTGCCTCCGCCGGCTCCTCGTGAACCCAAGCATGCGTTGCAACGAAGGGAACCAAAGAAGCCAAAGGAACCAAAGCCCCCAAGGCCCCCAAAGCCCCCCAAACAGCCAAAGCCACCCAAGGATCCCAATGCGCCAAAACCACCCCGGAAGAAGCGGCCCGCAGGCGAAGGTGGCGCAGGAGACGGTACTCAACCCAAGAAGCGCCGCAAGAAGAAGGACGCGGCTGCTGTTGGTCCAGACGGGAGTATTCTTCCGCCAGAGATGCGAGGTGCGCTACCAGTCGGCGAGTCATCTGAACGACCTCTTTATAACAGCCATGCAGGCGGCGATACCCAAAACGGCTACAGCACTTATCCAGAAGGACTCGTCGGTCAAGCCCCAGCTGCGGCCGATGAGGGCGTTCATGTTCATTCCATTCTCAACATTCCTCCTGCCGAGGCAGCTAGGCGTCGCACGGTGGCCATCGACCTACTCGAATCAGGCGGCATTGACCCCAAGACTCTTTCCCCCGAACAGTTCAACATCTTTGCCAACCAAGCCCCTGAACTTCAACAGGAGTCCTTGGACATGCTCAAGAAGTACGGTGCCGAGCGACTCCGCATCGTACACCCCGATAAGGAACAGGGAGATGGTGCACAAGCTGCTCCTGCTACGCAGGCGGCCACAGCACCATCAACAGCGCCGATCAATCTCTCAAAGAAGAAGTCTAAGAAGAAGAAGTCCGGAGTAGTGGACAGTGAGGAGGGCGTTGCCGCGTCGGGTGGTAAGAAGAAGAAAAAGAAGAACAAGGAGAAATTGACAAGAGGCAAATGCGATCCTTGTCGCGATCGTAAAATACCGGTTCGTTTGGCTTACATCCCCTTATGCTTGATTTGCATCTGACCAGCGTACAGTGCACAAAGGAGAAACCATCTTGCTCGCAATGCACGACGTCGGGGTTGCAATGCCATTATGCTCTCGAGAGGAAAGTGAAAGACATTTCTCCAGAGTCAGAGGCAGAACCAGAGGCCCAGTCCGAGCCTGTAGTTGTCGAAGCCGATGAAGAGCCGGAAGGCTTAGGGTCGCCGGGTTTTCATAATGAGCCGGCTCACCATGAACCTGCTAGCCATGAACCCTTTAACCAAGAACAAGACAATGATTCAATCGATAATAATATGCCACACGGACTACCAACGTCTGGGTTGGTCTCACCTCAACCGGAATCATCAACAACATATCATCAGCCTTCCGACCTCTACCAGCAGTTCAACTCGTCGGTGGACGCTTCGGCTACTCCTGAAGTGGCCCATACCGGCGTCACACCTGCAGCAATGGACTATATGCATTCCTCGGTTACTGACAACTCTTTACACAACTTCTCATACACCCAACCTCAGTCTGAGCCCGAGCCGGCGCCGGCACCGGTACCGGAGCCAGAACCCATACCTGAGCCTGTACCTGTTGTTGAGCAACCTCCCCCTGTCCAGCACACATCTAACTACGCTCAGCAGTCCAGCTCAACACAGGCGGGCGGTAGGACAAGACGGAGTCTGCCTTCAGGGCCATCGTTGCAAAGCGGTGCCATGAACGGTCACACCACCCATGCTCCAACGGAAAGCTGGACTCCTGTGCCGGTACCTACTATCCCGGCCGCCTACCAGAACAAGCCCTCTCCCAGGGCTTCAAGAGCAAGGAAGCCAGCACCAGCCGCGCCTCAGACGTCGATGCAAAATACGACGCAGCACAGAACCCAGAATACTGTGCAACAACCGGTGTCACAAGCGTTTGATGACCTGCGGCAAGCCTCAAGCTGGTCATCGGTCCCTCAACCTACTATTCCTGTCCAAAAGACAAGTCAACAACAGGCGCGCACCTCACCCTATCAAGCAGCAGCTCAGACCGTCCGTACTTCGTCTCGGCAGGGCAACCGAAGCCAGAACCATACACCGGTACAGCAGCAAACCAGTGCGCCAGGACGGCATAGCCAGCTGCAAGCTTCCCAATCCCATACGGACAACTCTAATTACCAATCCAATACAGGCGTAGCAGCCTCCACTTCGGTTGGTAATTACGATAGCTATTCGCAGTATCCTACGTCCAGTAGCAGGACAGAAGCCACGAATACTCGTATGAACTATGAACCCTATACTAATCCGTCATCTACTACGTCCAACTCCTATTCGTCCTACGACACTTATAACACGCGGTCAAGTACCAAAACGCCAGTAGCAAGCTTATCAGCAGCGCAGCCCACGGCTTCCTCATACAACACCAACACAGCTACGGCGGCGCCAAGCACGTCACAATGGGGGTCGAGTACGTCTGTCCCTCAGACGCGAAGCAGTGCTCGCTCGACTTATGATACAAATCCAACCACGTCGGCCTCCAACCAATATAACATGACCCCTTCGAATCCCCCACAATCCAGCTCCCTTCAGGGCTTCAACGTCAGGCCGCACTCCATGGCCCAGACCAGGTCCTCTACCGCCGCCTATGCCCAGCAGCAACAGCAACATCACCAGCAGCAATCACAGGCACAGCAGCAGCAGCGACAGCAGGTCCAACAGCAGCCAAGCTACAACAGCTACACAAGCCAGTCACACACCACGAACACGCAGCAACAGCAGCATCAACAGCAGCAGCAGACGCAAAACTGGGGTTACGGCAGTTTCGGATCGACCACTAATGCCTCGTCGACCGGTTACGGCTCCACCGGAGCCAGCAGCAACGCCAACAACAGCTACTCGACGGGGACCTCGGCAAGCTCGCACGCCCATAATGCGGCGCCGGCTGCGACCAATGCTGCGGCGTACAGCCACCAGCAGCCTCATCATAGGTCGATGAACCTGTCAAGTAATACGTACAGCAGCCACATTGGGAACGAGGATCAGGTGCTTTATGATTTGCTTAGACACCCTGGTGCTTAGTTGGATGACCCAGGAGAGAGAGCGAACATGTAGTAAGATCGATTGAAGAGTTGAAGTGGAGTTGAAGTGGACAAAATGGTTGGAATTAGGGGAGCATGGGCAGTCGATTGCCTTGCCATGCGTTGAGATCGTTGCGTGTACGTAATGAGCCACGTCTGCGATACCAAGGCAGAATAGGGGAAGACATGAGAAGCGGGGCTATTGATGAGTTATAGTCATCCTTTTTTTTTTTTTTTTTGCCTTCGGAAGTTGAGAATTAGCTGAGACAATTGTGCACGGAACGAAGTCACGCACTGGGGCAGATATATGTTTGGTAGGGTAGCTGGGACGAACAAAATGTATGTCTTTTCTGACCATATTTTGATTGTCTGCTGTTCGGCCGGTTACCGTATTTCTTTCTAGGCGATAGATATATGGAGCTTTTCTCATATGGATAGGATAGGGAGGATGAGTATGTGAAGAGCAGGTTGTAGGCAGCGCTTTTCTTGTTGCTTTCGCTCTGGGGGTTTATGGCTTGCTTACATCATTGTGAGAACTGGAAGGGGGAATGGATGCTCCCCTCTATTTTCAGGATCTTGTTGACGTTTGATGTAGCCGAATCCCTTCCTTTCTATGGGCAGTCATGAACTCATGCAAGTCTGTTCTCGTCTCATCCGCCTGAATTCTGACTATGTGTCAATCTGTCCTCACTGCTCACTGAATGTGTAGACAGATAAAAACAGACACCTTTGCACTTACACTCGAGGAATTCCCATCAACGAACCAAGCGTGTGTGTGCATTGCCTAAGGGTTTCTTTCCTACATACATACACTTCCAGTTTGGATTCCCGCAGTCATGTACTGTATAGTCAAAAGCAAATTCCGGTCTGAAGGCTCTGATGAAGTTGACCTACCGTAACCAGAAAAGAGAAAGAAAAAAATTCTGAAGCGCAGGCAGCTCAGCTCAGCTCAGCTCGCTTCATCGGCTTCATCACTCTCCATCCGGTGGCACCAACTAGTTGAATCGGCACAACGCAAGTAAGCAGCAACTACTTTAGTTCACATGAACTATTGATTTTACTAATGAGTCCTGTTCTCTCGGTCTCCCTCTGCCAGCGCTGAGTGGAGACAAGCGTTGGTTCAGGTGGGTTGAATCAATATAGCTGTGAGGGGGTGTCAAGTTGATTGGGTTGGACAGACAATACTGGGGCGGTTTGGATGCTGGTCTCGATTTGCTGTGGTTATATCAAAAGTTGTCGGTTGGAATAGCAAGCAGAGGCTGTCAAGGTTGTCCTTCCAGCGTGGTTTACAAGCAAGCTTGCTGGCCTGTTTTTCCATTACAGATTCTGCTGTTGGTCTTTCTGGGAGCTCCCAGTTAGCTAGGAGTTCAATCGGTCGGCCGGTCGGGAAAGCGGCCGCCCTGATATGGAACAATTCCATGCACAAATGGCGAGATCGGCATCCAGGATTCGTTTGGGTCCCGCTGCCTTCTAATTTTTCTTTGGAGTGTACAATAACTACATACGTACCTTTTACAACCACTGAGACTTCACTTTTGTGCAATGAATACTTTGTAAAGTACGTATGTGCTGTCCTCACATTCAATTAATCACATCACAACATCGGAGAATCACACACGTGGCTTGGATGTTACCTACCCATCTGCACTACTACAGCTCGAGTCCAGTCGGGCTGAGGTATGTACCCCGGAGGATGTAACGGCGGTTTAGGCAAGGGGACAAAAAGGGAGATGTGTGATGAGGAGATGTCGGTGGAGGGAAGTAGGTGGTGGTGGAATAGCCCGTGAGGATAGGGTAGCAATACAAGCAGACTTTTGTTTTACCCGAACCTATGATCTAAGTTTCGCGGATCTGTAAAAGGTTAAGAGTTTATGATGTCCAGGTAGGTGCCTCTATGCTTCAGGGTGAATGTAGTGTTTGATTCCCGATTCTCGCTGGCTTCAGGCAGAATTCGGTTCATATGTAGACTTCCAGGTTTGGTGAACCAAATACACCACGACCGTCGCTGCCGGCAGATGGAGCTCCCAAATTGATGAGGTTTTCTTATTGTTTCCTTTGTTTAGCTGTCCCGGGCTGTCAATTTCGGGATTTAACGAACCATCAAATCGACACCTGTCGTTGTCGGAATTGATCATCATGCGTTCTCAATGTAAGGAGGCAAGTCATGTGGAACATGGCTTCCTGTTTGTGTAGCCAACAAGCCGACAAGTCAGCTAACTGGGTGGGTTTCTGGGGGGGAAGAACGAAAACGGAAATAAAAAGGACGAAACGATGAAGAGACCGAATGATTCTAAATAGATACACAATGACATGCTGTGAAAAGTCGTCGCGAAAATCAGAGCCAACAAAGTGTTCACCATGTACTTGTGTACTTCAGACTCCGCCGTCAGACTGAATTAGAAGCAGTCGACGTCGTACTGGACAAGAGAACGCGCAAAGTCCACCCAAACAGGACAGTAGTGTAGTGTACGGGGGCCCGCTGCCCATCGGCCTTGTCCCCCAGATTAAGCCTGGTCCCACCGGAAGAGGCTGAAATTAGCGCTGCCGCAAATCGTCGGGAATGGTTACAATGGCGCCGCCGTACCCGTACGAGCCGTACCAGCAGCATCTCAGAGAAACGCCAAGCTAAAGGGACCACCACCACCGCAACCACCGTGACTCGCTGTGATCCATGCGAATCGAACCTCTTCCGAATACCGAAAGAGCCGCCGAGATGGTATCCACTGTTGTCGTAGTCCCCGTGGGCCTCGCTTGACGTGAAATGAGAAGGACGGCACGGCCACCTCAGCACTCGACGGGAGTGCATATCCGGAAGACAAGATGAGACGTACCTTTTGAGCCCACCAACGGAACTCCACACGCTCAAGCAAAAACCCCAAGTCCCAACTCCTTCTCTTCCGGCCGCTGCATTAACCTCACTACAACCCGATATAGAGCTTTTCACCCAAAAAGCCGGCTACTGGGCGCGCTGCGTTTACTGGTTCAATCAGCATCTCGTTGCAGTTCCTTTTCGTAAAGTTAGGAAGAAGCATCAAAAAAGGAGTGACTTTGTAACTTGGCGCCAAGAGCAACGGCTTGGCTACAAAGGTGTGGAGGGTACGTCTCATCTTGTCTTCCGGATACTCGATTCCCACTCGACACCTACGAGGGACATGGGGGCAATGAGGCTTTGCGCCGAGCGCGCTTGCTCTCTTGGAACTCTTGGGGGAGATCGCCAGATATGAGCGGTGGCCTCCAAATACACTACATAAATACATGTAGCGAAAGACTGCGCCAGGGAAGGGACCCTGATTCCCCGAAAAGTGAAACCAAGCCTTCACTTCATCTTCCATGTTCCCAGAACGTTGGGTCGCTCTTTCTGTGAAACCTCTTCCTGGCCTTTTCCTTTTTTTATTTTTCTTTCGGGGTCTTGTGCAATGCAATTTCCTCCTCCCTTCACCCTTGTTCCTTTTTAGGGCAGTCTCACCATGGCTGTGGTCCGGCTGCTTGGCGCAAGTTGGCGGTCCTGGCGTAGGCTCAGCAGCACCTGTAAGCGTGAAGGTATCCTCTTGGGGATATGCACTGCGAGCCAATGCCTAACTCGATTGGGGGAAGAGAAGCGTGGGTTACTGTGTATAATTGCCCTAGCTGCAGGCTGCAGCGTCTACACTCTGCAGCCCTTACTGTAGTCTTCAGGCGGACTTATCCGTGATGTCTGTCTTGCTCTGACCGCTCTGGATGCAGTTTTCGAGTTCCCAAGCCTTAGGTCCCTTGTGTTGATCGTCAGAGCCTGGAACCTCTTACAGACGACAATGCTTATAGTGTAGAGATGCGAACTGTCGGTAGAAAAAGAGGTCGAATGGCGGTCCAGGGGCTGGAAGTGACGTGATTGATGTTTTCCCGTGATAGTCGAAAAGGAAGGAACCAATCAACCCGACCACACTCTATGCACCCACCCGCAAGACAAGCACATGATGTGTCAAAACGTAAAATAACAAGAACAGGAGAGAGCTGTGAATGCTGTGGAGGTTGTTGACCAAACATCTTCAGCCAGACATCCGCGCGAATAGCAGTAGACGCAGTGTAGTAGAACGGAAAACCAATCCTCGGTGTTTTTAGTTAACAATGTTTGTTAAATGAAAGCCAGCGTGGACCTTGACAAGCCGGCTTCAACCCTCGGTTGGGATGGTCCCATCTTGGTGACGTATCTGTCGGCATCAGCCGCTCGGGTATGTGGATAGAGCTCTGGATATATATCTGCCCGTTAATAAGTTATGTGGGTGTGTGTGGAAAGGTAAGCGACCCCTTTCATCCAAATTGGGGAGTCGTCAGCCTCCATCCACCTTTTCGCTCGTAGCAAGCAGTGAAGCCCTTGGATCTTAACAGGGCAGACTCTATGGTCTTCCTGCCCCTGGCATCCATATCGAGTTATCTCTGCAATTTTCCACCTTTGCCGTTAGCCGTGGTCATCGGAGTCGCCCTATGCTTTTGAATTCGGGGTACCAGTGGGTGGCTTTCACCATGGCAGGCCCCACCGAACGACTGAAGATCACAACGTTCAATTTTCAAGCGACTCCCAGACGGGAGTTCTGGCCAAGGCGGTCCGGCTGTCTGCCAATGTGGTGTACCTATGCTATGTTTTGTGTGCCAATGGCTCCGCCGCCTCCACGATTCTGCGCCTCAACACGCCATTTCGCTTGGTCCAAGTTCGGATCTACGTTGTGTGGTTTGTGGGGCTTGTTACGAACTCCATCTCTCTTTTCGACAACCCGTTTATGCCCGCAGACCGTATACCAGGTGAGCCCAGGGCAGCCCAGGGCGTGTCTTGTGAGACACAAACGGACGGGAAACAGACTGGAAGATGCTGGCATATCTGAGTCTCGGAGTTATCTCAGAAATACCTATGGACCTCATGCCGTGTCATCTGCCGACCGGGCCGCCTCGTGTGCCTTGTTGCCCTCTCTGGGGATGAAAGCTGAAAAAGTGGAGGTGTCCATAGAAGTAGTGGTGGAATTCGCATCGTATCGAAGACTGGAGAAAGTGCGAGCAATCAGGGCATCGACTGTTTGTCTCTTTGTGAGGTAGTGTACACGACGGGAATATTCGCCATGGCCGCTGTTCGTTCAGCAGTGTCCAAGCGGCCAGGAACACAAACTTAGAACTCGTATCCCTGATCGACTTGGCCGTCGTGGAGTGCCTGACAATCCTGACCTGAAATTGCATCTCACAGGTAGGTTCGATAGGACATCGGATGCTGCAGCGCACGGTGAGTGGGACCTGGATCTGATGCCGGTAGGTGGAAACAGGTTCAGTTCCATAACAGGAATCTGATCTCTCAAGTTAGAAACTTGCACCTGAGCCACTGCACCGTTCCTGCTTTTTTGCAGACCGAAGAAGCAAAGTGGGAAAGAGCAACGGCCGCCGGAGATCGCTGGGTGCTGGAGTCTCTTCTTTCCAAACGGGAGTCGGGCTTTTTGCTCGTCCGGGCTCCATGCGCTTCGACTTTTTAGGTTCCTTCTCTGCTGCCCTGAGCCTGGTCGGCTACTTACTGCTGGTGGGCCTGCTGGAGCCCCATGCATCTGACAGGGGCTGCAGGGCAGGGCAAGCAGGGGATGAATTGGCGAGTGGCAGCGAGCGAGGTGCCGTGGTCGTGGATGCCACTGGATGCGACGGCGAGGGACCATGACACCACCACTAAGACTAGGTAATTTGTGGACTGAAGGCCAGAGGGTGAGGGTTAATGACGGGCGGAGGGCAGAAGGGTTCGATGCTCGGCGGACAAAAGGCGGGCCACATTCAGGGCACACTGGAGGTGCAGACACGATTTTAACGACGTGCGCTAGGAAACATCTGACGAAACGACCGCCAAGCCAGTCCTCCACCAATATCCCGGCCTCCTCCATCCGGGCATTGGGAATCCTGGCCGCTGTCTCTAGAGAGAAGAGCTGATGTTGACCCCAAAGGCGAACCATTGATGAAGCTACATCGCTTGGCCTCCATCCTCCTCCGTCGAGGTACATGTACATATATGCCCATCACCTCCCCCTCCCCCGTTCGCTCACGTCCTCTCCCTCAACGTCTTGCACCTTGGACAAGCTTGTCAATATTATTATTGTTTACTACAAAATTCAACGCCTTCGTGTACGACCTGAGACCTCGTGTCGGGGACCTTGGCCTCAGCTTCTTTCAGTCATTGAGTGTATAATAGCACACACGCAACACCGCTTCCCGCCGCCTTCTCCCGTGAGACGACGCATCTGATCCGCAACCCGTCGCGTGATTCAAGTCACTGTCCATCGAGTCCCTTCTTCGGGCGAATATGAGCAGCCCTTGGAACTGCTTCCCTCAGTTGTGCCCTCCTGGAAGCACTGGACTCCGGCGACCCTGAGTGAGCTCTGGATATTCATCATCAAACATAACAAAAAACAAAAATAAAATAAGCATCACACGAAAAAGAAAAGGAACAGGAGGGAAAGTAGGAAACAGACTTCTGCGACACATGACGACAATCGTTCAACCAAGCAAGATGCCATCCCTAACGAGCCCAGTGGAAGACCGTGTTATTCACGACGAGCACGACTGCATGACGGACGATGACTCTGATTTCGACTTTGACGAGGAATACTTTGCCCGTACCTATCAACCCCTGTCGAACCTCCCCACACCGCCCCCTTCGTCCCGCAATTCGTCAGTCCCACAGAGCCCCCAATCACTCGTGGAAAATGGAGGACTTCTCGACTCGGAACTGCTAGGTACGTGGTCTTTGATGGCTATCACTACCTGTATACCTCTGTACGATCATGTTCTAACACAGATATCTACTCATACAGGCCCTGCAATTCACTTGGTCAACCTCATCCCACCTGCTGCATCCTTGGCGTTGCCTTCTGTGTCCCTTGTCCACGAGTTGCTCACGCGCACAGGCTTGAAGCTGGACGAGATCGCTCTCGCCGTCTGTGTCCTAGACTCGATCAGCTCCAAGTTCGCGCTGAACTGGCGCTTGCGCTGTCCACCCTCTCGCCGCGAAGGTTCCACCACCAGCAACGAGCAACAGCAACAGTCAAAGCGATACACCCTTCCGGCAGCCGCCAGTCAACTCCATATCGACTGCGTCAAGCCCGAAGTCATTGTTCTGGGTGCGCTTATCATCGCCGTCAAGTTCCTGGAGGATTCCCACGCGCCAACCCAGTACTACCGCTCCGCATGGGGTAACAACCTGTGGACGTGCGAGCAGATCAACATCACGGAACGCTGCATCATGGAGGACCTGAACTACAGGATCCTTCCCCTGTGGGACGAGCGCTTGATCGGGGATGCATTGAAAGATATGGAGCGCGCCGGAAGGCAGGCTCTTCTTCCTCTCCCCCCTGCGGCGGCGGCGGCGGCGCAATCCCAATATCAATTCCAATCTTTGAAAGAACAGCACAAGCGATGTGTAAGCTCAGGCGCGGCTGTCTATAGGCCGGGGTTGCAATTGACACCGGCGGGAACGCCGCTGTCTGAATATAACTCACCACCGCCATTCAGTATGGACATGCAATGATTCGGCAACCACTGTCACCTCGGAGCCGAAAGGCACGAGGCGCGAGTTGATGGCGTTTACTCAAACACTGGGCCTCGTGGGCTTTCTTTTTATCGTTTCCTTTTACCAGCATTATACCCTCACGTTTTTTCACGGACTTGCGGTCGGGACCATTCTTCGGCGTTCACGTGTGGGTGGTCATAGGTCGATGCCTAGAGCGTCAAAGCAAACCATGCAACAGAATCATCGATTTACGAACTCGAAACACAACAAAAAGGGGAGGGGACATGATCAATTCCATGAGGCGTTTCGGGGCGAAAGCGGACTATTTGTTGTTCGATTCTGGGTCGGTCGGTTGACATGTCGGGGTCGATGAGTTTTCTTTTTTTTTTTTTTTTTTTTTTTTTTGCTGCCTCGCAAAGAATGGCGTTGGGTGGGGAGGGCTAGCTATGGAGTTTGATCATCCATCATCAAAAAGAAGGAGGGAGAGCAAAGCGTTATCCTTACGCAGTATGTAGTACATATCCATACCAGACAGGCTTTCTGTTGTAGTAATAGTATAATCGTGACTACCTCTACCCAAAGTCCAAAACGCCGAGCCCAGCCAAAGGCAGTTTGCCTTCCAAGCCATTGTTGATTCCACCCACGGTCGTCCAGTCCCTGTGACATCATCAGAATCCTGATACGAACGACACAGAAACGCGCGGTCAGAGCCATCCTTAAATGAAAACGGACGGGCGATCATAACTTGGTCTGCCTGGGCCATGGGGTTCGTTTGAAACACTTGCGCAGTATGTACGCTTCACCTCTGCCGGCATTTAGGTTTGTTAGCGCGGAGACTTGCATGTGGCGAGAGAATCCAGTTTTTGTACAGGAGATGACTGGTTTGACCGCATCTAAGCCTCTCTATATTGTAAGGTAGCGGTATCGCGCTAACAGGCTCGAATGCCAGCAGAGGTGTACACTACACGACAACAAGACAAAGCATGGGCGCTCTCTCGTTTCCGTAGTCCACGGTCGACCCTTGTCGCCGTAATCCACTCTTGCTGTCAGTTGTCAGGTACAAGCCCAACACTCTGCCGCTCCTGCGTTCGGCCCCTCCGAAACGAACGGGGATAAGCGGTAGTCGTCACCGGCCGGGCGTGGGGTCTGCCCGTTCCGTCTCATGCAGATTTCGAACCAGATAACGACGGGAACTAGGGATCGATCTGTAATACCTGTAAGCGGTAAAGTAAAGTAATTTCAGTAAAAGTAACGTAAAAATAAAATCCCTTACCAGATTTGCAGGTCACATGATTGTTTTTCGCTGTTTTATGCCCACAAAGACTAGCAGAGCAATACCAGCAAATGAAAATGAAAATGACGAAGGTAGAATGCAAATCAATATGCAAAGTAGTAGTGGCTATAGCGATTTACACTGAAGATTTCTTGTTGGAGATTAACAGGTATACCAATATTCTGGCCGGATGCACGGACTCTGCGCACGGACATTTACATGTCTTACTGTAAGGAAAAGTGTAAAGTAAGGTAAAAGTCCCAGATTTACGGTATCTATCGACCCCTAACGGGAACTGAAGGAGAATCGCCCGCTGAACTCGGATTGGAGCAAACCAGAAGCAGCAGCGAGATCGGGAGCACCTCCCGTTATGCTCATGGTGGTGTGTGGCAGGGCAAGGATTTAAGATGGCTTTCGTCAACTTTAAGGGGGTGTCTGGGCCGGCCGACGCCTCTTCGGGGTGTTGGGATATACTTAAATGGTCGAGAGCTACCTACCTACAAATTCATCCATCACTTTTGGTGGTTCGTTGTAGAATAATGGGACGAATGAACATGGCATGTTCTCTGGATAGACTCCCTACAAGTACCTCTACTCGTCAGACGGTCGATTTTGTGGACCTGACGAGTAATTCATCCCTTCCATACTCTCCTTATTGTTTCTGTTTCCCAATCAATCCCATCCAGTTCGACTGCAAAAGATCGCAAACACCTAACCATCTTCTAAAACACACATACCTCTGCTTCACCACATTATCCGGTGTAGACCTGAACTAACAACAGCTCCTTTGATACAGAGGCAAAGACAAAAGATAGCGAAACAAGACGGATGGGGTCTGAGACGCAAGCAGAGATCAAGGAATTTTGACCTGCCAGAGCCAAGGTAAAAACACCAATTGATCGTTTCGCGCCAAGGATCTTGCCCTCACACATGCACCAACACTTGACTCCATTCACAGCGGGCAATAACGAACCAAATGCTCTTGGGGCTGGCAATGTCACCTAACCAGCCTGGAAGTGGCGAAAGAACCCTCTGTCACTACCTATGTACCTGGTTGCCGAACATTCCACTGGTGAACTTCTGGATCTGCCAGAGATCTGTTGTTCCTTGCACATGAAACACCGGATCTTCTTCCCAAGTTCGAAGATCAGATGAAGCGAAGGCAAAAACAAAGTGAACAAAAAGTTGGTAGCGAGTCATTCAATTAGATTAGGCATTAGATCTAAACTAAATACAAAAAGATACGTATCAAACGTATATATATAAAATAAAATAAAAAGAAAAAGAAAAAAAGAAACGAAATAAACGTACGTACATAACGTATACATAACGAATGAACGAAACGAACGAACGTAACGCACGTAACGCACGCACACCGATCAACAGTGTACATACATAACGAACATACGCATCATTCACATTCATTCATACAAATCATTACACCCATTTATATCATTAAATCATAGCCGCTTCAAGCGGACTTTGAAGAGAGAGAAAAAGAAAAAAAGCGAAAACGAACATGTCTACCTAAATCGTTTACGCGTTCTATCTCTTACTCTTCTTGTGTTAGATAGACACGACAAAGGAAATTATACCCTTTTTGTCTATACACCGGAACACCGAAAACCCTAAATGAAAAGTAAATCGAGAAACGACCATCTTCTAACCAGACATGACCAACGCCAGGAGGGCCATACGGCAGTAGAGACCATATCTCATCTACAATCTGTCAGCAAACGAACCTGAGTGCCGCATGGTAGCGGAAACAATGTCAAAGGAGGATCTTACCTGTCTGAAGTATGCGGCCCGCTGGTCGAAGTCAACCTCCTCAGCAACCTCCTCGTTTCTGGGGAGCGGGTGCATGATAGCCATCTTGCTCTTGGCGTGCTTAAGGGTCTGGTTGTCGATGCGGTAAGAACCCTTCACCTTCTCATACTCCGCCTCGCTCGGGAACCTCTCCTTTTGCACACGAGTGCAGTACAAGACATCGGTCTTGCCGAGAATCTCAGGGGTCAACGTCTCAGACTCGCAGAGCAGCTGGCCGGCCTTGACCAGTTGCTGACGAACATCAGTAGGCAACTCAAGTCCCTTGGGGGCGACGAGCTGCACCTTGACTCCCGAGTAGTGACGAAGCAAGTAGACCAGGGAATGCACAGGTCTACCATAGCGAAGGTCACCGACGAACGTGAAGGTCAAGCCCTGGACAGTGCCCAGCTCCTCACGGACGGTGAAGAGATCCAAGAAAGCCTGGGTGGGGTGCTCCCTGCTTCCGTTACCAGCGTTGACAACAGGCACCGGGCTGTACTTCTTGGCAACGTCAACGCAGGTCTCGTCGGGATGGCGGAGAACAATGGCGTCGGCATAGCAGGCAAGAGTACGGAGCGTGTCCTGCAGAGTCTCGCCCTTCTGAACAGAGGAGTGCTGCGTAGCAACGGAAATGACTTCACCGCCCAGACGCTTCATGGCCGCCTCGAAAGACGCCGATGTACGGGTGGAAGGCTCGTAGAAGAGAGTGGCAAGCATGCGTCCCTTAAGAATGTCCATGACGTTTCCGCGCTGGACACTGAGGCGCATCTCCTCGGCAACAGTGAAAAGGAGATGCAAGTCGGCGCGAGTGTACTGCTCTACGGAGAGAACGTGGGCCTTCTTGAAAGAGTGAGGCCTGGAGAGCGAGTCCTGAAGGGTGAAGTTGACCTGTCCAGAGAGCTGAAGTGGGGTATGGCTGGTCTGGTAGTCACGCTCGCCGATCTCCATGTCACGGTACCTGGCGATAGCCTCGACAAGGATCTTGGCGTTCTTCACGTTGGTGACCAAGGGAATCTGGTAATCAACAGCCATGCGACGTGTCTGGTAACCCTTGCTGATGTAGTTGGCAGGGCGTCTGTACCTGTTGTTGGAGGGCAGGTTGATGTAGAGGTCGATCATGTTGTTAGCCAAGTGCTGGGTGAGGGAGTACTCGGACTTCTGGTCATCCTCCTTGGCAAGAACCTCCAAGAACTGCACGGGAATGTCGTGTTCTTGAAGGAAATCAGCAGTACCGGCGGTAGCGAAGAGTTTGTAGCCCATCTGAGAAAGCTTGGCCACAGAAGGCAGCATCTCCTTCTTGTCCTTGTATGAACCGATGGAGAGCAAGATGTTCTTCTTGGGAACCTTGAAGCCGGTGGACATCAAAGCCTTCAGGTAGGCCTCGTACTTGTCAACACCAAAGGAGGCAACTTCACCAGTGGAAGCCATCTCAACACCCAAGACGGGGTCGGCGCCAGACAGACGAGAGAAACTGAACTGGGGGACCTTGACACCGACACCGCCAGAAGGACGATCGATGGCAGGATACTCCACGAAAGGCAGACCCATGATAGCCTTGGTGGCCATCTCGATAAGATCAACTCCCATAACCTTGGAGACGAAGGGGAAAGAGCGCGAAGCGCGAACATTGCACTCAATCACCTTAATGTCGTTGTCCTTGGCGATGAACTGGATGTTGAAGGGACCGGTAACGTTGAGAGCGGCACCGATCTTGCGAGTGGCTTCCTCGATGCGCTGAATAGTGGCCTGCTCCAGATCCTGAGGCGGCAGGATAAGGGTTGCATCACCAGAGTGAACACCGGCGTTCTCGACGTGTTCAGAAATGAAGTGTCCAACAACCTTTCCGTCCTTGGCCACAGCGTCCATCTCGATTTCCTTGGCGTTCTCGATGTACTTGGTAATGACGACAGGGTGCTCAGGGGAGACATCGGCAGCCTGCTGAAGGTAGGACTCAAGATCGGCCTCGGAGTAGACAGTGTTCATGGCGGCGCCAGAAAGCACATAGGAAGGTCTGACAAGCACCGGATACGATACCTTCTGGCAGAAAGCCTTCGCCTCCTCGAAGCTGGTAAGTTCCTTCCAAGTCGGCTGGTCAACACCGATACGGTCAAGCATGCGGGAGAACTTGTAGCGGTTCTCGGCAGTGTCAATCATCTCAGGAGAAGTACCCAGAACTCTGACGCCAGCACGAAGAAGGGGCAGGGCAATGTTGTTGGGCGTTTGGCCACCCATAGCTCCCAACACTCCGGTTGCGTCCTCCATCTGATAGACGTCCAGAACGGTTTCCAGGTTGATGTTCTCGAAGTACAGCTTGTCGGCTTCATCATAGTCGGTACTGACGGTCTCAGGGTTATAGTTCACCATGATGGTCTTGAAGCCAGACTCGCGGAGCGTGCGAATGGCCCGAACGGAACACCAATCGAATTCGACGGAAGAACCAATGCGGTACACACCCGAACCAAGAACCATGACACCACGGTCTTCGAACGGAACATCGTGCTCGCTGGCGTTGTAGGTCAGATACAGGTAGTTGGTGAAGGCAGGGAATTCAGCGGCGACGGTGTCGATCTGCTTGACGAAAGGAGTAATGCCTGCCTCAAGACGCATGCGACGAATAGCTAACTCGTTGGAATCCCAGAAGTTGGCAAGCTGACGGTCGCAGAAGCCAAGCTGCTTCGCGCGAAGGAGAAGATCAGGACGACCAACAACATCGTTAGCCGTGAGTTTGGTCATGTCCTTGGCGAAATTGCTCAGGCCCTTGAGCTTGGACAAGAACCACTTGTCGATCTTGGTCAATTCCCAGATTCGGTTGACAGTATAGCCCGCGTGCATGGCGTTGGCAATGGCGAATAGACGCTGGTCAGAGGGGGTCTGGAGCTCGTCGTCGACGGACATAAGCGCAGTCTTGGACTCGCTGAAGCCAAGGTTGTGAAAATCGATGGCACGAATGGCCTTCTGGATGGCCTCTTCAAATGTCCTGCCGATGCTCATGACCTCGCCGACACTCTTCATGGAAGAGCCGAGCTGAGTGGAGACGCGGGTGAACTTCTTCAGATCCCAACGAGGCATCTTGACCACAACATAATCCAGAGAAGGCTCGAAGCAAGCGCAGGTCACCTTGGTAACGGTGTTCTTGATCTCTTTCAGAGGAATACCGAGACCCAACTTGGCAGCAATGAAAGCCAAGGGGTATCCGGTGGCCTTGGAAGCCAAGGCCGAGGAACGCGACAATCTGGCATTGACTTCGATAATGCAGTATTCCCTGGAGAAGGGGTTCAGAGCATACTGGATGTTGCACTCGCCGACAACTCCAAGATGGCGGATGACGTTGACAGCAGTAGTGCGAAGCATGTTGTAGTCTTCATCGGAAAGCGTCTGGGAAGGCGCGACGACAATGGAATCGCCGGTGTGAATACCAAGAGGATCGAAGTTCTCCATGTTGCACACAGTGATACAGTTGTCCTGGGCGTCACGAACAACCTCGTATTCGATCTCCTTCCAGCCCTTCATACTGCGCTCGACAAGGACCTGGGGACTGGCTGCCAGCGCCTTGTTGCACAGGTCAACGAGCTCAGCTTCGTTGTTGGCGAAGCCACTGCCGAGACCACCAAGAGCGTAGGCTGCACGAACGATAACCGGGTAACCAATGTCCTTGACTGCGTTGAGGGCCTCCTCAACACTGCTGGCCGAAGCGGACTTGGCACACTTCTCACCAATGGACTCCATGCTGCGAGCAAAGAGCTCACGGTCCTCCGTGGTGATGATGGTATCAATGGGGGTACCGAGAACCTTGACACCAAGAGCCTCAAACTCATCCTTGAGCTGGATACCGACCGAGAGGGCCGTCTGGCCACCAAAGGTGCAGTAGATGGCATCGGGCTGTTCGTACTTGATAACTTTCCGGACGAACTCGGCGTTTACGGGCAAGAAGTAGACCTTGTCGGCCAAGCCCTTGGAGGTCTGAATGGTGGCAATGTTGGGGTTGATGAGGACAGTGTAGATGCCTTCCTCCTTCAAAGCCTTGATGGCCTGAGATCCCGAGTAGTCGAATTCGCCAGCCTGACCGATGCTGAGACCACCACTGCCCAAGACGAGGACCTTCTTGACATCGACACGGGGGTGGAGTCTCTCGTTCTCCTCAGTGGTACCACCGGGGAATTCGACACCCTTCTGGAGAAGAGTGTTGTCGGTGGTGCACTTGGCAACAGTCTGAATGAAGACATCAAAGAGGAACTCGGTGTCACGGGGGCCGGGAGTGCTCTCAGGGTGGAACTGGACACTGAAGTGGGGGCGGTCAACGTGCATGATACCCTCGTTGCTGCCATCATTGGCGTTGATGAACAGCTCCTGCCATCCGGTGGGGAGAGTGGTAGCGTCAACCGCATAACCGTGGTTCTGCGAGGTGATATGGCACTTTCCAGTGACCATGCTTGTGCAAGGAATGTTGTGACCGCGGTTACCGAACTTGAGCTTGACCGTTTTGGCACCGGCAGCACGAGCGAGCAGCTGGTGACCCAAGCAGATACCGAAGATGGGTGTGTTGTTCTTCTGCAGGGCGGCAGAGATGTGCTCGACAGTGGTGTCCATGACCTTCGGGTCACCAGGACCGTTGGAGATGAACAGACCATCATATTCTTCCTTGGAGAAATCGTAGTCCCATGGGCAAACGAGGACTTCGACACCGCGCTTGATGAAGCACCTGAGCTGGTTGTACTTCATGCCGACATCGAGGCAGAGAATACGAAGGTTGCGACCCGAGGGGTGCTTGAGGGCAGTGGCCTCATCGGGCTTGTAGAGCTTGGGCTCCTTGATCGAGACTGAAAGTAGCGTGTTAGAAATGGTTTGCCCATCTTAGCGGAGGGCGCATGTTGCTTACCTTCGGCAACGAGGTTCTTCTCGTTGGGGTTAACCCATTCGATAGTCTCGAAGTGAGGCTTCCAGTCGCCAGGGACTCCGAGAGAAGGAGCGCTGACAGCCAAGTCTTCCTTCTGGAGAAGCATGCGACCAAGCATGCTACCCTTCTCGCGGATGCGCTTGGTGAGGGCGCGGGTATCGACACCGTACATGGCAGGGATGCCCTGCTCCTTGAGCCATGTTCCAAGGGACGAGGTGGCGAGGAAGTGCGAGAAGTCTTCACCAGCATAAGACGCGGTAACGAGACCGGCAATGTGAATCTGGTTGGACTCGAAGTGGGCGGGGAGATCCTTGAGAAGATCATCGACGGTTTCCCGCGAGGGGACGCCATAGTTTCCAACAAGAGGGAAGGTAATGACGAGAATCTGACCGCGGTACGAAGGATCGGTCACGGACTCAGGGTAGCCGACCATGCCGGTCTGGAAGACAAGCTCGCCGGCAATGCTCTTGGGCGCACCAAAGCTGTAGCCTTGGTAGGCAGAGCCATCCTCAAGCTCAAGGCAAACAAGGCCTTCGCAAGGCGCATCGGCGATGGGGGCCGTGGCGGGGCGGTAGACGGTCGCAGCCATGATGGAAACAGGTGAACTTTTAGAGTATAAACAAAAAAGAGAGAGAAATGACTATGGTAAGAAGGGTATAGTGGAAAAGAAAAGAGTAGTGAAAAAGCGGCACAAAATCGAGAATGGAAGACGGTGGTTGAGAGGACGTCAAAGATGGTGAGAGCTTCGTCAAGAAGAGCTCAGGAGCTGATTCGTTTTCGTTGGGGGGAGAACAGCGAGAAACTGGCAAGATGATGTTGGTGGGAATGTGTATGTTTCAGCTGGATATCCTCACTATCCAAGCTCGATATGGCCTCTGCTTGATAGCAAGAGGAAGAGAGAGAGGAGAGGAGAGGAAGAGAAAGGATCCCAGGACTCGACCACGGGGTAAATATTTTTTTTCTTGTTTCGGCAGCCTCGAGGAGCCCCGCCAAACCGTCAGCCCGCCACGCTGTGCCCGTAATTGGGTTGGGGACAGACGGCCTGGGCGACGGAGCGAGGCGAGTGGGATTCAGAAAAGTTTTCCGTTATTCACGCCATTGTCCAATGCCGTCTTCGGTGGCTCGTGAGAACCTGGAGGGGCGGGTCCAGCGGGAGTTGGCAGGGCCGGCAGCGCCGCAGGGCCGCGACACCTGCACATCCGGCAGGCAAGGTTTTAGCGCGGGGCAGCGGGGATCCCCTGAACACTGAACGACCGTCGTGGAGGGGTCCCCAGACGATTTTAGCTTGCGTCGCCTGCCAAGTTCGTCTAGAGCCAAACCCGAAAACCAATGATATTACAGGTGAAGAGAACTATGTGGGGGGGGTTTGTCAAAGACCCTGTACCGTGGCCCGCCCAGGACAAAATCTTGATGACACCCGGACCCGAGTTCAGATTTTGATCTTGGACCCGGCAAAAGGCTGGCCGGCTTTAACGTAAAGACACCATGACTATGAATGCGTTGAGCCGATACCACTACTAACACTACAGAACTGTATAGACTTCGAAGGCGCCGTCGCTGAGCATTCAATGCAATAGAACCTGTTGATTTGCGTGGTATTCGACTGAGTTTGGTGGTGTTTTGTGTGCTGAACTCAGGTGTCATCAATCTTGTCGTGTGCGACCGTGGGGTACCATCACTACCACAGAAATCCATGTCAACAAGTGCTGTCCCCTGTCACCAATCCGGGGCCCGTCCGTCCTGGTGTCCGGCATTTTCGCCGTCCCTATTTTGTCACTGCAGATCGGTCGTCTTCGACTACGTACCATCATTATTAGGACCGATGCAATGCCGTAAGGCCCGTGACGGCAGGAGAGGACCGGCAGAGTTGCAGCATGTTGTCACAATCACCATCCGATGTTCGATGTTGATATGTTCGCTAAAATTTCAGCATTGGCCGAAACCATCTTTTTTTGCTTGCCCTACATGATACATATGCAGTGTATGCATCTGGTCGTCCTCGCCAAAATCGCGATGGGGTACACTCCACCTCTGCAGGGATAGAAATGGTTAGCTCGGTTCTTGCGAGTGGCAAAGAACCTTAATTTTTTGCACAGGAAATGGCTCTCCTGTCGTCTGCCTACTCCCTGTTTCTTGTTCGATCGTCGTACCAAGCTAACCTTTTATATCCATGCAGAAGAGGTGAGCAAAATGGGCTTCTGCTGATCGAAGCGAGTTTTTCCTCTTACGTACGCCAACCAGCCATCTGTGGGGTTATGGAGCAGCGGTATCGCTTGCTCTTTGGGGCTCGTCAGAGTCATCGTTCGCATCGGGTCCGGTTGTCGGGATCTTAACACCGATCTCAACCGTCCCGTAGCCCTCACCTGCCAAAGTCTTCTGGCGGCGGACGCTCACCATAGCCCACGCAGTGCGTGCTGGTGTCAGTTGCTGACTGTATATCGAGACTTGAGAGCTTCATGTACCTTTGTGTTTGCAATATAGCGGGACGTGCACTGTGAGGAAACGGATAAGCAACTAGGTTGATGGAGTCAGTCTCCGAGTCATACTGCTAGCATGCCAAAGGATTTGCAAGAGTGCGGAATTCCAAACATCATGTTCCGCTCCAAGTATGGTGAGTTTGTGCTTCGGGTTTTGGCCGGTGCCATCGTCTCGCTGTATGCACCACCACCCGGAAAGTCCGCCAGGGAAAATGGGCCATCCGGCTCGGAGTGGGTCTTGTTTTCGCCGGGCAAGGACCGGTGTCTGCTTGGGATTGTAAGCTCTTTACAAGTATGAGGCTCGGACTCTTATTTCGCACACGGCGGGGCTCCTGGGTTAGGGTCCTTATACACTACGTCCAGCGATCCAAGAATGTAACGTACAGCTGGTGCTGTACCGATCTAAACTCCATTGCCCACCAGGCTGTCAACTACTGTGGTGGTTCCTTGGACCGTAGTACAGGCCTAGACAAACACTGGTCAATGTGACAGGAAGAGCAATTGCACCGAGAAGGTGCAGTAGCCGTAACGGGACATGACGCCGCCCCAAGGCGCTCCGCACCACCATAGTCAGCGATGTTTGCAGCCTCGAGATCGTCAGCTGGCCGTAGAGGTTCGTGGAGGGTGTGGCAGGTAATACAGCTGTTATGTGTTCTGTATCAAAGTACCCAGGATCGTTGATGACGGTCGTAACCCCATCTGCCCATGTTCAACGTAAACCTTTCTTCGAATTTGCTTCGAGATGCGTAGCTGAGACAGTTGTGGACGACTGATGAAGTAGGCACGTAGGACGCCTCATCAGTTATCAATGGTTCGAAAGACTGAAATTCATATCCGACTCGTTAGCCTGACAGGACGTCTCATAGCTTCTAATGAGAGCACTTGGTGAAGCAAGAAATGGTTTGGGCTTGCCGTGTCGCCTCGTCCAACTGGATGTAAGTGCCCGTCGTGGCGGATGCGGCTTGTGACCGAATCGAATGACTTGTTGCAACCCTCCATCACATCTCAACCTATCCAGCATCGACGGCGGACCCACCCGGACTAGCGAGACGACCATCGACCGGTCTCCTACAATCGCTGTTGCATCGAGACAAATCTTTGATCATGTGTCACCACCAGGACCCTGCGTGATGGCAATATAAGTATCGACGATATATATACATCCAGACATGCAGTCGCTAGTGTCAATCGTCATCTGGCAAAAGCCCAGCGGACGGCTTGCGGGCAATAACGCTCAGTATGCGGAATAAAATTCCATGATAAGAAGAGTGAGACAGCTCGCACCAAGCGCAAGAGAGAGGGTCTGTCTCATGGTTTTGAATCATCTTGACCGCCCTCGAGGCCTTGACAAGCACTCTCTCAGCCTCATTCAAGGCAGTACGTCGGCAGGCTGTGCTTGGCAGCGACCATACTCTGGATACGATTCGAGGAAGATGGAATGGGGGCTTGTACCAGGTGCACACGAAGGAAAAACAAAAGAGGTTGTCTCATTCGCTCGATTGCTCATGTGAGATCGGCCGCGTTCCGTTGAGGCCTTGAACGGGAAGAGTGGGCCTTGGTGCAATGGTGACAGGGAAGAGGGAGAGCGGAACTGAGGGAGATGATAACGTCAAAACTTATAATAAGGATTCATTCCGCCTCAAAGACAAAAGCAGTGAGCCTTCTGTCGGTCTGTCGAAATTCAATGGGAAGAAAGAGTGCAAAGTGGAAATGGAACTTGATGAGAGATTTGAGACTGGACCCAGCAACTTGGAGGTTCCATTCGTCAAGCGTGGTCTGGGCGGCTTGGGAGAGTGAGAACCACTAAATGGCAAGATGGCCAGGTAGGCTGGCGTGATTGGTGGCATGTGCGTGGGAAGGCGCTGATGGGAGCAAGGGCCCCCGGTCAGCCCCAAGATTGTATTGTTTCGGACTGTCTTGTGCCCTGCGATGCTCTGACCATCGTGCTGCTCACCGCATTCCTACCTAGGATTTCCTCAGTCACCAAACTCCGCACATCCTTCTTATCATCCATTCATGGTTAGACGAAGCCCGTGTTTGACACTAGGCAGTTTGGGTTCCATCATCTTCCGACACATCTCACGGTTGTTCCCCTCTTTCGAGCTCACCACGATGGTTACTTGTCAGTGTCAGGTGCTGTTGCGCTTCACGCGCGTCATTTGTCTTGCAGCAGCCCATGTCGAGACTCCCGTGATCTGTCTATGGTGTTGTCAAAGTCTCGGAGCAAAAACCTAAAGATGGCTCCTACGTAAGAAAGAAGACCGCTTCACTTACATCGGGTAAAATACAAGGACGGGAATGGTTGCGGCTCACGGTGGGCAGTCAAGACGAAAAGGTTGAAAGTTACAGCCTCCAAGAATACACAATCGGTACCTGCCACTTTGCTGGATCGGGGAAACCAGGCGGGCTTGGTCTCCAGAAGTTGTCTTGTCACTTGAGACGAAACAACGGGACGACCTGAGCTAACTTGCAACTAGGTTGTCAACGTGCCACTAAGTGACAAGGGAATTGGAAAGCCTCGACGCCAGCGACCTTTGGTTGCCTTTCTTCCTTCGTTTCTTTCTTCCCGTCTTCCTGTTCTTATTCCTGGACCTGCTGGCTTCTGGATTGTAGCCGCCGCTGTGTAACCGGCGTACAGCCATTTCTTTTCTGCACCACCTCATCTCATCATCGAGGCGCCCCCCCCGCGACTCGACTGTATCCCGGAGATCCGACTTACTTATCTCGAGGTTGCCTCTACGTCAAGTCCGGCTCCCCGGATTTCTCAGCTTCGCATCCTCTCCCGCTGAAATTCCACTGCGGTAACCAGGGTATCGCTCTGGCCGGCCTCATATTTTATATCAGGACTACGTTCAGTCCCCTGCCTTACTGAAAACAACCCCTTGTCTCTATTCCTTGCCTTATCTTGTTCGCCCCTCTCGCAAGTCGCAAACATCAACCTACGCCAACCTTCTCGCCTCGATCCCATTACCATTCCTCACCAGTGGCCCGCGGTTTTGCGATAATGACCGCGTCCATGGCGCTTTAAACGTCCAAAAGAACTTGAGTCGGGGGCCATCGAGACCCGTTGGGGCCAGGAGAAAGCATGCTGTCCACCTTGATACGACCCTTCAAGGGTGCTGCGCGCAACCCAGATGACGGCGATTTACTTGAGAGAAACTCGGAACCGCTACTACGACGTCCTGCTTCTGTCCGGAGTTATACGCAACATCGACACGCGACCGCCGACTTCACCGAGGCCGACGATGACGATGACGAGTCCGACGATGCGAGACAACCACGCCAGAACGCTTCCAACCGAGGTACTGAGGATGAAGATGGTCTGAATCAGGCAATTGGTGTTCTGCCGCTCTTCTATGCTGGGCACCTTGGTATGATACCTTCCGTTGCTCCATATACACCAAAGACCATGTGCAAGGCTAATCTTGTACAAACCGCTAGATTCCCTTCCAATATATAGCATGACGCATGCTATCCGCATTATTGTTCAGGCAAGAACGGATACGACCTTGACCTGGGAGCAGTTGAGGTCTCCCCAAGTGTTTCAATTTCTGGTAAAGCCAATGCAACAACAGATTCGGTCCCAGCATTTCTCAAGAGGAACTCTATATGCCCTGATGGCAAACTGTCTTCAATTCGAAAAAGAGTCTCAAGTTTACCCAGCAAACACTGGCACCAGCAGCACACGAGCCAAGGTTTGCGAGTTGCTAGCCATCAAGCTACTCAAGGAATACTCGACTCGGGAACTTGTTGATGCCCTATCCTATGACTTTTATCCTCTACAGGGCGTCACGGGATTGCATATGCCGACCAATTCGAATAAGAGGGAGAAGCCGGCCGCCATGAGAACATCAACTCTCGAAGTCGCCATACGAGCCTCGGCAAAACACTTCTTGTCCCATCCTCTGGTCGTACAACAACTTGAGGCCATTTGGAATGGCGCCATTAGCTTTTACTCTGCCGCAGATCAGTTACATCGTCGCACCTCGATAGCTACCGATTTATCTTCCGCCCAGTCTCGCCGCCAAAGCACGGTACGAACACCACTCCTTGGTAGTCAGCAAGGCAAAGAGGACCGTCTCAGGGGCCAACCATTGCCGCTGGGACGAAGATCTGTTACGCTGTACGATCCTCGTCAAGCCTCGGTTTTCAAACTCTCACGACTGAGGGTCCCACGATATCGCCAGTTTCTCTCTACCTGCTCACTGGGTGTTCTTCTCTGCCTGTTCATGGCTGTTCTCAATGAGAGATCCAGCACAATCACCACGCTGGAGTTGATCTTCTGGTTCTGGAGCGCTGGGTTTATGCTCGATGAAATCATCGGCTTCAACGAGCACGGATTCTCGCTCTACATCATGAGCTTCTGGAACATTTTCGACCTGGGTATCCTGTTGCTGTTGATCATCTACTACTGCATGCGCATCTACGGCGTATTCCTTCTCGACCCACACAAGCTGAACGACAATGCCTATGATGTACTCGCTGCTATCGCCATCCTTTTGCTCCCCAGGATTTTCAGTATATTGGATCACTATCAGTACTTTTCACAGTTACTGATAGCATTCCGGCTCATGGCTGTTGACCTAGTTGCGGTTTTCGTCTTGGTCATTGTAGTCTGCTGCGGTTTCTCGGTGTTCTTCATCTCCAAAAGCACGAACGATCCGAGTGTAGTAGCATACAGCATGTTTCAGATACTGGTGGGTTATAGTCCGGCTGCCTGGGAAATATGGCCGGATCATAACTGGTTGGGGAAGATGTTACTTGGCCTGTTTCTCATCATTTGCCACTTCGTGATTGTGTAAGCTGAGAAGATCAAATGCCCGGAGTGTGCAAAGGCTGACCTTCTTTTAGGACACTACTTGTGACCGTGCTAACAAACTCATTTATGGCTATCGCATTGAACGCAAAGCAGGAGCATCAGTGAGTCACTCTCGATGTCATGTTACTGTCTTCTCACTAGGTCTTTGCTAATCTATACAGGTTTCTCTTCGCCATCAACACGATTTCCATGGTGAAAAACGACTCACTTTTTTCATACGTTGCACCGGTCAACATTCTTGCATGGGCATTGACCCCACTAAGATTTTTAATGCCCATGAAGCAGTTTGTCTGGCTCAATCGCACCGTCATCAAAGCGACTCACTTCCCCCTATTACTCATCATTTTCATTTATGAAAGGTTCATTTTGGCCCCCTCTATGTACGAGCCGACGGACCTGGTGGAAAATCCAGGCCGCAGCCGTCACAGAGCGGTTTCCATTGTAGACCCCGCAAGCAGGACAGCACTCTTCAGCCCGAGCCTTCGAATTCGTGAAGAATCGTTGGTGGGTTTTCAGAAGGATCGTGCCTTGGAAGAGGTGTTCCGACGTGCTCCTGATTCTGCAACTATACGGACTCAACGACGTACCGAGCGTAGGAAGACGCAAAATGCCATCCGAACGTGGATGGACCAACAAGATGGGACGTTTACGTCTCCTCACGACTACGGTGCTGTTGACAATAGACCGGCACAGGATTGGCAGAGGAGAATGAGCATGGTGAGGGAGCAACCAAAGAGGTTTTCAGGACATGATCCAGACACGAGATCAACAGCAAGCGATCCGGCCGATATGGTATCTAATGCGACATTCCCGGCCGTCCCCGAATATCTCAACAATGGCACTGTCCGGCGGGATTTTGCGAACGAGGCGAAGGAGAACACCGATGCGGAAAACGGTGATGACGAGCTGGTTACAAATGACGAGTATGAGGAGGACAATGCAACTCACGACACCGAACAGGTACGAAACTATATGGATGAAGGCCAGTCGACCGAGACAGGAGAGGACTACTTCACGACATGGGTTCCGTCACGCTTCAATCCGGGACTTACCTCAGCGCAGAGAACGCCGGTATCCCCACGTCCCGGAACGTGGCGACGAGTACCCATGCACAACCGTACCATGTCGAACAACACGATGATCTTTGCGCCTGCGCAGGATCGGCCCCTTGAGAGTTCTTCTTCCGCATCGATGGACCCGTCATTGCCATCTCAGTCTCGTCCCCACAGCACTCGGCATGGCATACCCGAAGGGTCGGTAGCAAGTCCAACCGCAGGTCTTCGTTCTCCACGTCGCTCCTTATACTTGGCATCCTCCCGCCCACAGAGCATGGTGATGTCGCCACGAGCTATGGTCCGAATCGCTCCAAACAACCGCTCGGCTCTGGCATTGGAAATCCCAGATAGCGCTAGTGGAACTCATGACAGCCCGTCGTCCCGACGACAATCATCCGTCGAGCTGCCCAACTCCGCCGACCTTGACCCATCAGCGCTCGGAGCTGGTTCTCAAGCGGGTAATGGCGTGATGTCCAGTACCACTACGCTGGCTGCGGCCATGCTTGAGAAGAGATCCCAGCAAGAGCAGGACAGCAACCGGATGAACAAGCTGATGCTGGCAAAGATGAATCTACAGGCTAGTCTTGGCGAGGTGGTGCGCGAGATGCAAGTCTTGAGGAGCACGGCACCTAGCACGGCTGGGAATTCCGCAGACGAAGGTACAAGCAGTGGTAGCTATTTGGCCAAAAAAGCGATAGAACAGCAGCACCAGCAGCAGTACAGCACTCCGTCAAGGCGGGGGTCAGGAGAAGAGAGAAGGTCGTCCAGGTTGTCCAGCTCGGCTGGCTCGGCTGGCTCGACAAACAGAGATATGGCAAATCGGGGGCTACGAAGATCGTTCAGGAGGTTGGAGACTGCCACTAGAATGCCGACTTTGAGTGGGCACGAAACTATAGACAGGAGGGGGAATTCGAGAGAAGAACACGAGGAAGATGACAGCGACTATTCGAAAAGCGAGGTGAACAACAAGATCTTTGAGCCGAGGCACAACCGGAGGAGTAAAGGAAAGGGAAAAGTTGCTATTGGAGCAGCAATAGCAGCGGCAGCAGCATCATCGAACCTAGATGAGCGGGAGGACGACGATCGTCGCCGTCATCAGGTTGGTGGTGGTAGTTCGCTGGATGAGCGCCACCATCGCATGGACGACTTGATCAGGAGCGGTGATTTTGCTCTGAAAGAAGGGGTAAATTAAAAGGAAAGGGCAGGTCCGCTTAGGGAAAAGAAGGGTCGGAGTGACTGATTGATATCCTTTGCATAATCTGCATATGCATGTCTGAATTATGGTATTTATTTGTCTTTTCTTTTCCTTTTGGGTTTCTTTTCTATGTCTCTTTACTCTCATGTTGGGGTTTCTCTCTGATGGGTTAGCATCTTATACTACCTAGGCACTATTTAAGGTAGTCGCTGCATTGGTAAGGCGTTGAAACTGAAGTTTTAGCCAGAATGGCATGTTAGTTGTTCATAATTGCATGGTTGACATGCATGTGCTTAGCATCTCTTTGAGTTTGGGGTTTTTGAGTTATGTCTTGTTGCCGTTTTTTTAACAAAGTAAAATTGACGCGATTCGCGTTTGACTATCTTCATGCTTTGCTGTTGCCATTCTGGTTATTCTGACAAAGTTGATCAACGCTAATCCAGGACCGCATCAACTTATGCATCCGCTCGCACGAACGCATCTTCCAAATTCAAATCCCAAACTTCCTGCTGTTGTCATTATCGTCCACGCAGAAATTCTACACCTCCCGCATCATCCAACTCATGTCGCTTCATTATTCATCACTCATCAACACATTTGTGCACGAACATCCCACATCCATCACCCTATATCACCCACCCCTTTCGCCTTTCCATTCTTCCCCCCGGATAGAAAAATCAGATTCCCCCACCACTCCTGTCCACGCTGACAAAGAACCGCGAACCAGGCGAGCTCTTCTGAGCCAGCTCGTTGTTGCGGATCGTCGTCGACACGTGTCTGAAGACGGCGCCGACGCCGACGAGGGCGAGGGTGAAGATGGCTAGGCGGGGGTGGCGGCTTTCGGGTTTGGAGAGAGTGTGAGTGAGCTGGGTTGGGGAGATATAGAAGTCGGTGTAGATCCGATGGAAAAGAAAGTTGGGAGGCGGAAAGGGGAGGAGTAGGTAGGTGGAAGGTGGAAAGCGGAAGGGGAAAGGGGGGAGGTGAACTTACACGAATAGTCGCGGGGAGGAGGAAGAGGAGGACCCGGGAGAGACGCCGCCGCTGCTGAGGGCGACGTAGGAAGCGGGAGAGGGAAACATGTTTGTTTGGAACTTGGGGGGGTTTGTATTTATTTGGTTTGTTTTGTTTGACTCAAGGGTGGACAAAGATGGAATATAGGAATGCGGAGCAGAGGAAGGGGATCAAGGCTTGCTTTTATAGTTTGGATGAGGGTCCGAGGTAGAGCAGGTAGGAAGCAATCAAGGAAGGAAGCAAGAAGAAACAAGTAGATAGCTAGAGGTACCTAGGCCAGCTAGACAGGCGGTGAGATACCCAATAGTTTGAAAGTATAAACAAGTGGTTATCTAAACCAGACCAGGTAAGGGTAGTTTGGTATGCTTGAATGAGCAAGTATAAACTGTAGGTGATATGGTTTGGCTACCCTGTCTAAATCCAAAGTTCAGATAATCCTTCAAATTAATTTGGAGCTTGCGTTTTCGGATCTCTGGTGTAGCACAGTATTTACAAACGAACGATCAATGTAGCCTCCCTTTAAGGCCAGCGTCTTGAACGACTCTCAGAGATATGCAATCTCATACGATGAAACGAAAATGGACTGACGTCGCGGGCCATATGTGTGCTTTGACTGGGTCGTCTAATGGACCGTCCGCGCGAGGAGCGGGGATATTGGAGACAATGGGCACGCGACACACGCGGCACACCCATCATGCACCTGGACACAGACACTTGGGCCATGGTCGAGCATCATCATCAAACTTTCGGGTAGCTCTCGTCGTAGTGGTTGGCGACGGATGGAAGCGGTTGACGCTGTGACGCCTCAACGCTGGGATCAATTCCAGCCCATGGAAGAAAACGTTGCTGCGGGAAGAGTTGAGGCCATCTCTGCAAGGGGATCGGCTGATCACACCGAGGCCCTGGTCGTCCGGTTCAAAGGGTCTGAAACGCCTGGAACGTTGGGGGAGATTTGGAGCAAGAGAGGGCTCGAGCCACACGCAAAGTGCGGGGTGTTTCTCCAGGATCTGGCTGGCTCATTCCAGTCGGAGGTTCGTCCTGACGCTGTAAGGCGGGCAAATGGCATTCAATGATGGGCCGAAGTGACGGAGAGATAATAGTGTGGAGTCATGCAACGTCCAGAATGGACTTGATCGATATCGATGTGGCTTCGTTGTGGATTCCTTCTTAAGTCCACACCATGGGGTATGTCTAGACTTAGTAGTGATTAATAGGAAGCGCCAAGCTATACTCTATATCGACAGATGCCTAGAGGTAGGCCTCTGACGTGGATATGTAATGGCCCTGAGTTTTCTTCAAACTGCAATTACAGACGGAACCCAGCAGCGGTCTCGTCTTTTGGTTGATATCCCATTCGCGGGCCGGGGATTCCCTTTGGCTTGCCGGTTCCGACAATCAATAGGTCCCTCTGGCTTCATGGCTGCCTACCCCTCCACACCAACAATGAGGCAACACCAGGCAACCAGTGAGGTTGTCCCATTGCTTGAATGAAGCTGACATGATCTATTCAAGCAGCAGGCAACGCGGCCTCTTACGAACAGCCCAAAAGAGTCATTGATGCCAGCTAGGTAGCTACCCAGTTCACTGGTTTGAGCTGTCATTCGCTGCTGAGCCAGACAACCCCACCGCAGGCAGCTGTTGCCCTACCTCCGTCTCTACCATTGTCGTCCATCCATGTCAACTCTTCTTTGTTTTCATACGATTGAAGCCCGGAGGTTTGGCTCATCTACTCTTGAATCGATCTGAAAGCATTCGTACTCCTCATCTTGATCACCGTCACTCTTCCATGAGTAACTTCATCTAGCCACAAGCTCCGTCTTATCGACCTCGCCCATACGTCAACTTGACTTCTCTCTCGTTCTCTTCCGGTTGCGGCCTGTTCCAACAAACCACTCTCCATCCCGCCGTCCTTTGATCATTACCAGCTTAGCATCTTTTACTAAATCATCCAACCTATTGATTTCTGTCCCCCGTCAGTTCGCCATCATGCAGTGGTCTTCTCTGCCTCCTGATCTTGACCCGCCTGCATCACCCTCTCCCCTTGACTTGTCCGTCGAGAATGCTATCAAGCATCACTTTGACGAGTTGAACCTTCTTATGAGCACAACGGCAGAGGAAGGAGAGGGCAATGTTCTTGCGGCTGTTACCTTTCCCAAGAACTCAGACGCCATTGCTTGCAATGGGAATGCATGGCGGACATTGTGGCTCAGAATGAGCTTCCCAACACTTGCCGGTCTCAACTCAAGCAAGATAAACGCCATGTTCAAGCCTAAACGACAGGAACGCATGCGTCGCCATCTAGGAATGGAGACATTGCCTCCTGGGATCGACTACGTGCTCGACTTTACACCCCCAACTGAGGGCTCAGAGCTAGCCGACCTCACTGCTGCCCTTTGGCTCCCAAAGATGGTTAAGCTATGGTTTTTGGCCGGACATTACTGCCCAGAGGAAATTCTGGAGAGCGGACACCTGGCGAGCATTTGGGACAAGAGACCCCTAGCTAGCAGGTCGGTAAGTGCCATGCTTGTCCTCGGCCATGATGATGCGTGCAGGGGTCTTCTGCAGTTCTGTGAGTCCAGGCCCCCCTTACACATGATATCTAGATCAACTTCTCACAAGCTACTTTGCAGGCTCCATGGATAGATCCGAGTGGAAACCAAAGGTTGTCCCGGGTATCGTTGACGTGGACCCGGAGGACGAAGAACATTCCTCTTATTTTCCTACGTTCCGCAGGATCCCAGACTACTGCGGAATACGGCACCGAGTGGCCATTATGAGGGTACTTCATGCTATCAACGGGAACGGTCTGCTTCTCAACTCTGCTGCACGCATGTGGACAGTCGCCCAAGTGGCAATACACCTGGAGGTACCCCAGGTAGTTGTAAGTAACTCCTACATTCACAATGTCTCACTTTCGATGATTTGGAAGCCATACTGACACATCGCCATCTAGGTTGATCCAGTGACACAGTGGCTGATCGCCCCGCCTAACACGAAATTTGTTGAAATCTGCCCCGAGAGATCCTTTCAGCTCGCGCTTGCTCTTAAAATCCCCAGTGTTCTCGTCGCCGCCTTCAGAATCCTCGTGAGCGAACTCGCCGTCGACTATGCGGCGCCGGACCCCTCCCCGAAACGTTCGGCCCTTACTTGGGCCCAGCGAAGAAGAGACGATTACGGCGACTTACCATCGGACCCTGTCGAATATGCCAGTCGCACCTTTTCTGAACGGATCATCGGCCTGCTCGAGATGCTTCGCTCCAACACCGTCTTCGACCGTATTGGGACCGGTCTCGAGGAATGGGATCTCTTGAAACAGCAAGGCATGATCATTCACGAACAGGGAAGCAACGAGCTCAAGACTGCTCACGAAAACCTCATCCAGGCCCTTGTCGGCATCTTCCACAATGATATTCAAAGATGTCTCCGGGAACACGCCCCATCTGGCCGTCTTGCCACCCTCATCGCAGCCCAGCGCAGCCATTATATACCCCTGCACGAACGCTACTCCCTTAGGGACTTGTACGAAAACCTTAGCCACACCCAGCGCGCCCTCACTCCTTTCTTCTGGGAGAGCCTTTACCACCAGAGCTTACCAAAACTGTCCGGCAACGGCCCCTTCAGCCTCTCTACCTACAACGGCTGTACAATACGAACTTACGTCGATAAGTACACCTCCCTCTGGGAAGCCGCCAACCTTCCCCACCCCGATTTCCAACCAAATCCTGAAAAGGGGGAATATCATTCACACCACATCTCGAAGCGTCTGAACGAGTTCAACATCCACCAATTCGAGAGCGAAGTCTATGCGGCCCTCAGCTCTCTTTGCGACCGCGTCTTGGGGAAGGGATACAACGAAGAACCCTTCCAATTCTTTTTATCGGATCACTTACTCTTACCCAGCCTGACCTCCCCTGAAATGGATTTCCTGCCTATCTGGGCCGGCGGTCTCGACGATGGGTCGGGCGGCGTGTTTCAAAATGCCATTCCCCCTGCGGAAATGGGACCGAGTGAGCCGGGACCGGCGTATCATACAGGGTATACGATTCCGACTACGGGTACGAGGACTGCCGGGACAGGCACCCGCGATGGTGATGGTGATGACACGACCATGATGGACGACGATGACAGAATTGGTGGTTCGATTTACGGTGTGTCCGAGCTGGGCGATAATCTTGACAGGTTCGAAATCATCAGTGCCCGTACTGCGCAAACTGCGACGGAAACGGCCACAGTGCCTAGCATGGATGTCGAACAAAGCGTGGTAACGACGACGACAACAACGAGTAGTACGGGACTGGGAAGTGGACTTGGACGACTTAACCTAGACCCCGGGGGGCCGAATCGCCATCGGGTCGTTGCGGTACCTTCGGAGACATCATCGGGGGATTTCCACCTTAATTCGAGGGAAGATGGCGAGTATGCGGACGCCATGTATACGCAGCCGGCGGAGCATCAGGCGGTGGGAAGGGCGTTGGCTAGGTATGTGGACGGTAATGATGGCACTACTACCGGAAGGAGTGAGAGTGGCCATGCGTCTTCTTCGTCGAAGCAAGGCGGTATGATAGCAGCAGGAGGAAGAGGCGCGGGAGGTAGTAATAATAATAATGGAGGTGGGTATTCGGATACCGATAACTTCATGTTGGAAGATGATGAAGATGGTGGGCTGAAAGATCTGGATGGTTCGGATGATGGGAGCTTGACGGTGGGGGCAGATTCGGATTATGATATGGTGTAGGACAGCGTATCAGATACAGAGGAGGCCATCGTACTTTCTCTGGAGCGTCTCTGGAGGAGTTGAATACATCTGTTGTTAGGTGTTTGTTTGTGAGATGAGTGGGACTTTGCATGGATGGGGGCAACAAATATTTTGTGGATGGATAGGAAATGGATCTTGACAGTCCACAGTAAGGGTATGAAAGATACTTGCCTTATTTTGTCCTGACCTTGTCCTTACCTACGGAATTTCGGACAGTTATTTTGGTTCTCTACTGGCCCAGGTATTTGTTGGCAACGAAATTTGCAGTCACTTCGGTGACGATAGTTTACACAAACCGAGACCTACACATTATCCCTTCGAGACGCTCATGAGCGTCATTGTTCCCTGTCTGAAGAGCCTTTGACTTCGGCCATCGCCTACGCTTCCCGAGTTGTCACTGACAAAACCCGAGACCGTTGTTTTTCTTCTTCCAGCCATTAGCATTATTGTACCTAGTAATTCCTACTATATCTTGGCAAAGGTAACTATACACTGCAACAGGACCCTGTGCCCCATAAAAGGGGGTTTGGTCTGTCCAAACACCTGCAGGTCATCCTTCTTTTTCAAAGTCTCATCACTTTCCGTTTCTTCATAGAGCCCTTTAATAAGCGCTTCGTTTCTTCTTCCACATCTGTCGTCCATCATCAGCCATTAAACCCCCCCTCCCCTCTGAGCATTTCCTTCCCCATCCTCAAACAGCCTCCTTCCAAATCGTCGGCAAAAACACCACACACGCCTTCCAAAGAATCAAGACCGCTTCAACCAACACCAACGGCGCCCTCCATAATCCCCACACACTACCCACCCGCTCACACATATGCAACCAGATGGCCACAAACGCCACCGTAAAGAAATGTCTCGCCAGCACCACGGGCTGTTGCAAAAGTCCGCCCATCAGCGCCACGGGTTCATCTGTCTTTGCGCCTCCCATCTGGAAATACCGGAAGCAGCCCTTCCTCAAGGCATCAAGCTGCCAATCGTTCGCCGCAAAAAGCGAATACAGCGCCTGGGCCAGGGTGTTGATGATACTCGTCCACGCCTTGCGGCGCCAGTGGAATTCCTTCATGGCGGTTTCGATGGCGGTCGAGTCAGCGAGGTTGGGTACCCGATCGGGATGCAAAAGGGACGCCAAAAGGACCACATCGGAAAAGGCGACGGTCATGCCGCCCCCCGTCAACGGGTGGCGCATGTTGTACGCGTCTCCTAGCAGCAGAACGCCGGGGGTGCGGGCCGTGTTGGCTTTCCCCGAGGCGGGGAGGTAAGAGTTGGGCATGGAGCGGGGGATTTTGCCATCTTTTAGGGCGGCGAGGACCGAAGGGCGGACGGAGGAAGGGAGAGTAGGCACGACGGTGTTTTCAATGTATCCCCTTACGCCGCCGTTGGCTGCCGAAGCGGCGGGGAGGTCGAGCGGGACGTCGATGAGGGCACGGGTTTCGTGCGTGCCGATTTGATACAGCAAAATGGGCGAGGTTTTGCCAATGACGACGTGCCCGTAGCCGGAAGGGGGGAACGGGCAGTCGATAAGTTCGAGGGCGTAGAACTTGGAGCGCACGACAGGGGTGGTGTCGGGGCCGGAAGGCAAGAGCTGTTTGCGGAACTTGGAGTCGTAGCCGTCGGCAATGAGGGTTAGTTGGCCAAAGAAGAAGTCGGGCTGTTTTTCGCCGGTGTTGCGGTCGATGGTGGTGAGAGTTTCGACGCCGAGGACTTGGTTAGAGTGCGAGCCTCGGATGACCGAGGTCACGGTTGTTTCGAAGATGGTGATGTTGGGGTGGCCGGCGCAGGCCTTGCGGAGTTGGCTGATGAAGCGACCGTGGTGGAAGGATCGGCCTTCGGGTCGTCGTAGCTTGGGCCCGTTATTTGCCTTGCCTGCTGTCCCGTTGCTTGTCGTTGTCGTCGTCGTCGACTCTACTCGTGCGGCCACTTCGCCAGAGTACACCTTTCCTTGGTCGTCCACCACCGGGTAAGGAATGGCCACCTCCTCCCCGTGGAAGACGACGTGGTATCCGTAGCAGGTGATGGCATCGATCCCTTCAACGCAGTGGCCCAGCCCGAGCTTCTGCAGCGCTTGTAAACCTCCGGGCTGTAGCAACTCGCCCACTATCCGGTCGGGCTCGTGCATCCATCTCTCGAGTAGGATCACACTACGGCCCTGGTTGGCGAGCGCGTACGCGGCCGCGCAACCAAAGACGCCGGCGCCTACAACTACCACATCGGCCTCGTGGAACTTTTCTCGCCGCTGCGCATTGCGGACCTCGGCGGAGTCAGTTTCGATCGTCATCGGGAAAATGGGGGGTTCGTGGTGTATTCGTTTGTGTGGTTGTCAAGTGCTTGACGTATCGGTTTAGATCGGGTCGTTAAGGTTCCCGAACTGTTTGTAGACGATCCTCGCTCCGTGTGGGGTCCAGAAAGTGGAAGTAGCACGTAGCTTGCGATAAGCACAGCGGGCAGCAACCAGGAAGCAGACACGTCGAGGACGGCTTTAGAAATAAGTGGTTTTCTCGCGGTAAAGATTCCGACAGGCCTTCGCTGAAAGGGGAAAGCTTCTATGGGTGGCAGTTCGGCGAAATAGGCAAGTGTTTTGTGTAGCTTCGTAAATATTCGAGTAGCGAATGGGTCGAGGCCGATGATCGAACGATCGCGTGGGCAGATATGGCGTTGTCGGGATCGATAAAAAAGAACCCCTATTCTATTTTTTAGCTAGCCCAGTGTAGGTCTTCTTGTTGCTACGGGCACCTCGCTGGCTTCCCTGGCCCTACTAGTATCTAGGTAGTATCTGCGAACTTTTGAACCCGGCGAGTCGCGAAACACACACACACACACACAACACCCAACGCGTAAGAGGGGGATCTACGAACAAAAACGCGCGGGGCAACAATAGTCCAGAGAAGCTAAAAAGAAAAGGGGGGGATTTCGGTGGTACATGGCACAGAATGATAAAAAAAAAGTGCCCGTCAACTTTTTGGAGAGCAACAAATCGTCCCATGGCGGGAAACACCGTAAACGTCCAACCAATCATGCTCAGCCAATGGCTTAGCGCACGAACCACATGGCGTGGGTACCCCTTTCTGCCCCTGACCGCCAGCTTGACATGTGAGTCGATTCATGGTTGAACGCGGCGTGATGATGACAACCTCTATGTCCAGCCCAATTGTCCAACCGGACGACGTTTTGCGCGTTATGTAAGTGTTCGAGAAAAAAAAAAAAAAACCATGCGTTGCCAAATTACTTGTCCGCAGTCTAAGAAACACATGTCATGAGCAGTATGCCAAGGGAAATTGAGACGTCCATTTGTAAACCATCAAAAAGGACTGTTGTGCTGTCCAACTAACCCATATGCAATATGTACGTAGGTATGCTAGGTATGCTATGTATGTGCCTCTCCATGTCTTCCCATGATCCCTTCACGCCGCCGGCACAGGTCGTGCCAGTCCAGCCCCAGTCCCAGCCATTTTCCCACCCGTAGTAGAAAACGCACTATCCAAAACCAAAAACTCGTCGAAGACAGTCCTACCCTCTTTTTCCTCCGGCCTCTCCTCCTGCTGCTGCCTCCGGAACTCCTCCTCAAGGTCTAGCTCCGCATCATCGTCTTGCCTGATCTGGGGTTTGCTGCTGTTCAACCACGGGATCTCGGCAAAGTCAACCGGGGCACCGCCAGCATCCAGCGCCGCCTGTCGCATGATCCGGACCGACTCCGTCCCCAGCCTGACGCGCTGCGACTGCAACCGCTGGCGCGATTCGATGATCGTGTCGATACCCTCGCTCAAGATATCATAGGCATCGTGTCGTTGCTGCGGCTTGGCGTCGTTGAGGCGCGCTTCCATCACCATCTCTCGTGCCCGCTTGAGCGCCTTGAGGCAGCCCGTGTGCTCCTTGTAGTTGCTCGACATGGCCTTGGCCAGCACGTGGCGGATGCCGTCGATGTTGAGCAGGCCGGATAAGGAGTAAAGCATGATGCGGAAGTTGTCCAAGTTGTAGCATGGCTCTGCGTGGTTGTTGGACTCGGCGGCCATGAGAGCGTAGTGATGCGCGCCTTCAAAGTGACCGGAACTTAGGCAGATCAACGCAGCCCGATGGAGGAAAGTGTCGGCTATCTTGAGGCCGACTTCTTTGATTCGGTCGATGGCTGTTTGGACGATGCTCCTGATTTCGCCGCCTTTTGCAGCAAGGTCGGCGAGTTGAAGTCCGAGGAGATAATTGAGAATGGCATCGACGTTGTTGCCTTGATCCTGGGCTTTCAGGACAAGATCGTACGTCTTTTTGTAGGGCCTGTTCTCTAGCTTTAGCTGTGCGTTGACTGCCAGCTTTAGAGCGCACTCGGAGAAGGGCATCCCGAGATGGAGGGCTCGCTTGTAGATGCTGAGTGCTTTGGCTGGGTGCCTGTAGCTCAGCGCCTCCTTCATCGCCAGAGTGACCTCATGTTCCGTGTCACTTTTGCCCCTGATAGGACCCAAGTTGGGATTTATGCGTAACGAGAGGACGCGCCCGCGAGCAAATCCTCCCTCAAGCTTATTGTCCGATGAGAGTGCTGCATCCATCATGACGCGTTCCGTGTGCCTATCGACAAAGTTGGGGTTCAATTCCCTAAGCTTGCGGAAAAGCGTCCGAAGGTCTCGAAATGGGACGTTCCAGTTTCTTCGGCAGCTAACAAGCACGGCGTTTGTGAATGCGGCGTCAACCTGGAACCCTGCCGTGCTACAGTATTCAAGCCACTCGACGAAGGATTCAAGATCCCGAATGGAGGCGTACTGCTTCGCCATCAGAGTAACCAGGTACCGGCTAAGTGGTACCTTGAGCTCGGTGATATACGATCTCATGAAGGCATCAGTCTCCTGGACCGTGTGATTTGCCGCATAGGTTTTGACCACCGGGACGAATGCGGTACCGCACGCATCAAGTGCCGGCTTGGAGTCCAGCTTCATGGCCACAAATGATTCCCTGACTCCCTCCCAATCTTGCTGCTTGGCCTTGAAACGTGCAAATATACCAAGCAACCGTACGTCGTGAGCCAGCTGTGGTAACTCTGTCGAAGCTTGAGCAAAGATTGACTCGGCCTTCAGATCTTCCCCAGCTTCTAATGCCAACTCGGTCATGACACGATAAACGCCGTCCAGATGGTAAACCACATCCTTCAAGCCTGACTCTAGGAGTTGCTGGAAGAATGTTTCCAATTCGTCGAAATTGCCATGTCGTCTCCAGTGAGCAGTCAGGAGTCTCATGACCCATTCCGTCTTGAGCTGACACCTCCCGGAGGCGATGTTCAACAAAGTCTTGAGGACCTGAGCCGGTTTGTAATTGTGGGCCTTCTCAACGCATTGCACTACCGGTCCTGCAATGCGAATGATGGATGGCGCACTCGGGCTCATCTTGCAGTAGTTGGCGAGGAACAGTCGAATGGCTGCTTTGTAATCGCCAGAGTCATGAAGCTTGGTGATAACCCACGAGGTAAAGTCATACCGGCTCTCCGAGACCGAGATACACCTCCAATATACGTCAATGGCCCTGGTTGATTTTCCCACAGCAAAGGCATGGTCGAGCAAGGCTCTCCCAACCGCAAGCAATTCGGCACTCTGGACCACCGGCTTTTCGGTGAACCTTGGCAAGAACAAACCTATGGCCGTCTCGAGTTTGGCCGGACATATGTTCTCCCCGGTCTTTGCCTGTGTCGCTTTGGCGAGAAGTGAGTCTATAAGTCGTACAGGTTGGAAGTCGAAGTACCGCGCCTCTGTAAGTGGTGCACGGGCTAACACGGTAGATAAAATCTTTGCGGCGTCCTCAGCTCGTTCCATGTCCAAGTAGGTCCGGCAGAGTACAGCAGATGCCTCCATCCAAGTCTCATTCAGGTTGTCCGGTGCTTGATTCTGATTGGTCGCTTCAAAGATTAATGATGCGGCCTTTTCCATTTGTCCCAATTCTCTGGTTCTGCAAGCTTCCTGAACCATGGCGACAATCTGATCATTGCTGGGGAATGCGAGCGAGCTTCGTCCTCCGCCTTCGTTGTCTGCTTTCCTCGAAAACCTGTGATGAATATGTCGAGTTTGCGTGATCGGCGTTCCTTCTACCGGTGGAATAAAGTGGTGCTGCCCTGTGAGGGTCCGCTTCTTGGGTGTGAACGACCTTGGTGTTTCTCTTCGGCTATGTCCGCAAGGATGTGACCCCGAATCATGTTCTCCCTGTGTTGTGTTTGACTCACTGGCATCCTCGCCCCTTTGCAATCGTTCCAATTCCGCGGTCCTAGCACTATCGTATTGTCGGATGATCTCTGTGGGTAGCGCAGCGTATGGCCCAGGAGCTAAGGGCGAGACGCCCGCATCCAGCAATGACTCTTCTTCCAGGGCCACAGCCAGAGCAGCGCCGCCCGTGTTGTAGTTCTTGGCTTGTCTGATGCGCTCTCCATTTTCAATTGCGGTCAAGGCGTTTCTGATTCGTCGTCGGCGATCTTCGGCAACGAGCGCGAGGGTGCAAGAGGTTCCCACGACAAGTCCTCGGAGGGCTGTCAAGGCAGCTTTGGAGGGGACAGGAAGTGGTGATGACATGGCCGCGGGTTTCCGTGTTCCATCTCGCTCATCAAATCATGGTCGAAAACGCCCTGTTCGAGTCGCGTGGGCGGTGGGCGTCGGGGAAGGCCCTGGTGATGAGGTAGAGAGATAAGGTGGTCGGAGGCCGAAGCTTGTCGTGAGCTCCGAACTCGAGCTTGTGCGGGATGAGCTCAAAAATGTTTCACTTCCAAAAATCGATCCGCGCCGCGCCGCGGGAAACAAGCACTGAAAGGATCAAGTGGAAGCACGACCCGAACGCCTGAGCCCGCTAGCTACTGAAGGAGTGGGCACTGTTGCACTGCAGCACCCCGCTAGCCGGGTGGGTCCAGCATCTTGGTACGCCCCGAGCGTCCCTCAATGCCCTGTTCTGTTGGACTTTGTTTCCTTGGCGAAGGCATCGCATCTTAATTTCAACGATGCCCGCAGAGCCTCCATCCGAGTCCCGGGGGCCAAAAGGATGGGCGTCTGAAGGCGCAACCTCCTGCCCGCCGTCCAGTTTGGGCATTCCGTTGGTATTTTGACATGATCTATCTCTCACATGTACAGCGTAACTGGACCCCAGGGCAAACACCCCCAACGACCTGAGCAGAGTATTCCAATGTTCCGTCCCAACGTGAAAAAAAGGCTCGGGTCTATGTCTATATCGCTTATACTCATACAAATGCTCTGTGCTTCTCTATCCATCAATCCGACCAGTCCATAAACGCCTCTTTGATATGTTCCCTTGCCGCCGTCTCCATCGCAGATACAATACAACCAACACGTCTAGAAAGTGGTATACAATAACGCTCATCTTGCGCTAAACAGAGATGCAGCATTAGGCCACCTCTGTACGTTCCTGTTCCCCGGGCATACGAGTCTCTAACTGACGCAGAATCGCCTGGTACAGGAACAGCATGCAGCCGCTTTGGATGCTGGTCCAGACTGCACGGGGCCCGACGCCTCTAAACCATCCGGCAATGCCCTCTGTCTGGTAAATTATCCTCAACCCCGTGAATACCGAAGACGTGTCCAGGGTAACGGCTCCCGGTCGTGGCGTGTGAGTTGACGGTGACGATGTCGATATTAGTCTTTTCTGAAGCTTTTGTGTTGAGCTTTCCGTGGTGCCGGTCGGCTTGATGGTTCCGTCCTTCGTGGACGCTTGCGTTGTCGCTGAGCTGGTACCGATCGCCGATGCTGTGGGGTCCGGAACGACCTGGGTCTGAAGTCTGGTCTTGACAACATCGAGTGGGCAAGTAATAGAACCAGCAAGACCTCCCGCCGCAGCACCCGTCAACAGTTCCAGCTGCCATCCAATGTCGCGGCTTCCCACCCACTTGTGCGCCCAGCTTTGAGCCTGCTCGTAGAACATGAACTGCAGGGCAGAAAAGGGCATGTCCCGATAAAGAGTCGCTTTGTATCCGTGGAAGAGGGCCGAAAATCCCTCTCTGCGAACAATGGTCCTGGCGGCATCGGTCATGCCCTTGTAGTTGTATCCAGATGCGAAGTAAGGATTGTTGTAGCGGCCTTGAAGTTGAAGCCGGGTCTTGAGAACTTCCGAGGGCACGTAGACAACAGACGCGGCAAAGTCACCGAGGAAACCTAACCGTAGCTCATGTCAGTAGGCGTAGCCTCTGTTTGTCAGATTTCCCCCTTCGACTTACCGCTGAGCAGGTAGGCGACATGGGGCTGAACACCATAGTCCAGCATGTGCCGCTTGCTATATTCGTAGGTGCCGAAGAACAAGACAGTTCCAGGAAATGACCCCAAGAGGGCGGGGAGCCAGCCGCCGTAGAGGCCCCGTCGAATGCCTTCTTGTCGGAAGATTGTGTAGTATGATGAGCCCAGCGAGGTGTATCTCGGCGGAATGTGCGGGTCGCCTTGTTGTCGAGTTTTTACCGTGTCGAGCGAGTGCATGAGCATGTCGCCACTTGTCCCTCCTAAGCCGCCTGCAAGCATGCACTACCGTATGGTGGTCAGCGACAATTTAAGGTTTGGCGATAGTTGGCGCGCAGAGTTTCACCACCCAGGACAAGACATGACATACTTGCAGCAAAGGCGGGCGCCTTTCGAAATCCCCATCGTCAGGAGTCATATTACGCGGCGAGTCCTTTTCGGTGATAGTCCCAAAGCCCTGTTGATGTGTAAGTCCATGGTCGGCGACGGCCGTGGGCGACAGCGAAGACGGTGACGACGACGGCGCAATAGTGGAAGTGGAAGTGGAAGTGGAAGCGGTAGGATGCAGAGGGTGCGTACTGGCTGCCTCGAAGCCAAGCACCATCGCCCTTTTGGGAGGAGAAGGGAGGGCGAGGGAGTTCCGCCGCCTTAGGTGCGGGCAGCGATGTTCAATGGCGAACCCCCAAGTCTATTGTAGAACCGCGGCGGGCAAGGGCGCGCAAGCTTCATGGGCTAAAGTGAGATATGGATGCGAGAAGATCCAAGTTTTGATAAATTTCGCGGCCGCCTTTGCGCCCTTGGGAATGCCAAGACTGGCTTATCCGGCCAAAGCACCGCACCTTTTTTTCGGGCGCACCGTCGGGTTGCAGGGTTCATGCAGCAATCGATGTGGCTCGTGCGTGTTGTTAACCCGCACGTAACCATCGGGCCCCTCGAATATTCTGTACATCAGTCGACACCCCCTGAGACAATAGTAAACAAACAGAGGCCTGTGGTAAGTGCTGCTGTTTCCTCCTTTTTGTTTGACTGCCACCCTTGTCGTTTCCCACCCGGGCCGTGTTTGTTGACGATGAGCATCCTATCTCGTCTACAAATCCACAAGGACTGTATGTGCACCCAAGAAAGCAGCATGTGTGGATATGAACCATTCACGCAAACAAGGTGTGCATCGATTCGCAATGGCTCACTCCAGCAGATGGCGTGCCTTCTTGATCCCCGGTCGCAAGTTATGCTCCCACCACTTTACCCGCCCAAATCGATCCCACGGCGACAGAATATGCGTGACACGGCCGGTGACCAAGCACGCTGATATCGGGCCGTAGTAGTTACTGTCCTTGGTCTTGTCGCCGTCTCCCTCTACCCAGATGTGCCCTTCTGGTACCTGGACGTATTCATGCGGGTAAGGCGCCTTGGTACGGATCACGTCGCCTGCTATTCCGACCACTCTTTTTACGACCTTTCCCTTTGGGTTCAGTGGGTTTCTGGGTTACAGTTAGTCGTCAGGTTCCCAACTAATGCCCCGAATGCGGCACGCCAGATGCTGTAGGATGAGACTTGGATCTCACCTAAAGGTCACAATCATGCCGCGCTTGAGGTTCCGGTCCGGGTACCACTTAGAGACCAGTACGATGTCCCGACGTGTTGACTCATTGTAGTGCGGGTTGAAGAAAGGATACATGGACGGCCCCTTGATTTGTGTGATCTCGGCAACCCAGCCGTTGAAGACCACCAATGGAGGGATCCATGTTGCGTAGCGAATGAGGTAGTGTGAGAACTGACCGAGGAATCCGTTCCGCATTCCTGCTCCCCATCGCGCCGCCATCGCTATCCGACCAGACGAGTTATCGAGCTACCGAAAAGGTCAATGCGATGCAACTCTTTGCTGTGAATCGCAATGCTGCTTGTGAAATAGAGGGAGTATGTTCGCCTCAACGTGCTCAGTGAGCAGGGCAGTAAGCAGTACAGAGCCTGTGCGTTAACATGGAGAAGACAATAATTGCAGCCACATGCCCGGGCAGGCGGCGATAAGAAAACGATGAGATCGCTTATCAGCCCCGGTAGCTGCATATCCTCGAACGCCTAGATCTACCTAGTACACCAAGTGCATCCATAAAATGACTATCCATATCAAGTCTTGAGTTCATTAATCCTCGTCCCTCGCTCACGTTCATTAGGCATACGCTTGATGCAATCTTTTGGTTGATTCATCTACCGCCTGAAGGACTTTTGTATCCCCTAGACGCCAGCCCTGTGTCGCAAAAACTGTGTACATGCATCCCTAAACCTTTCCTCATAATAGTGTCGAGTATTCCCAATGAGCTTGCAAAGATAGCTCCGTTCAAGAATGGTTGCAAAATAAAGAGGCGCTTTAGACGGTCTCGGGGATATTATCGTCGGACTCGCTGACACTCTCGTCGCCGCTGACCTCAGCGTTCTCACGCTCACGCTTCTCCATGAGAGCTTGGAGCTCAGCATCATCGGACTCGGTGACAGCCTTGGGCTCCATCTTCACCACAAGGTGGCCACCGGCAGCCTCGATGCTGGTCCGCATGTCTTGAATGGCCTCCTGAAGGCGGGCAATACCGGCATTCTTGTCCAAGCAGGTGTTGGTAAGGCTGTGTAGAGTTGTTAGCTGCCATTCTCCCTTCAACAATGCGAGACGCTTTCTTGCAAAGACTTACACATAAAGGGGAGGGGACACCAGTCTGCACTTGACCTGGGTTTCCTCAGTGTTGCGAGCTTCCGCAGTGCGGAGAGCGGTCTTGATAGCATCAATACCCTCGTAGCCGAAGCAAGTGACCTCAACATCGGCACGGACCTTGGTAGGCTGGGGAGTCAAACGCTTGCTGATGTAGGTCTTGAGCTCTTCGGCAACCGCCTCGGTGGGGAACTGGATGTCATTCCAGACGTCGGGGTTACTTCGTATCCATGTCAGCATCCTGTCCAATACCGCCATTTTATCCCACAGCTGTACGCCTATTTCCCGGGATGACGTACGTGATCGAAAGCTTGAAGGCATCAAGCGAGTGGCCGTATTTCTTGTTGAGGGGCCATCCTATTGTCTCGTAAAGCTGCTCGATGGGAACGAGAGTCTTCTCGGCAACGTGGCGCATAATCGAGTGGACGATCTTGCTCTTGTTGTAACGCTCCTCGCAACGAACGATATCCTCGGGGGACACACGACGCTTGGACAAATCGATATAACCCTTCTCCTTGTCGACACGGAGAACGACGACGACCTCGTTGCGACCGACACGGATCAACTTCTGGATGGAACGAATACGTCTTCTGGAAAGCTCAGAGAGCAGGATCATGCCGTCGATGTTGTCGTACTCGAGAAGCTTGACGTAGGCGCCCATATCGGCGATCTAATCTGGGGGTCAGCTCTGACGCATCACATGCGCATGCGCACCACCGGGACCCCAGTGTATCGTACTTGCTTAACGTTGACCATGACGAAGGAGTCGATTTCAGGATACTTCTCCTCGTAGAAACGGCAGTTTGAGAGCGACATGTTGGCGACTGGTGCCTTTTCCCGGGCGGGGCAAACGGTGAAATAAGTGGTGGTGTTGGTGGTGTTGAAAGGGGGAGGGTGATGTCGGCGACGAGCTTCGCGACAATGGGCGAGATGGAATTCGAGTGGATGGTCTGGAGGGGTTGATGGCCGAGAAAGAAAATTGACCGAGTTTCGCTGCAAGTGGCCACAGCTGGGAAAGGTCCTCTGGAAGTTCAAGTCCTGGTTGCGGCAGCGGGTTCTCGGAGGGTCCAGCGAGGCTCAAAGGACTCACTCAAACTTAGCCAGATGCGTCGCAGTATTTTTCGGGTACCAACCAAAAATTACGTGCAGACAGGCTGCAAAAGTGGCGGGGCACTTGGGGGGGGAACGAAGTGGGCTGTGGCTGGTGCGCCGGATTGAGGGGTGAATTTCACGTTCTGACCGTGACGGCAAGACGCGGCTCCATCTTTTTTTTGAGGTGGGGTAAGTAAGGAAGCGCACAGCAGCCCAGGTGGGAACAATGGTACACAGAGGCAGGTACCTCTCGGTTACTTACTCCACCTGCCCCGAACCCCACTGTGCCGAGCGCCAGCTCAGTGGGCAGGAACAACGACGTCAATCGTCAACCGACGGTGGGGTCAGTCACTGACAAGCCTGGAATCTTCCTTGGACATCGTCGAGCTAGGGAGCTTCAATCACTGAACCTTGCTTGTCAACCAACGGCGACTTGGAGATTCGACTTTTGCACACCCAAGGAACGAATCCCGAGGGCCGACCAACACCCGACGGACGACACTCATCTAAACCCTCCGCACATGTCTTTACTCTTGGAGGAGCTCACCTGTTTCACTTTTCTCGACGGTCTCCGTCTTGGGTGACAACACTTGGACCGATATGAAAAAGAACAGAGCGACGACACCGCAGACCAGGTAGTAAGAGTTGGGTTTCAACCACAGGCATCGGGGAGGGGACAGCTCATAGGTCTTGATCAGGTTGCGACGGTACCTTTGGGGGTTCAGATACGCTGATCGAACACCAACTATTCTTCACGACCATCCCCACGACGACGGCGCGACACTACCGCGATACCTACGACCCTACAAAAAAAAGAAAAAAAGAAAAAAACATACATACACACTTTCTCCTTTCCGTCAGAACCGACACGACGGGCTCGTTGGCTTGCTTGCTTGATGCTTCAGGCTTCTGAAAATGGAGTCTCTTAGCAACCTCGGCAACGCCATGAGCTCGGTGCTTTCCGAGACAACGTCCACGACTGCGACCGCAATCCTCGCCGATCCTACAGAAGCCCTCTCGTCTGTCGTCGCTCTTGCCAGCGATGCGGTCTCGAAAGCTAGCGATGTGGTTCCCGAACACACCCCGACTTCATGGTTCACCATCATCCTCTGGCTGTTGCACCGCATCTCGAGTGTGCTATACTTTGTCATCAAGCTGACCACCATCACTACACCCACCTTTCTGTTCAACATCTTTTCGACTAGTCTGACGGTGACCATGAACGCTACTACGCTGTAAGTCATCCGCCAGCCGCATATTGTATACATGGACTCGAGGCTGGTGGATCTAACCGTATGCTTAGTGTGCTTATAATGTTGTTCATGATGGCAGGAGTGACCTGGGTAGTCAGATATCGCTACTTAAACATGTACTCACGGCTTCCTCCTGAGCCCCAGCGCAAAGAGCCAGCTGTTGATCTGTTCCCCGAAACACAGGAGGAAGGAGTAAAGTCTGGGCTAGCTAGCTACTTCGACGAGTTTCTGAGCGCCATCAAAATCTTTGGTTATCTGGAAAGGCCGGTTTTCCATGAACTGACCCGCAGCATGCAGACGAGGAAGCTGATCGCTGGCGAAACCCTCAACCTCGAAGAAGAACAAGGATTCTGTCTTGTGGTCGACGGTATGGTGGAGATCTTTGTTAAATCCGCCAGAGATGGTCGACGCTCAAGCAGTGGCCCTTCGTTCGAGAGCGACGATGAGGAAGGCTTTGCTCCGGGTCGCCAGCGCTACCAGCTTCTGACCGAAGTGCGGAACGGTGCCCCCATGTCATCACTGTTCTCTATCATGTCACTCTTCACTGAAGATATCCAGATGCATGACACCGACGACGACGACAGCCCCGACCCAACGCCTTCCGCTCCTGGCACCGCTATGCCTGGTTATCCTATGAACGCCAACTTCCAACAGTCGAACGATACCCTCCCGTCCATCCCAGGTACCCCATTGTCCGACAACCACATCATGCAACGTGGTATGGCTTCGGCTGAGTCTCTAACAATGTCTCCCTTAGCTCATGATTCTTCGAGGATACCAACACTTTCTCTCGTGAACACTCGTCCTGCTGTACCCCGCCGGCCGGTACCGAAGAGGCTCAATACCACTTCAGCCCATCCAGATATTATTGCGAGAGCGACAGTGGACACTACCATAGCCATTATCCCCGCCAGCGCCTTCAGGCGTCTGATCAAGATATATCCCAAGGCAACTGCGCACATCGTTCATGTCATCCTTTCGAGGTTTCAAAGAGTGACACTTGCCACTGCTTACAACTACCTTGGCTTGAGCGGCGAAGTATTGCAGATGGAGCGCAACATGTTGAAGTATACAGTTCGGCAACTCCCTAATCATCTCAGAGGAGACGCTTTGGACAGACTCAAGGAAAAGTTCAAGCGGGAACGGGAAAGAATTGGAGAGAAGGAGGTCGAAAAGGGCATTGCTCTTCACAATGCGCATGCCGCCCGCCGACGTCGTTCGGCTGCCTCCCTTCGAAAAGAAGTGGCATTGCAGGCATATTCGAAAAGGCGGCAGAGCATCGTCACGGCGACCCCTGCATTCGGAACACGTCGAGAACGCCCATCGCCCGACATGCCTAGCCCTGGCGATTTGCTCACGAATACGCAACAGTTGAAGTCTGGGCCGGCATCGCAGCTTGATCTAGCGCGAGACGCTACATCTCCTCGACCACAGCGAAATCTCAGTCCCTTCTCTACTCCCCGAAACGCACATGTCTCTCTTGACACGAGAGAAGCCCTCGATGAAGACGACATGTTCCGAGAGTCGGTACTCGAATGCATGTTCAGGGCCATTGGCCTGACCGGTAACGGAAGTGTCAATCCGGATTCGACGCAAGCTTCCCCAAGATTTGTTCCTACGGACCAGCGACGTTCGCGAGGTGGTCCAGGCCACACTGCTTTTGGCTTCATGGATGCCTTCGACCCGTTCGACAACGACACGGAGTCAGTTACCTCTTGTGGATTTAGCTCATCGTCACCAGTTCCTAATCCTCAACTACTCGCACACGATATGAAGGACGAGGTTGAGATCGTCTTCTTTCCTAAGGGCTCTGTCTTGGTGGAGCAAGGTGAGAGGAATCCTGGTCTCTATTATGTTATTGATGGTTTCCTCGACATTTGCGTTCCGGGCGACGATTCATCACATGACCTCCTCCAGTCCTCAGCCAAGGTAGACCATGGCCATGACTCAGCAACTGGTGCCGACGCCTTTGGAGCCAATTCGTCACGCTTTCCTGAACCGAACATGAACAACAACTTTGGTGCTGAGCAGAAGAAAGGCAAGCAAGGTCGGAGGAGCGTGGCTCTGATCAAACCGGGTGGGCTTGCTGGTTATGTCGGTACAATTTCCTCCTACAGATCGTTTATCGATGTTGTTGCGAGAACGGATGTCTGTGTCGGCTTTCTTCCACTTGCCTCCATTGAGAGGATCGTTGACCGTTATCCCATCGTTATGCTTACTATGGCCAAGCGGCTTACGGAGTTACTGCCGCGTCTGCTTCTGCACATCGACTTTGCCCTCGAGTGGGTGCAGGTCAACTCTGGCCAGGTTTTGTTCCGCGAAGGCGATGAGAGCGAAGCTATTTACCTTGTCCTCAATGGCCGGTTAAGACTGGTTGAAGATCAAAAAGAGGGGGGGATGAACGTCAAAGCTGAATTCGGCCAGGGAGAGAGTATCGGAGAGCTGGAAGTGCTGACCGAATCCGCACGTACCGGAACTCTACATGCAATTCGCGAAACTGAACTGGTGAAATTTCCTCGCACGCTTTTCAACAGCTTAGCCCAGGAGCATCCCAACATCACTATCAAAATTTCCAAAATCATCGCAGCTCGAATGAGGGCCTTTATCGACGATCCTTCACGCATGGGACTCAAAGATAACGTGGTTCGGAGCTACAAGAGCTCTTCGACTCTAAACCTGAGAACCGTGGCAATCTTACCTGTCACCGCGGGCGTTCCTGTTGTCGAGTTTGGCAATAGATTAATGAACGCCTTGTCACAGGTTGGGCCTCCTAACGGCGCAACTTGTCTAAATCAAGCAGCGATTCTGAATCACCTCGGGAAACTCGCATTCAACAGGATGGGAAAGCTCAAACTGTCGCAGTACCTCGCGGATCTAGAAGAGAAATACGGACTCGTTGTCTACGTAGCTGGTAAGCTCAAGCCCGTCGTGTTCTTCTTGTTTCACCATTTGTAATCGGAAATTAACTCTTGATAGACACGAACGTCAACACGCCATGGACCCAGACGTGCATTACGCAAGCTGATTGTTTACTGTTTGTCGGCCTTGCGGACAGCTCCCCTGAAATCGGAGAGTATGAGCGGTTCATGCTTGGAATGAAGTCAACGGCCCGAAAAATCCTCGTCCTCGTTCACCAAGAGCGCTACTCCAACCCTGGTCTGACGAGGCAGTGGCTGAAGAACCGAATGTGGATCAACGGAGGCCACTTCCATGTGCAAATGGCATATACCTCCAACACTGTGCCTATCCATCCGCCCACGAAACGGTTCGGGCCAAGCCTCAAGCAGCGGGTTCAGATCTTGCAGGCAGAAATTCAAAAGTACACCTCCAGGAAAGTTCGCCATGTTCCCTTCTACTCTCCCGATGCTCCGTTCAAGGGAGACTTTCATCGGTTGGCGAGGCGGCTGTGCGGCAAGTCCGTGGGTCTGGTCCTAGGTGGTGGTGGCGCCAGAGGCATTGCGCATGTTGGCATCATCAGAGCGATGGAAGAGGCCGGAATCCCCATTGACATGGTCGGAGGAACGTCAATTGGAGCCTTCATCGGCGGGTTGTACGCCAGGCATGCAGATGTCGTTCCCATCTTCGGTCTAGCCAAGAAGTTCGCTGGACGTATGGCCAGCATGTGGAGGTTCGCTTTTGACCTGACATATCCGTCCGCCTCCTACACAACCGGCCACGAGTTTAACCGCGGCATCTTCAAGACCTTTGGAAAAACGCAGATTGAAGATTTCTGGCTGGAATACTACTGCAATACCACCAACATCAGCAAGAGCCGAGTCGAGTTCCACACCAGTGGTTACGCATGGCGCTACATCCGAGCGTCCATGTCCCTGGCGGGTTTACTTCCACCTCTGTGTGACGAAGGCAGCATGCTTTTGGACGGCGGCTACATCGACAATTTGACTGTATCCCGTATGAAATCTCTCGGTTCGGATGTCATTTTTGCTGTTGACGTCGGCTCGCTTGATGATAATACGCCGCAGGCCTTTGGCGACTCTCTGTCTGGTGTATGGGCATTCTTCAACCGCTGGAACCCATTCTCATCGGTACCCAACCCGCCCACGCTGGCAGAGATCCAGGCCCGCCTTGCGTATGTTTCGAGTGTCGGTGAGCTAGAGAGGGCAAAGACGATGCCCGGATGCATATACATGCGGCCCCCGATTGATGACTACGGAACGCTGGATTTTGGCAAATTTGACGAGATCTATGGGGTCGGGTACAAGTATGGCCAGGAGTTCCTCCAGAAGTTGAGGGAGCAGGGTGTATTGCCTCTGGTTGAGGAGACAGAGGCGAAGAAAGCGTTACGGAGAACGATGGCGCCGAGGCGCGCGAGTATATAGTTCCCATCTCTGGTCGAGTTGCGATGGCCGGTTGGGAAGAGTCAAAGAGGGGTAGAGGATGGGCATTGCAGTGGGTTCATCACTTACACCATGTACTGACTCGAATGTTTATTTACATTCTGGTATGCTTCGGTCAGTAGTAGAGGGGTTTAGATAGGTTTCGGTGGCGTGATCAGAAGGAAGTGTCATGTTGATGCCTTGCATCGCTCAAGTGGTTCTCTACGATCTCATTTGCCCTTGTCTACCCGACGCCATGCACACCCACCATGTCTATTGACCCACGCTCTGGTTCTAAGCCTTGACAACCTCCTCCGCCGCCTCAACCAGAATCTTCCACGCCCGGTCAACATGCTCCTTCTCAGTCGTACTCACGCTAGTCACCATGCGAATGGCGAACCTGCCATCCAGCACCGTGCTAGTCACCCACATTCTGCCGGAAGCGTTGATCTTTTCGCACACAGCCTTGGTAAGCGCATTCAGCTCCTCATCGCTCTTACCCTGCTCCTTGCCGGCGACCCTGAACACAGTCAGCGCAAAGTTAGGGCCGGTCAAAATCTCAAATAGATCCGGCCTAGACTTGAGCGAGTCGGCAAACTCCTCGCCCAGCTTGAGGGTGCGTGAGATATAACTCTGCAGGCCCTTGACGCCGTAGTTCCGCAGCACGAACCAGATCTTGAGGGACCGGAACCGTCGGCCCAGCGGGATCTGCCACTCGCGGTAGTCCGTCACCAGCCCGCCCTCGGACGCCTTGTTGCCGTACACGGCCTGGTTGATGGTGAGGGCTTGGATGAACCAGTTGCGGTCACGCACGAAGAGGCACGAGGCGTCGAAATTTGTGAGGAGCCATTTGTGCATGTTCATGTCGAACGAGTGGAAGTTCTCGATCAGCGAAATGGAGACTTGCTCCCGCACAGAGGGGAGAACGAGCGCCGAGCCGGCGTAGGCTGCGTCAATGTGCACCCACAGCTCGCCAGGGGTACCGGCTGGGTGCACGGGGTCCGACTTGAGTGTCGACACGATACCTGCGAAGTCGTCGACCGCGCACGTGTCGGTCGTTCCCATGGTGGCGGTCATGAAGAAGGGCTCGAGACCACGGGCGCGCAGTTCGGCGAGCGTCTTGGCCAGCACTGGCCCGGTGAGCGAGTAGCCCGTGTCGGCGTGGACGGCGATGGTGTGAAACCGCACGCCGAGGATGATGGAGGCCTTCTTGGTGGACGAGTGGGTGGCTGTCGTGGCGAGCGCCACCATCTTGCTACGCTTGTGGGCGATGGCGTCCTCGCGCGCCTCGGAGCCCTCGGGGAACTGCTCGAGAGGGACGGTCTCGCGTAGGTACTTGTCACGGGCGGCGACCATGGCGGTCAGAACGGCCTCGGAGGCGGACCCCTGGATGACGCCGCCGCCGCGGGTGGGACCGGTGGACAGGTAGCATTCGGGAAGGCCGAGGATCTTGGCCAGCCAGTCGAGCACAATCGTTTCGAGCTCGGTCACGGCCGGGCTGCAGATCCAGTTGAAGCAGGCGCCGGAGAGGGCGGCGCTGTAGAGCTCGCCAAGGATGGAGGGGAAGCTGGTGGCGCAGGGGAAGAAGGCATGAAAGCCGGGGTGTTGCCTGGTTGCATAGTCAGTCTTTAGTTCTCGGTGAGAAAAAAGAGAAAAGAAAAATAAATATAAACATGGTGAGGTCGCCGTACCAGTGAGTGATACCGGGGAGGATCTTGCCCTCAATATCTTTGTGAATATCGGTCCATGCCTCGCCTTCGACCGGGGCCTCGGATGGCAGAAGCTTCCGAAGGTAGCCAGGTTCTACGGTAGACACGACATTCCGGTCGTCAAGGTTGTCATAATAGCTGGCAACTGTATTGGTGTTAGTGAAATGTCCGCTGGGTGGTGATAACGAGAGAGATTTGAGGGAGTAACGAAACTCACTATCATCAATGGCCGTAGCAGCGGCCTCACGGAACCCCTGGGAATCCATCCTTGAAATATGTTATATTTACGCAAAAGCCTAGTCAAACTGACGTCGTGACAAGAAGAGAATGTAGAAGTTATTGAATCTGGCCCGGCGGCTCCCCGATATATACAACAAAGTTGGCGCCGGGAAGAGTTCCAGAACCCTTCAACCGAGCCGGATCCACTTATCCCGTTTCGGAGGTCCCGCACCTGCCGGCCAAGAACCGGCAAACGGAAAGTGGAGGCTCCCAAAACACGCCCTTTCGGAGACATGTGTACACATCCACATCGGCATGACGACGGCATCGATCGAACCAGAACCAGACTCAGGAACGGGAAATGAGCTTGAATATAGTGTATTTATACATGCTTAGTGACAACGAACATGGCGTCACTCGCGATATTACAAGTCCCCAGTGACCTTGTCGTTGGCCTTCGGCTCCTTCAGCGCATGGCAGTCCGCATCGCAGCTGATCTCCCTTGGGATCTGATTTGATGAATTCAGGTTATTATCGTCTACATCAACATCCACGGCTATTTGTTTCAAAGATGGCCACTCCAAGCTGCCTGCGATAACCGCACGGTTTGATGAGTGATTGTCTCTTACCTGCGGCATGTCGGGTATCAGCTCATACACGCAACAACACATCGGCCGAGATTCATAGTCTAAACATTCCTCGAGATAATCGACCTTCCCTGGCCCTGGAAAATCGATTATCGTCAGTTCAGAGGTCTCTGTTCGAGACTGAAAGATGAGCTCGTTCCTACCAATACATTCGACTTGGAAGCCGGAGTAATCAAGACTATCGCAGCAATAGGTGTTCGTTCCCCTTGGGCAGGTTGTCTTGCCATCGGACGTGTTGCCCCCCTGGTTCTCTGTAATGTCGGGAGAAAGATTCTCGTGGTTCGGCGGAACGAGTATGCCCATGGCAGGAACAGCCAGTACGAAGTATAGGAAGGAGAAGCGCATAATGATGAAGATGGAGTGACGGAAGCTTCAAAAAGTAAGGTACTGGTAACGACGATCAAGAAGAACGGAGCTCACTTGAAAGCAAGGAGAACAGTGCCAGATGACATCGATATCTCGGAATCAACAGCAGTACCTACCTCTACAGCATCATCATCATAACGCGCACCCCTGACCAACAGCAGCCGTTGGTTGCAAAATACGACCTTCCCATTCAGGAGCCGTGCGACTATAAACAATGCTGTCGCTCTTGGAAATCTGGTAGGTCATTCGCTCATCCCACTTGTCATTATCTCGACCTGAACCACGGCGAGCGGTGTTGCCTATTGGACCATCTGTGTTCAGTTTGTTCTTATAACCACCCACCATAGTAAACTTTTCCTTGGTGCAGTTCAACAAGTGTATTGTGGCGTGGCTGCGTGTGGCATCAGAGCTGAGATAGATGGGATCAATATGCACGTCCATGCTTCCATTTAAACGTATTCTTTGTCGTTCCAGGGTTTCACCACACTCATCTGATCAACAAATTGCTTAGCAGAGAAATCGCATCGTCATTCAACCAAACGGATGTCTGTATAGGTACCTAGTTACATAACTTATATGTTACTTAGCGACTCTGTCGGCGCTTGCAGTGACGGTCTACACTAGAGGTAGACGTCCTGACTCCTGCTGGAATCAGACCGATCACGCGACTCTCTTCGTTGGGTCCAAAGGCGGGGTCCATTAGTCGTAGATCCCAAGTCGAAGCCGGTGTCAACAACAGTGACTGCCTGTCCAGCACCAGTGAATGCTCCAGCGGCAAGTTTAGACGCGGCGGCCGAATATTCCTTTCGACAGAAGGGGAGTGCTTTCCACCCCAGTATGTCGTTATTACATCGCCTTCAAGTTCAACATCGTCCAGAACGAGACGAATGATACTGACTCTCCTCACACCCACAACCGGCACTTCCGGAAATTGTAATGACTCGGGCTCTCGTCCTACCGTTGCAGGACCGCTCGCATGAGTAGAGATTAGGTAATGTAGGCCAAATTCTTCAAAAAGATTGTACATGAAATCCAAATAAGCGCCAGTGGTTTAGTGGTAAAATCCATCGTTGCCATCGATGGGCCCCGCGTTCGATTCGCGGCTGGCGCAATACGCATTTACTTTTTGGACCCCTTCTTTTTCCTGCTTCGTTCTTCACAGGAAGACTGAACGATCCTTGATTTGATGATGTGAAAATCAGAGGCCTATTTTTGGGGGGGATGCTGATCGGTCGTAGACTAATACTAGACTCAACAAAGCGAACTATCGCCGAGTTATTGGTAAACATTGATGTTCCAACAATGGTCTCGGTTCGCTTCAGAATGCCCAAACGCTGCGAAGCCACAACACCTACCGATACAATCTTCTTGATCAAAGCGCAATTCTGACAGGAGACTCTCAAACTCGAAGCTTTTCGATAGCGAATAGTGTAGTCCGGACAAGTGTAGTGTAAGCGTCAAATCGACTGTCATGTTGCACTCCCGAGTGCCGTTGGCGGCGTTCGCGAAGCGCACGGGCCAAGTAATCTTTATCCGAGAAAGAGCCAAGACCCCCAAGATCTTGGTGCTGCAACGTGGAACGGGAGAGGTGGACGTCAGTGACGTCGATCACCCTTTCTCAAATTCCAGGGTTCAAGCTTCATCAAGCTCCAGACCTGGGCTTTCATCTCATCATCGTCCCCAAAATATCGGGACGTCCCTCTCCTCTATTGCGCATAGACCGCCATATATCACAAACTCCTGATTCCTCACGACGGCCCGTAATTGACGCCCTACCCTTATTGAAGCAGCAGGCCTGAGAGCCGGTTACCGACACGATGGCCGACCCATTGTCGTTCTACCTGGAAGACGACAAGACGCAGCCCGGAACTAGATCCAACTTCAAGTGAGATGTTTCACATGGTCTGTTTTGTTCTGAGATGTTGTGTCGGTGATTAACATAAGCGCAGTGTTGACTACGTGATCCATTACAAGCTGCCCACTACCTCGGGTTTGTCCGCCCCCGGCATGACCTCCCTAGCAGCATCAGACGACACTAACGTTCGCCCAGTAAAAGAGAAAGAGGAAGCTGAGGCTGCTTTCATCCAGCTTATCAACGCCCTCTCCGCCGTTGGATTTGCGACCGAAGTTCGACCGGGCGGGAAATCATCCCTGCTTGTCTTCACCAAGATCGCCTCCGAGAAGCTCCTCACTTCCCAGGTCTACCGGTACCGTATCCAGGACTGGCTTTTCGGCGTCCGCACCTCTGCACCCAACCAGGATCTCTCCAAATACCTTGAGGAGGAGCCCGTGAGCGAGGCCGAACGCCTGCGACTGACCTATCTTCTCATCACCAAGTCGAAGAACGAGGGCGGTGCCGGTATCACCGCCAAGGTTGGCAAGTGGAAGTATGTCGATTCCATCTTTCCCCTTCATGACCATGACTTCAACCGCCGATGGATCAAGGCGTGGTCCAGCAAGTACTTTCTCGATGAGGAGGACTTGAACCGCATCCGGGACAAGTTTGGCGAGCGCGTCGCCTTCTACTTTGCCTTCCTCCAGTCATACTTTGCCTTCTTGCTGTTCCCGGCTGCCTTTGGCTTTGCCGCCTGGCTCATTCTCGGCAAGTTTTCGTGGTTCTATGCTGTGGTCAACGCCCTCTGGTCCGTGGTCTTCTTTGAGCACTGGAAAACCAAAGAAGTCGATCTTGCCGTCCGCTGGGGAGTTCGCGGTGTTTCGAGAATCCAGCATCCCAGGCCGCAGTTCCAGTTCGAAAGGGAAGCACAGGATCCGGTAACCGGTGAGATCGTTCGCGTGTACTCACCTTTCAAGCGTCTCGCTCGCCAGTTGCTCCAGATTCCATTCGCCCTGGCTTGTGTTGTCGTCCTTGGTGGCTTGATTGTGAGCTGCTTCTCGATTGAGGTCTTCATCACCGAGATCTACACCGGGCCTTTCAAGCAATACTTGACCTTCTTGCCTACGGTCCTTCTCACCATCTTCATGCCGACCTTCTCGGGACTGCTCACCAACCTCGCCGAGAAGCTTACCAAAGCAGAGAACTATGAGACACACGATGCTCACCAAGCTTCCTTCATTGAAAAGATCTTTGTGCTCAACTTCATTACTTCGTATCTTCCTATATTCTTGACGGCCTTTGTCTACGTCCCGTTCGGCAAGCTTCTTGTCCCTTATTTGGATGTGTTCAAGGTCACGGCTCAAAGCTTCACGACCATGGAGAAGCCGGTCACCAAGAGCTGGGAGATCAATCCCGACAGGCTGACAACGCAAGTCATCTACTTCACTGTCACGGCACAGATTGTCAACTTCTTGACCGAGGTTATCGTGCCATATGCCAAGCGCAAGGTATTCAAGAAGGTTCAGGAGGTGCAGTCCGAGTTTACCGGCAACGGCCACGAGCTCCAGATCAAGGACCATCCCGACGAGGCCGACTTTCTCAAGCGTGTCAGAAACGAAGCTGAGCTCGACGCATACGATGTCACAGTTGACTACCGCGAGATGGTGGTTCAGTTTGGTTATCTGTCGCTCTTTTCCGTCATCTGGCCGCTTGCCGCTTGCTCCTTCCTCGTCAATAACTGGGTTGAGGCCCGCTCCGATGCCATGAAGATTGCCATCGGCAGCCAGCGGCCCGTCCCTTGGCGTGCCGACTCTATCGGACCCTGGCTCAACTCGCTCGGCTTCCTCTCGTGGCTCGGCAGCATCACCAGCGCCGCTCTGGTCTACCTGTTCAACAAGCATGACATCAACCCCGACGGCACCCCCTGGGACATTTCCGCCTGGGCGCTGCTCCTGTCCATCCTCTTCGCCGAGCACATCTATTTTGCCGTGCAGCTGGTCGTTCGCAGCCTAGTCCAGAAGCTGGACAATCCCGGTCTGCAGAAGGAGCGCGCCGAGCGGTACGCCCTGCGCAAGAAGTTGCTTGAGCAGACTTTTGGTTCTCACGGGTACGATGCCGATCTCACGGAAGAGGCCCGGGGTCCGGGATACGTGAGCAGCGGTGAAAGGATTACGAGGGAGGCGCTCGAGGAGGAGGCCAGAGTCAACGCTACCAAGACGCCGGAGCAGTTGTTCTGGCTGCGCCAAAGAGGCGCGGCGGAAACCATTGAGATCGGACGGGGTTTGATGGCCGAGGTTAGTACAAACTTGACCCTGACCTCCTAAGAAGCGCTAGAAGTCTACAGTTGAGCGCACACAAAAGTGAAACTTGGAGGCTGACATTGAAAGCAGGTCGCGGCGGCCAACCAGACCAAATCGTAAAAGGCCGACACGGCGACCACACAAAACACTGGCATGCACTGACTGTTTGCCAAGTTGATGGATAGCGATGGGCCACCTAACATAGACCGTATCATGTCGGTATTGTGTGGGGAGGTCTTGGTATGCGGAGTGGTGGTGGAACCGGTTCCCTTTCAACGTGGGCACATTTAGTTCATGATGGGAGGGGAGAGGAGACCTGGATGAATCGGGTGACGGCGATCGTAGGTAAGACTGTGATACGGGGTGCTGGACGCAGGTGCAGAAGAGGTGGAACAATACATAATAAAACTTCAGTAATAAAAAGCATATTCACGTGAGCGCGTGTTGATATCTTCACGTTCAAGTCTCAATGTTTACCTCACTATCTGGTTCTCTGCAAAGGGAGTCTGCCTTGGCGCTTCATCATTACTGCATTGTTTGTGCTTCACTGAGGGGTGGGGGCAGCCTACCAGATGAGTGCAGTGAGGTGAATCTAGACGCCAAAGGTTTGAGCCAGTGCTCCAAGGGGGCAACTCCTCCAACTTTTTATCGGACAGCGGATTGGATGAGAGGAACATTCAGTGTCGTGTGCAGTGGAGTACCTAATGTTGATCTCGCGGCCCCACATCCCCCACTTAAAGTTGTTGGAGGACGACCCCGCACCATGCACCTCCACGTTTGAAGCCCCGCCGATGCCGAGCTTTTCCCCACACCCGACGACGGGAGTTTGGGGTCATTGGGAATTGGGGGGCGGCCGATTGGTAATCGGACGGGAGTCAGTTAACCGGGGAATCGCCAGTGCCTCCGAAACGGTAAACCGGAGTCAGTTAGCCGGGGCAGCGAATCGAATTGGCCAGGGCCTCCGAAGTTCGCAGCCTTCAGTTCTATGTAGTGTCGTCTGTGTCCCGCTGGATCCCGCTGAAGTGTTGGCCCAAAGCGTCAAGTGCCGCTCTTTCGTGTATTTCCATTCCCGAAACAACTACTACATATCTAGCCGGCGTTGCCATTTTTATATCGTCTTCTTTCCCAGCCGCGTGTTTTCTCTTTTTGCTTTCTCTTATTCTCATTATCACTGATTGTCAGTCTTTGGCTTCACTGCCAAGTTTCTCTCGTCTGACGTAGTGTAGTTGGTTTGTGGCCGCCCCGGAAATCATTTATCGGAAATAACAGTCGCACCATCACCCCATCTTCTTCTATCCCCCGCTTTTTGCGCCGAAAACCGAACATTATATATAGCATACCCGGAACAACAGGACGAATTCAGTCGACAGAAACCACCATACAACACTAGTCAGAATGGCTCCCCAAACACCACTGACCGGCGTCGAGGTCGCCAAGCACAACAACAAGGATGACTGCTGGGTCATTGTCCACGGCAAGGCCTACGACATCACAGAGTTCCTCCCCGAGCACCCCGGTGGCATGAAGATCATCCTCAAGTATGCCGGCAAGGACGCTACCGAGGAGTTTGATCCCATCCATCCCCCAGACACTCTCGAGAAGTACCTGGCCAAGGACAAGCACCTGGGCCCCGTCGACATGTCCACCGTCGTGACTGAGAAGGCCGAGGTTGATCCTGAGGAGCAGGCGCGCTTGAAGCGCATTGAGGAGATGCCCTTGCTCGAGCAGTGCTACAACCTGCTTGACTTTGAGGCTGTGGCCAAGAGGGTGATGAAGAAGAATGCCTGGGCTTACTACTCTAGCGCGGCAGATGATGAAATTGTAAGGCTATCTTTTGTTTCCAGCCCCTTCCTTGGATCATCCGTGTATTTGCTAACCTCCATTTGCCCCAGACTCTTCGCGAAAACCACGCCGCCTTCCACCGTATCTGGTTCCGCCCCAAGGTTCTGGTTGATGTCGAAAAGGTCGACTTCAGCACCACGATGCTTGGAACCAAGGTTGATATTCCCTTCTACGTCACCGCCACTGCCCTCGGCAAGCTCGGCCACGTTGAGGGTGAGGTCCTGCTCACTCGCGCCGCCAAGAAGCACAACGTCGTCCAGATGATCCCCACTCTCGCCTCCTGCGCCTTTGACGAGATCATGGACGCCGCCGAGGGCGACCAGGTCCAGTGGCTGCAGCTCTACGTTAACAAGGACCGCGCCATCACCGAACGCATCGTCAAGCACGCCGAGAAGCGCGGCTGCAAGGCCCTCTTCATCACCGTCGATGCGCCCCAGCTCGGTCGTCGTGAGAAGGACATGCGCGTCAAGTTCACCGACGACGGCAGTAACGTCCAGAAGGGCCATGAGACCAATCGCAACGAGGGTGCGGCCCGCGCCATCAGCAGCTTCATTGACCCCGCCCTCAGCTGGAAGGACATTCCCTGGTTCCAAAGCATCACCAAGATGCCCATCATCCTCAAGGGCGTCCAGCGCGTCGAGGACGTGATCAAGGCCGTTGAGGCCGGCGTGCAGGGTGTTGTTCTGTCCAACCACGGCGGCCGCCAGCTCGAGTTCGCCCGCTCGGGCATTGAGGTTCTCGCCGAGACCATGCCGGTGCTGCGCGAGCTCGGCCTGGAGGACAAGATCGAGGTCTACATCGACGGCGGCATCCGTCGCGCCACCGACATTCTCAAGGCCCTCTGCCTGGGCGCCAAGGGTGTCGGTATCGGCCGCCCCTTCCTGTACGCCATGTCGGCGTACGGATTCGATGGTGTTGACCGCGCCATGCAGCTGCTCAAGGACGAGATGGAGATGAACATGCGCCTGATTGGCGCGACCAAGATCGAGGACCTCAACCCCGGCATGTTGGATCTCAGGAGTCTATACAACCACGGCGCGCCGCCAACGGATACGCTGTCGAACATCTCGTATGATGCTTTGATCAGCCCGGCGCAGAGGGTCAAGTTTGCGGAAAAGTCCAAGATCTAGAAGGTGTTGATCTGTTTAATGATTTGTATTTGTTGAAGTGATGGATATATCCTGGTTTGTTTTTGTTTTTGAGCTTTATTTGGGTTTCCCCTCCTTGGGGTAAAAGGGGTTTAACGGCAGTATATATCTGCTAGAACTTGTTGGATATGCCATTTATGTCTACTCCTGATTCTCATGCCAGCCTACGTTTTCAATGTTTCTAATGGGTTCAACTTTCCTCACGATATGTCCGAGCTGAGCTTGCCATACTACAATATCTCGTTTGGTGTGTGGTCGTGTGTGTGCTTACATGAACGCCTCTTTTGTGCGTCGGACTGTCGGACAGCAGCCCGAGAGAATGGTACAATCAGGCAAAACCGGGAAAGTGATCGCCGCCATGATCGGTCATGATGTGCCCTGCATTTGGAAACCGGTTGTGCAGTTTGTACCATGGTATTGCTATCACACTCTCAATGCCTGATAGGTAAAAGATGTCTAAGTTCTTTGAGGCGATGAAGACGGCAAGGAGGGGGTTAGGAGGGGCAAACCACAACACTTCCGGATCTCGAGTGTGACTTGAATCTTGCATTGCAAGCGCGTGGTTTTCTCGCTGTGGCACCTGGGAATAAGAACATGTAAGTTGACACAGTACGAAGTCAGGAGCGTGGTTCCCTGGGAAGTTGAAGTCATTCATCCCATTCGTTTATTGTTATCTTTTTTTTAATTCATGATGGTAATGAAGGCCCAATGGAAATTGGTTGGATTGTCTTCTGAGACATTGGGGTTGTCCATGAGAGCCAACCAACCTCAACTCGGATACTTTCTGCTCAATCCGACATGATTAAAAATGGAAAGCAACACCTTGACGATGCCCTCGTGTAAATCAGATCCAAGCGGGCAGGGCAGGTCGCCAACGCCCTAGCGGCCAAGTTTCTTTCAAGCCTAGCACGCCTAGCACGCACTACTCGCTCGTTCGGTTATACCCGCCAGCAACTGAATGGGACTCGTAATTTCAACACTAGTCCGCCCGGTATACTATGTTAAGAGCTGTCATCCACATCCTTCCCGTCATGACGTAAAGCTGCTTTTTCGGTCTCAAAAAACATGACCATTTCCAGTCACCAGACAACCTTTTTGAGCTCTAAAGAAGCAACAGGACATGCCAGCCCGCCGCACTACATGATATGTACACCTACATACTGACGGGAGTTCCACACTACATTGGGTGAGGCACAATATAGGTAGGTAAATGCATGTCTGTAATATCCCGTTATTACATCCAGCAATGTGTCGTGTACAGGAACTGCAGGACTGGCTGCCTGCCACTGCGCCACTGTACCACGTACTGGACGAAGCATGTGCACCATTGCCCTCCGGCTGGGAGCCCTGCAGAGTCCCCTACTGGACGTAGCGGAACGGGTGACAATTACATACATGACATAATACTGGTACTGGTACTGGTACTGATACGGGTACCGATATCGTAAAGGCGTGCTTGTCCCCCTTCAGCCAAACTGTCTTCACGATTGTGTCTTCCAGTATATTGTTTTCTGAATATATGTTGTTGTACACTCGTTGTCGCGTTGCACGTGCCCTCTGAAACAGAAACCCACCGTATCGTTGAGAAACAAGACCAAGGCTGGCGCAAGTTGGCTAAGTTAGGTGCGAGGACGTGTGTGAGGGATTTGGCCACCTATGACTAGAAATAAAGGCGCAAGAGCAAAGAAGAATAAGAAGAAGCTGCTACTGGTGGAAGGTCGGACTGGACTCAACTCTGCCCAGTCTTATTATCTTCAAACAAGCAAGACATCCACCCGGTACATTATCCAGGCTCTCGACATCTACCTCTGGTCCATGTAACTTATACGTAGGCCGAACGAATCGACTTCACAAACCTTACACTTACATTGACGGCTCCTTGCCCACCCTTGTCATTGCCTACCCTGTCCGTCCTTTCTTGGTCTCAAAAGACCATTCACTTCCCCCCACCTTCCCCGTCCGTCAACGAGACTCTCCAACGTTCCTCCAACTACCCATCACTACTCCGCGGCATCCAGAGGGGGAAAAGAAGGGGAGAAGAACGACATTTAACAGATAATAAGTCATCCGATATACCTAACATACAGAGGAGACGAGGACAAGCAAACAAAAACGACAAACACAAGACATTACCATACCCTTACCTTACCTACCTATCGCGAGAAACGACAGAAACAAGGAATAAAAACAACAACCCCACGAACGAACGACGATATGTCGTCTTCTCTCGAGGCCAAAATAGTCGTTCTCGGCTCCCAGGGCGTCGGCAAAACATCCCTCGTGACGCGCTTCTGCAAGGGTGCCTTCAACCCGGCCCAAATCACCTCGACCGTTGGCGCCAGCATGATGACGAAGCGCGTTATCGACACTGATACCGATACCGTGGTGCGATTACAGATTTGGGATACTGGTATGTCGTGGTGGTGATTTACTTGTCGATATAAATCACATGCATATGTTCCATCACTGCCTCCATATTTACCCATGTCCTCCTCCCCCAGCTTGCCCCACCCATTTACTATATATAAATGTAGTATCCATCCCCATCACTCCCCCACATAGGAAATAACAACAATAACAAGAGCAAGAGGCTGACTTATACCCGAAACATAAAACTATTAAAAAAACAGCTGGCCAAGAACGTTTCCGCTCCATCTCCCGTCTCTACTACCGCGGCGCCAATGCCTGCATCCTATGCTACTCCATCACCGACGCCGCCTCCTTCGCCGAGATGGGCATGTGGCTAACCGAACTACGGCGCAACCTGCCTCAGGACATAGTCCTGCACGTCGTCGGCACCAAGGCTGACATGGTCGCCCGCGACCCTTCCAAGCGAGAAGTGCCCTTTGAGCGCTGCATCGCATATGTAGCCGAAAACCTGAACCCGGGCGTGGGATCGACGCCACCACCTACGGCCACGCCGTTAGGGATGCCGGGGGTAGGGGGATCTTTAAATTCAAATAGTGGTGGTGGTTTAGGAGGGTGGGCAGGTACAGGAACAGGAACAGGGGCGACGACGACGACGACAGGTACTGGGACTACACCAGCAACAACAACCACAGAAAGACCAGAACGATCAGGTCTAGGAGGACTAGGAGGGCTAGGGGGAATCCGACTGCGAGGAGGCGAAGCTTCCCAACAACAACAACAACGAGAAACCCAAAATGCCGAAGGAAGCAACACCACAACAACCGGCGGCGGCGGACCAAGACCACGTCTACGCAACCACCATCACCCCCACCCCCATGGGTTCCAAAGCACCGAACCCCGCTCCCCCAGCTCCAAACGCAGCTCTGGCTTTTGGGGCCAAGAAGTCGGCTGGGACGCCTGCCATGAGATCTCTGCGGAATCAGGCGAAGGCGTGGAAGAAGTCTTTCGCGTGGTTACTCGCAAACTGGTGGAACAAAATCGCAGGATGCAGCAGGCTTTGTTGGCTGCCGCTGCTACACCTGGTGTCTTCACTCCTGGAGTATTTGGGCCTGGGACTGGTGGGTTTTATCCTGATGGTGTGACGGGAGGACTAGGCGGCGGCGGCGGTGGTGCTAGTGGTACTGGTGCTGGTGGTTACGGAGCTGGTGTTGGTGGTGTTGGGTATGGTGTTGGAGGGGGAGGTGGTGGTGGTGGTGGTGCGGGGGGGAACGGACTGCCGGGGTACTTCGATCTGAATCCTAGTGCGACAATTAGGGTGGGGAGGGATAGGAGAAGCTGGTTATTTAGTCCGGGGATCTTGTCGACGCCGGGGATATTGCTGCCTGGGGGAGGAGGGGATGGTGGAGGGGTAAATGTGGGAGGGGAGCAGCAGATGGGTGATGATGGTAGGAGAGGTGGGAAGGGAAAGTGCTGTTGACGTCTTTGCTCGCCCCTCCGAGGTCAAGATTCTGGTACTTGACGTCTCTGCTCTGTCTTGAAGAAAAGAAAGAGGAGGAAAAGCGGGAAGAAGAAGATGGATGGATGGACGTATGCGTGTCTATCATGATGATACCCATGATTTTACGGAAACGATACAGTCTTTTTTCTTTTTGTTATGTTTGGCCTTTTTCCACTTGCATCGTTTTCCATGGTCAGTCGATAGGGTAGGTAGGTACCTGGTTCATTCTGGCTTGGGATCGGTTTGGTTTGGCCTGGGAGAGAGAGCATTGCAATAAGGGAAGGGAAGGGAAAGGCAAGGGTCAATTTCAACCGGGTTTTGTCTGTTTGAACTTCATGCTTGCTGATCGGGTTTGGACCATGGTTTGGTTTTATGTCTAGTATGCTTCTATGTTTTGTTTGTGCTGCGTTGTGTTTGTTTCCCTCTGTCCTGCATTGTTTTTCCTTTCCTAATATCTTCTACTCAAGGTTACCATGTGTGCTTACTTTGCCTTCTTACTTGTCTTCGCATTATCACTCCTGCTGGACCAGGAATAACGCTTCATGGACGTTTCATAATCTACAATTCATCTCTCTCCCATTCTTCTCGTTTTCTCCATTTTTTTCTGTTACTAGTGGCATTGGTGGCATCACATTCGATAACGGCATGGACACACGCATAGATACAGTTTTAGGCATGGGTTCGGTAAAAAGGAGGTTAGTAGTCAGTTAAAGCACATCATTCATGGACCGAGAATGGAGTCTCCGCTTGAAGGAACCATGGTATTGCTATTTTGTTGGTGATGGACGTGAAACCCTTCCGTGGACTTTTCCCCAACTTATTAAGTAGTGATATTGTCAAAGCTCATGAGGCTTACAGAATTTCCATGCCCTGCTTGATTTGGTCAATTATTCGTAACTTGACAAAAGAACATTAAAGGCAAGCTAATCATTGAGCCAAGTTTTGATTTGTCTATCTCTATCTTCTATCGACCTTGACAACCTTTGATACCCCTTTCATGAATCTGGGTATTCGTAAATCGATATGCCATGGATATCTCTAGAGGAGCCCATAGATGCAAGGCCAAGCACCTCACCAAAATACCCATCAACCAACTTCTTATTAATGCCCGCTGTGTTCAGCGCACCCATAAGAGCATGTGTCATCGCTGAGAACCTTTCCGTGCCGAGTTAACGAACCATTCCAATATTCCCCTCGCAAAGGGTTCAGAGCCATCGATCGTAGAAAAAAACTAAACCGCCGTCCCATGTACCTCTCCATCCACATCCGCCTCTGGCACTCCACCATCAACCTCCATCGGTACCCCCTTACAATTACACCCCAACCTCTCCCTGAACTCCTCCACGCTCATGCCCTCCAAAAGCTTGATAGCCTTCTTCGCCATAGCCGACTTCGCATACCGTCCACTGGCCGCCACCGCATGCACCACCGTCTTGCCATGTACCAGTAGCGCCGAGACCACCTTGGGCGGGTTGATCTCACTAATCTCACCAGCCACTGCACCATTACCCCCTCTTCCACCTCTTCCTTCCGTAACATCTGTGTCCAGCTCCTTGGCAAAGCTTCTCCACTCGTTGCAGCGGAACTTGTGCGCCATCATGTTCGCCACAAAGGTGACGGGATGTTTGTTGGCGAAGGTATCGTAAAGATGCATATCCTCGAAGAAAGGCAGAACGTGCGTATTGAAGAAGTTTTGGACTACGGAGTAATCGTACTCGCTGTCGACGAAGATGGCGCCGATGTATGCCTCCACCACGTCCGACAGGCACTTGGGCAAGCGAGAAGCGTGTGTGATGTGCACCCAGTAATCCCTGCTATACTCGTCTGCGGTTGTTCCTGCCTTGATAGCCTCCTCCTTGGCCGCCTCGAGTGCTTCTTCTATCTCGGCCACATACTCGGCAATGTCCTTGAGGATGGAGGGTGACATGGTGGCGATGCACTTGTTGAATCCCAAGTGAAAGGAGAGGCAGCACAGGAACTGGTTGGACACCATGGCCATTTTGTGCTCCGTCAGCCATTGCGGGTCGGCGGCGGGGAACTTGCGGAAGAGGTAATCGACGGCGACCATGTCGAAGAGCGCGTCACCGAGGAATTCGAGGCGCTGGTACGAAGGGAGACGTTCGTAGAGGGACGGGTACGTCGGGTGCTGGAAGGCTGCGCGCAAGAGACGCGGGTGCTTGAAACTGTAGCCCAAGCGCTCGGAAAACTTTTTGGCCATGTCGCGCTGGGCACTGTTGGCTGGATCCGTCTGCCAGTTTGGCTTTTGATATACGGCGTAGTAGTCGCCGTAGCTGATCATGCGGTGCTTCTTGTCTTTGACCATGGCGGTTACGGCCTTGATCGCCAGGTCGAAGCTGCCCTTCTCTTGGCCAGTAAGGTAAGCGGCGCCGATGAGGGCCTCGCAAACGTCAGCAATGGACTTGTCGGCCAGGACATGCCGCTGACGCGCATCCTTACTCTTGCCCTTTTTCAAAATTAGGCCCTCCGGATACCATTGTCTGCGGTTAAATGACATGGACCGGATGTATTCTTCGAGCCCTATCTCTAGGGCATTGTTGAATAGGTTCTTGTTGCAGATGAGGAGCATACGCTCGACGTGATACTCGAATTCGCCCTTGTCAGGGATCAAGGTATATATGGCAATGGTTGTTGCCATTTTCAAGAAGGAGTCACCAAGAAACTCGAGTCTCTCGTAGTTGTCACCCATTCCAGTTTGATAGTTTTCCTTCTCGGCATCATGTTCATCCGAGTTATCGCTGTCCTTGGTGAAGGCCTCAAGAGCGAGGTCTGGGCGCAAGTCTAGACCCAGAAGCTTGCATGCGTCCAACGCAACTAGATTCGATTCTACCCGGTGTATGATTGACGGGAAACAGAGAAGCATTGCTACCACATCTGCTGGTATCTGTATATGACATGTTAGAATCATCTTCTTGATATAAGGTGCACACACTTACAGGTGAGATCCTCATGGGTTCAAGAATTAGGAAACACTGTTGTGGTTCCACGTCCTCATCCCTCAGAGTATCGTCGAGAAAGTCTCGACGGGTGGAAATAAGCGCAGCCTCCACGACAGGCTGATCCGCCTGGAATATCATAAAGCCACGCGACTTTGACCACAAGCTGTTGCTGTAGTTCAGAATGTCATGTGTGGTGCCTAAGCCTCTCCAAGCCCTGTGATTCGGTGCAACAATACCATCTGGCACGGGATCCGTGGGTTTCATGTCATGGCGACGGTGATGAGTAAAGAACTTCCGTGCTCCGTCGTATGGGTCAACTACAAACTTGTCTTGGAAAAAATCATCTGGCTCAAGAAACGTGTATGGCACCTTCTCGTTCTCACTGACGTATGCTAGCGTCTTTCGGTCAATGAGGTGGGCTGGGCTCTTGGCCAAGCGGAAGTCAAACCCGTGACCACCGTCCATCGGAGAGAGGAAGTACGGAAGGTTGACTGCTGTAGCCTCGTATTCCTTGCTGAAAACATCCATAAAAGCTTTCAAGGTGAAACAAGTAAGTTGCTCCACCAACGTTTCGTCAGCCTGGACAGAACCTGGGATAGGCACGCAGCGGACTCTGGAAAAGCGCTTGGTGCCAAAAAAGAGCGGAAAGGACGCCACTTCTGGGAGAGCGCTTCTACTAAGCAGGAGAAGAGGACGAGAGCTACGCCCAAGGGTGTCTGGGTTCTCCAGAACAAACGCAGTAGCAGAAAGCTGCGTGACCACGCCTCGAACCGACCATAATTCGGGCTTAAGACGCATGGCGTACTCCGTCTTCTTCTTTGAGCTGACAGCAAGGCGAGCATTTCGCATTTCCGGTAGCTGCTTGGTGAACACAGATTGGAGGTGGTTATCCAAGTGGCCAGCCTTGAGTAAAGCAAGGCAAAGCTCGAATGCAGCTGCACATTTGGCCACCCCCTTACTTAAATGTACTTTGCCAACCGCGCTCTTGATAGGTGATGCATCAGGCATGACAACCTCGCACTGGAAGCCACCGGGAACAGTGGTGATGTAGTATTCCGGACTCAAACTCGTCTCCGGTGGGTGTGGTAGAGTGGCGGTGAAATTGGCGAGACAGACAAGGCTTTGCATATAGCTGAGTTTCGCACCAGTGTCTGGGACAGTGTACTGCCTCTTGCCCTTCTCCTTCCGAAGCAAATAATCCAAGTTCATATGGTTGCCAGTCAGCTTCCTGTCTTCGGGCAGAGCCTCGCAGAACTTGCGCAGGACATCTTCAGCCCCTTTAGCTCGCAATATCCTGGAGTGGTGCTCGTAATTCCCTTTTTCGATCATCTGGATGTAGCGAGAATCTGGACGACGAGCTCGACCACGCGACTGGATACACTGAATCAGAGTATCATAGAGATCGAATCTGATGACGATATTGCAATCTGGAATATCGAGACCTTCCTCAGCAACAGAAGTAGCAAATAGGCAGTTTATTTCGCCAAGCTTGAACTTTCGAATTATTCTGTTTTGTTGCTGGAAGTTGATCTTGGCGTTGACATAGCTTGAGCCAGTTGTCCCACCTCCAACCAAGACTTCTGCTGCAATGCTGGGTATGTGAGACTTTATCTCAGGCTGCTGAAGCAAATCCGCCAACAGCATGGCCGTGTTCCGCTGTCGAACAAAAATAATGCATCTTTGCGCACCCACGCCCCTCTCGAACTGATCACGCAAGATTCTAACAAGCATGATGACCTTGGACGACAACATCGTCGGATCGAGAGCAGCGGGTGAAAATGTATGCGCGTTAACCAATTCATGAGCTTCACGGACTTGCTTGACGTGCTTTTCGGTAATTTCATCGAGGGCTGCGACTTTCATGAGATCTCTCTCAGTGCGTGATTCCAGTTTGACTATATCCTCTTGTTTGAAGAAAAGTTGCCAATACCGGTCGGCACACCATGTTCCTAATTTAGATGCAGCCGAGGTAGTAAAGTTGAGCGGCTTCTTAAACAGCTCTTGTCCTCCAACAAGTTTGCGTAATTGCTTGTTGAGGACTGTCTCCGAGTCTGGTCGACCACGAACGTATTCAACGATCAACTCGGTCTTGGGTTTGCAAATCGTATGCTGAAGGGCGGCCGGGTCGGCGGCCGTGGCTATTTGGCTGTGAAGTAATGCCTCCAGTTCTGCCGCAGCCCGCCTCGGGTCAACCTTCGCGTCAACCGGGGAGGCCGTCAAGCCAAGGATTCTGGGTCTTCTCTCCAACTGCTCATCAATATAAAAGTTCTTGATGATGCGAGCATACGGATGATCTTTTTTTGTATGGTGGGCTTCATCGAAGATCAAGAGGTTGATCTGGTCCATTCTAATCCAGGAATGATGGAGCGCTGTGCTGAGGATTTCAGCTGTACAGACAACCACTTCGTTTTGCTCCAATGCTTCCTTCCAGAAAGCTTTTGATTCGACACCTTCCACCATCTCGCCGCATAGTTTCTCCATTGGGAAATCGAGGTTCTTGGTGAGAAAGCTGTGTTGTTGGAACACCAAGGCCACCTTGTCGACCAGGAAGAAGGCAATCCGTCTGGGTAAACCCTTTTCTCGATCCTCCAATTCACCATTAATGACCCAGCGTAACAACATGGCGGCGATCAGAGTCTTTCCGGATCCTATCCAAGGTTTGAACAAGTCAGAAAGAGGGTCCCAGTCTGGCAGAGTATGAGGAACTTACCTGTATCCAGAACAGCAATCGTGTTTTGCTGTTTTGCACGTTCAAAAAGCTCAACCTGATATTCTCGTGGTGAAGTGATGATTCTCTCGCTATCAAAGCCAATAGCGGGCAGCACGTCCACGCCGGCCGACCTTGCCGCTTCTATTGCGGCCTTCCTTTGGTCTCTTGCCAGAGTTTCCTGGTGCTCCTCGATCCATGAGTTGAACGCAGCAGTATCGGCCAGCTTCTTGGCCGAAATCTTCTTGGGCTTGGGTTCCGGGTTCACTGTCCATCTTTTGACGCCGTCCTCGCTCTCGACATCAGAGGCGTTTCCTCTGTCGTCATTTTCGGAGGCCACATCTTCTTGGGAGAGATCTATCAAATCTTGGTCGCCGATTATCTGACTTGTCGCTTCCGGTGGGATAAAGGGTAGCCGAGTGGCCACGGCCATGGTGACGAGCTGTCGTTCTTTTCCTTCTTGTTGTGTGATGGAAGTTCGGTGATACTTTTGCAAAAGAGCGCATGGACCGAGCCGAAAGTGACAGACTGCTGTCGGGAATGAGAGTCGAATTTGCTGACGGACAACGAAGAACAAATAGCTAGACCAGGTCCAAGACGTTCGGGGATGCAGCAAGTACTGGAATCAGGGACTGCCACCAGACCCTCTCAACTTGGGTTCGTCAAGTATCGACCGAATCGAGCTATCGCATGGTTGATTGAGTGGGGGAGTAAATATAAAATTGAAAGCAGTCGCCGCGAGAGAAGAGCAAGTTATAGAGAACGGAAGAACGAAGCTGAGAGGTTCAGGCAGGTGCAAAAGCTCGGGCCCCGCTTTTATACAAACACGGAGAACAGATGAGATGAATACAGAAAAGTTACACTGCTGCCATAAACCAGATGAACTTGACACCCTTTCCATCGCTTCGATTCATTATAGCAGTTCGAACATAACGCTAGCATCTTGCTGTTGGTGGGGAGTTTGTTCGGCCATCCTTTTGTGTCAAAGTTGTGTTGCTAAGCAAACATGCCAGGATCAAAATGTGCCGGGTAGGTAAAGAAAGAAAGAGAGAAAGAAAGAAAGAAAGGAACCGATCATGATCATAAGCAAAACGGAGTAAACCAACCGACCAGAACGATAAGTACCTAGCTAAACTTATGGACTTAGCCTCTCCAAAGTCCACTTGTCTTCACCTCCATCTTGATGGACGCGGTCGTAGACAAACCGATCGTGTAGCCGGTTTTGCCTTCCCTGCCAGAACTCGACCCGTTCAGGAACGATGCGCAAGCCTCCCCAGAACTCCGGGACGGGAATCTTCTCCTCGCCTTCAAAGCGCTGCTCCGACTCCTTGACCCACTTGTCCAGCTGTCTTCGTCCGTCGTCGTCGGGATCCGCAGGGTCGGGATGGAGGACAGCGCTTTGTTTGCTTGACCAGGCGCCAAGACGACTGCCACGAACTCTTGTGTCAAAGTAAGCCTGGCTCTCCTCTCGTGTCAAGCGCTCCGCTCTTCCCTCCACCCTGACCTGCCTTTCCAACGGCTCCCACCAGAAAACAAGAGAAGCCCATGGGTTGCCGGTGCTGGATCCATCCTCACTGCCAAACAAGTCGCGCGCCTTCCCACTGGTGCCAAAGTTGCTGTATATAACAAAGCCCTTTGGGTCCAGCTCCTTCATGTACACCATGCGCGACGAGACGCGGCCCGAGGGCAACTGTGCAGTCGATAGCGTGCAGGTTTCGGGGTGAGAAATGCCCGTTTCGGGTTGGCAAGCGTCCGTGAACCATTTGTGGAATTGGGTAATGGGACTATCGGGGTCAAGGTCAGAGCGTCGCAAGCCTCCTCGGGTCTCGGCCTTGAGGAACTGAGCCGCTTGACCGGGGACGGACGGGTCGGCTGAGGCACCGGCGGGGGCAACTGGAGGTCACCGAGTCAGCTCTTGCTGCCATTGCAGTGGTATCTCTGTGAATGTTCCCAATTTCACTTACAGATGAGCTTTGCGCCATCTTGAGCCGGGTGGAGAGCCATTGTCTTGGTAGTAAAGGTAGCAACTCGGGGGTTCAAAGGCTTCGGACGAAGGGTGACTGCAGAGACGGAGAAGAGGCGACGACAACTTGCTCGCATTGGCAAGACAAAAGTGAATGGATGTGAAGGGCAAGCAGGAGGTTTTATAGTGGCACCACTTTAAAGTCCGGTCGGACCTATGTAGAAGGAAAAGCCCGGATGGAAGAATCGAGAACGGAAGCGAGCGGCAGCAGAGAGGGAGAACATGCGATCAGTCACAGAGAGGCCGAGACAGTGCCGTCAGGGTGGTGCCGTCATATCGACTCCACACCAACCCTTTTGGCCAACCGGGCATCGAAGACTCGAGACGAGGACGACCACACTTGCCCTTTCAATTCCATACCTTAGGTAAAGCACAAAGTGAAACAGAAGGGAAGAAACGGAATTTGGCTATGGAGACTAGTTGGCGTGATCATTGGGAGCACAGAACAACATCCAAAGCCGCTGGTCGAAGCCAGGATCAAAGTGTAGTCCGGTCCATGCTGTTGGAGGGGACATGTCGATTGAGAACAAGATAACCGATAAGAAAATAAACATTGCTTGGCAAAGGAGATCGGAGCGAGGATCAGAGCGGGGCAAACAAACGGACATGGTGAGCTCACCAGTGTGGGTTGCAATTGACATGCCCCGCATCCCAGAGCTGTCAAACCTCCACTGAAGTTCAGTTATCATTTTCATCCATTCCAGAATCCCCAATTCCATTCGTTCCCTTCCAACGAGACGCAGCAATAACCAGACATCACGACCCTTTGCTTCTTCGCTTACTTGCGCCAACATTGACTCAATCCACCGGATCAGACATTTTTCAGTCACAAGCGACCACCCCAGAATGAGCGACCAAGAACCCAGGTCTCTCAAGGCCACCTTCGCCGCCGCCGAAGAGAAACGCCTCTCGCTCGAGAACTCACCACCCAGCCCGGCCGACTACGCCGACACCGTCTCCGCCGCCATCAAGCTTTACCAATCCTGCCTCTCCCAGATCAGCCTTCTGTCCCTCTTCAGCTCCAACGAAGGACTCGAAGACCTCAACACCAACGACCTCCCCTACCTGCTCGTCAACTACCACCTCGCCGAGCTCATCCAAAAGATTCCCTCGCCTACACCCTCGCCCGCCGAACGAAAACGCATCCTTGCCCAGGCCCGCGAAGCCTACGAGCGCTATCTCCATCTGCTCGATAGCTACGAAGGTCTGCTGAACCCAACCTACAAGAAGCTTCTCGAGCGCTACACCGACAGCCCGACCGAGTTCAGCGTCGTCTCGTCCGCCTCGGACCCAAACGCCCGTCGCAACGCCAAGATCGCCAACTTCAAAGCTGAGAAGGAGCTGCGCCAGAAACTCGCCTACCTCCGACAACGACCCGAATATGCCGCCGCCGATCTTGAGCTAGATGATGACGAGTCAATAAGCCAGAGCAGAGGAGGGGGAGGGGGAGGAAGCACAGGCGACGAAGAACTTGTCCGCTCCGTCCACCTCGCCCACCTTGACTTGTGCACACACCTGACCTTCCAAGCGCTCGAGAGCCTCAACCGCGAGCTGGAGGTGCTCAACATGGCTCCGCGCGAGCCTGCCTCGCTGCCATCCGCGCAACTACGAAACAACCAGGCAGGCAATGACGGGGGCGCGCAGGACGACCTACGACGGCGACAAGGAGGGGGCGCAGCGGATCGCGACTACAGCGACAGACTCGATATGCCCTTTAGCCGGTTGCAAGGAATATTGGGTGGGAGCGGGCCGATTCTGTCCAAGGAGGGCAGGCCACTGCGACCGTTTACGCTGACGGGGACGAGACAGGAGATTGCCAAGGGGGTGTTTAGGCCGGGTCATAATTTGCCGACCATGTCGATTGATGAGTACTTGGAGGAGGAAAGGAGACGGGGCGGAATTATTGAGGGCGGTGGAGAGGCGAGTTGGAAGGCTGGGGAGAAGGATCCGAATGACGAGGATGACTATGAGAAGTTGGATGCGGAGACAATGAAGGCAAGGGCTTGGGATGAGTTTGTGGAGGCGAATCCGAAGGGTAGTGGGAATACGTTAAACAGGGGGTGATGGGCCTTGGAATAGATTGCGAACGTGCTGTGGACGAGGGGGTATACTATGGGCCAAATTGATACCAAAACATTGACATAGAAGTCAAAATCGAAAAATAATAATACTGATGTCGCTGATGTATTATGGTCTACACCAGGAACTGGCAATATCTGACCTTGGCCCGTGCCACCAGCAAAAGGCCACCACTCGCTACTTATTGGCCATACTAGTAGTACTCACTCACTTCGAACTTTCCCCCCATTCCCCCCCCTCCTGGGATTGATCCCCCCTCTTGCCCCCTTGTCCCTTCCCCTTCTTGTCTAAATCCGCATCCCCCTCCGGTGCCGGCGGCCCCGGGATATCCACCCCCTCGACCCTGTACTCCATCCCAATATACCCATCACTAACCACCAACACATCCAGCTTCCTGCCCTTCACCCCGCCTTCCACCGGCGGCAGTCTCATCACAGCCCTAGCACTAGGTCTCATGCCCACCTCTATTCCATTCGTCTTCTTCCCATTCTGTTGGTGATTCTGCTCTTGTTGTTGTTGTTGTTGTTGTTGTTTCCTCCCACTACTCCAACCAACCCTCTTGACAGCAACAACCTCATCCCTCTTGACATCCGCCACCACGACAAACCACCCCTCCGTCTGCGGCTTGGGAAACTTGGGAGCGTAAATCCGCCCTTCGCGCTCCGTGATGGGGTTCAATCGCTTCAGAACAACTGTCAGTTCGCCGTGCTTGACGTTTTCCACCGAGACGTGCACGTCCGGCACGGCCTGGGCGGCTTTGGCGAAGCGGTTGGCTTGTGCTGGAGCAAGACCAAGTTCGTCGCGGGCGAGTTTTTGGAGGAGGGAGTATTGCTGATTGCTGCCGCGGGAGTTGTTGGTGGATTTGCTCAGTTGATTTAGTGTCATTTTGGATTTGCACCGGTCGGCTTCAGCATGATCAAAGCCGGGGAATATGGAGAGTGCAGGGTCCTCAGGCCAACGAGCCTGTTTAACGCATTGCAGGAGTTTGACGAATTGCAACATGCTGCTCAGGTATCCCAGCTCCGTCATGACGTCCACCGAGGCTTGGATAATGCGCACCGCTTGGTCTAGGACAGATGTCTGGTCGCCGACGTAATCGGTGATAGGCAGGGGCTCGACGCGGGCCATGTGCGCTTGAAGCAGCAAGAAGGCCTTCACGTGGGGATCCCACATCGGCAGGCCGTCGAAGGCGGAGGTAGGGAAGGGCAATGCCTTGGCTAGCTCGGCGTTGATCAAGTCTTCGTTGTGACGAACGGGGAGCTCGTCATACTCGGAGGCGCGGGACATCCAGGATAGGGCTTCCAGAAAAGTGGCCGAGGCGCGGGCTTTGCGGACCAGATGCCGGATGGTCTTGTGCGAGAGGTAATAGTAGGACATGATTTTGCCCAAGGGGGTCGGATCAACATCGCCGTTAGGGAAAACTTCGACGCAACCTGATTCGGCGAGCTCGGAGAGCGAGTGGTCAACCATTTGGATCATGTAGTCGTTGGCGAGCTGCTGAGCCATGGTGGACGAGTGTTCCTCGGCGGAGATCTCGAGACCATAGTAGGACGGGTTCTTGTGCAGGCGCCGGAAGAAGAAGGTCCATGTCAGGTAGTCGAGCGCGTCTTGTTTGGTAACGATGGTCTCGGCGGACACTTCGGCGCATAAATGGTTGTCGAGGACCGTGTGTAGGGAGGACTCGACGGGGAAGCCGGTGTGCAAAAAGTGCTTGTAGAAGTCCTTCTTGGCGTCTTGGGTGAAGATGCGGGCGACTCCCGAGTTGTCGAACTGCGGTCGTCCTGCTCTACCAAGCATTTGGAGCACGTCTGTTAGGTCCATGTCCTTGTAGGCCTCGATTTTGGCGTCATAGAACTGCGTGCCCTTGACGACGACGAGATGCGCTGGAAGGTTGACACCCCAAGCCAAGGTACTCGTAGCTACGAGAATTTGGATCTTGTTGTTCAAAAAGAGTTCTTCGGCGATCTGCCTGTCAGACTCAACCAGACCGGCGTGATGGAGACCGATGCCGAAGCTGATGGCTTCCTTCAAGGCATCATCCTTGACACGGGAAAGGTTGAGCTGGAGATCATCTTCATCCATGTGAAGGAACCGTCTAGGATTATCCTCCATACCGCAGAAGTTGATGAGATCCTTGGCCGTCAAGCGGGTCTGCCGACGAGACGGCACGAACACAATGACTGGTTTCTCGGGGCTGTGGTTCAAGATCGCCAAAAACGTCGGCCTATTCATCGATTGCATCAACGGGCAGAACCCTCTGACCTCGGGGAACCCGTCGATGTACAATTCCAGCGGCACAGGACGCACCGAATGCCGGAAGTTGAACAAACCTTCCTTCACACCGAGCCAGTTGGCCAGGTCCGTCGCATTGGCGCAAGCCGTCGACATACCCAGCAATCGAACCGAGTTCTTGGTCGACGAGGCAATATAGTTCATACGCGAGACAATGATCTCAAGAATAGGACCACGGTCTCCAGCAAGCAAGTGAATCTCGTCGATGATGACCAAGCTGACCTTTCGGACGTATCCTCTCGTCTGCCAACTACGCGAGATACCGTCCCACTTCTCAGGAGTGGTGATGATGATATCCGCATCCTGGATCGTGCGCGTGTCAGGCGTGTTGTCACCCGTCAGCTCGACCAGCTTCAGACCGAGAGGCTTGGCGAGACGGGCACCCCAGTCCTTGACACGCTCGCGGACAAGCGCCTTCATGGGCGCAATGTAGACCACCTTGGAGCCGGGCCGCTCGCGGAACGCCCACCACATGGCCAGCTCGCAGGCAACAGTCTTGCCACTACCGGTCGGCGATCCCAGAAGGACATTGGCGGGAGTGTGATAGAGGGTGTGGAAGACTTGGGTTTGCATCGGGTTGAAGTACTGGAAGCGCTGGGCGTAGATTTCTTCCAGGCCCGGGTTCTTCAACGCCGAAATGGGCAGAGGTTGCAGGTTCAACAGATCGGTGTAGACGCTTTCTGTGTCTGGGCGGATAAGGTGTTGGAAGGACACCGCTGTTACAGTCTCAGCGCCCAGCCACCGGTCCGAAACCGCCCTCACGTAGATCTGGTTTGGCATCGGATCGGAAAGTGGAATGGTGAAGTTGAGTTCGTGGTCGTCGTGAAGCTTCCTCCTGTTGAGGATGAAGAACTCATGATGATAGATCTCTGACGTCTCCGAGTTCTCGACCCAGATGTAATAGGACTCGGAAGTTCCATGCAAGTGGTCGTTCCAGCGGAAATCCGGAGTGACGTAGAGCTTGATCCTCAGCACGTCCCTATTCAACGGCGCAATCTCCGCCTCGACGCTGAGAGTCGGGAAGTTGTCAAGCAACTTCGTGATCTTGCCGCCCATACGATGGTTGTTGACCAAGCTGCCAATTTCGGCCGGTTCCATTTCTCTCATCGACTCAATGTTGAGGGCCTCCAGTTCGTCGAGTTTGTTGAGCACCGGCCTAGGGAGGTCACGGTCAAACTGATGGAAGGGATGCTGAAAAGCCCAGATGCGCTTTTCGATGGACTTGGCCATGGTGAGCAGGACCAGACACTGGTGACCCCATCGCCGGTTCAGAGCAATCATGAAGAGCGCTCTACAGATACGCCCGGCTTGCTGAGCGACATAGTTGAGGTCGTTCGTTAGAGCGAAATCTTGCGGCTGCGCTCTGGAGATGTACGCTTGAAGCAGGATATTGGTCTTCGTATGCGGCTGATCAATGCCGGTGCTAACTTTGTAAGGTACGAACCTCTCGTCATGCTTCATTGCCATAAGCTCATTTGCTTCCTCGTTCCTAGACTGAATGTTGTCGAACTCGCCACTCATGGCAATCATCTTGAGAATATCTTCCTCGGTCGAGAAAGGCCGCATCATGGAATTGAAGATCTGGACACTGGAGTGCTGGATGTAAAACTGACTGGCAATCCGACCAATATCCTTGCTACGGAGTTCTTCGGTCGTCTCGTTGAAGATGATCATCTGGCTCTGCTGCAGTGTCCTGGCAGCCTGGGTCGCCAGCTGTCGTCGCCTCTGGACCAGCGAGCGGTCATTGTCATATTCGGACCAGTCGATACCGTAGGCCATAGGATTCCGTTTCATGCGTACGAAGAGGTACGAATAACTGATCCACTTGACGGCCTCCGGAATCGAAGTGACAGTGCCCAGGGCAATCTCGGCATTCAAGTTATCGACCAGCTTGGCCGAAAACTTGGATTCAATAGGTAGCTGATCCGTGATCGCAGTGAGGTAGTGTGCAAGCTTGTCGTGCGTGGTGCAAATCATGCCGATACCAGTGTCCTCGAACTGAGGACGACCAGCACGACCGAAGATCTGCAGAACGTCGAGAATGCCCAAGTCAACAAACTTACCATCCTGGGCACTGTACACCTGGGTACCCTTGATGACAACGGCGGCAGCGGGCAAGTTGACACCCCAAGCCAGAGTGGCCGTACAGCAGAGGACCTTGATGACACCCTCGGCAAACAGTCGCTCCATAAGATTCCTATCTGCACGAGCCATGCCGGCATGGTGAATACCCAGGCCCTTGGGAATGAGTTCGCGGATCTCACGAGCCTTGGTTTGCTTGACGTCCCTCATGGCAGCCTCGTACTTCTCGTGGTAGCTGGGATCAAAAAGGTCGGTGCAAGCCTCGTCTGTGGCCTTTTCCAGGAGCATCTTAGCCGTGGCTTGCGTGTCCTTTCTCGAGTGAACGAAAACCATGACTTGGTGGCCACACTCAAGCATGTCCCTGACCTTTTCAAAGGCTACCTGGTCTAGATTCTCCCGAGATTGCTTAGAGTTCGGTTTGCCCTTGACTCCAATGAATTGTTGCTCAAGCGGGACTGGTCTGAAGGAGGCGTCAAAGTAAAAGAGCCCAGCATACTTGTTGACATTCAAGAAGTCCGCTACATCGACGTAATTAGGGAGCGTGGCACTCAACCCAACGATGCGAATGAGAGACTGTGTGCTTTCGACTTGACGCGCCGTTCTTGCCACCAAGGACTCCAAAACCGCGCCTCTCTCGTCGTGAAGCATGTGCACCTCATCGATAATGAGCAAGCGGACCTTTTGTACGAGCTCCGTGTCTCCGGTGCCCTTTCTCGTCACGACATCCCACTTCTCAGGGGTCGTGACAATGATTTGGGTTTGAACAATTTCCGACTTGGTGAGATGCATGTCACCTGTGAACTCACGGCAGCGAATGCCCAACCAGGCCAACCGCTTGCCGAGCTTCTCCGTGATTTCGGCCGCCAGAGCCTTCATGGGAGCAACGTAGACGATTTTGAAATCCTCTGCGGCAACGGCAAAGTCTGTAGCAACGTGATCCTCGAAGGGACTTGGTGTCAAGTACTGACCGACCGTGTGAAGGATGGTCAACATGGCAGCATCGGTTTTACCCTAAAAGCCCAAATTGAGCAAGTCAGCCAACCGAAATTCATCAGAACCGAGAAGAAAATTGAGAAAGACTTACAGCACCAGTAGGAGCACAAATCAACATATTCTCGCTCGTTTTATACGCCACCGGATACACCAAGCTCTGCATCCTATTCAGCGTACTGTACCCCTTAAACGTATTCCTGCACAGTCCATCCATATCCGCGATCTTGACCAGCTGCCTCCCAGGGCCCAGGGTACCCGTCTTGCCCGCCGGGATTGTATACTCCTCGTACTTTTCAAACTCCTTTCTCTCACTCCCAGGGGGCAGCGCATACCGCTTGCCCGAATGGCTCAGCGTGTTGCCCGCGCTGTACGCCCGGTATACATGCGGGTACTCCTCCTCCTTCGCTCGGGCAGCGGCCAGCGGAGTGGACTTGTGCTCATAGTCGCGTTGGCGGAGGGCGGCCTCTCGTTGGGCTTTGCTAAGTAGGCGCAGCCCCCCGTCGCCGCCGTTACTTTGTTGTTGTTGTTGTTGCTCTTGCTGTTGCTTCAGCTGCCGCCCCACAGACGACACTAGCTCCTCCCGATGCGAGAGCAGATCGATGACAAAGTCCAGGTCGTCAAAGCCAACGAGGTCTGTCAGCGAAGACTGCAGCTCATCTTCCGATTTGCCAGAACCCAGGATATCCATGATCTGGTCCTGAAGAGCCCCGGCACCAAGGCCGGCAGCGGACCTGACGTCTGCGCATCGAGAGGCGAGCCAGCCGAAATCGTAGCCGGAGCCGGAGCCGGAGCCACTGGCAAATCCTCCATGCTGAAAAACTCCATCAGCGTTCTCATGGTCATGGTAGTAATCACCACCATCAGTGAACTCGATAGAGTCCAACTCATCGTCCGAGATGAAATCCCAAATGTCTCTGGGACCGTCTCCATTTCTGGTCGGAGAGTAGGTCGAGTCGATCTCGTCGTCATCCCAGTCGCTATTGGTGGTGCTACCGCCGGCTTCACTGGAGGATGGAGGCAGGCCGGCTACGGCTGCCTTCATGGCTTCGATTTGGGCGCGCCATGCTGCGATGTCTAAACCGCCGTCGGTGGAGGGATCGGCGGCCATTTTGGAATTTGTTAAGTGGCTCCTAAGTCTCTTGCCTTGAATTGATGGGTGTTGTTGGAGGGCAGGTATTTTAGCTTCCCCCGAGTATACTGTGTCGTTGCCGTAAGCAAGGTGGTATTGATGTTGTTAAACTGTTGCCCCTCTCTTAGGTATGAACGAGGCACCGACAACCCTTTGAAGACTCTCCTCGGAAATGAGTTTCACTTCCCTGATTCACGCCGGATGAGTCTGTCGCCTTGAAGAAGCAGAGGCGAAGATAATTAAGCGGTTCAAGTAGTGCTGGTCTGGGCAATATGGGGTCCTGCAGTGAGCGTGGTGGCTTCCTCGGCACTGTGTAAACAGTCAGACCGAAGGGACCGACAAGTGGAAGTTGAGCAACGCACAGACCACATCTGTCCCGTTGTTTGTGCTCGTTTCCCGAAAGAGTAAAAGAGCACCTCTTGTGGATTCGTGGCTCATGTCAACAATGTTATCGCTCACGTCATACGTCTTGATACTCTACACTAGCCATGGTTGACCAGGGCGTCCCCATCTTTTCAGGGAATATCTATCTATGTTTTGTTTTATGGGTGTCGTATCGTCATACTTTGGAAATACAGCTAGAAGGGGGGGGCTGCGCACGAAATCTACAAACCAGAAAGAGAAGAACAAAGGGGAAACAGTCAAGAGAGAAGAAAATGAAATATATTAGGAAGAGCCAAAGATCGCACCCAAACTCCGTGACCAGAATGTTTCGTTTCGCTCTCTGCCCCTCGTCCATGCTGCCAACCCAACCTCAATCCATCTATATCGATCAAGCCGGTCGTAATACTCACATGTCTCCGTATCGTCGTTGATGTCCTCAGCTCCCTAGCCTATCCATCCTACCATCCACTGGTTCTACAGCGCAATAATAACAGACCCAATAGCGATAAGCGGAAAATGAGCACGCGTCGCATCATCCGCGCCGCTCCTCCCTGCTGCTCCCGAGTGACAAGAAAGGGGTTTTCAATGAGCCCTCCAGAATAACTAAAGCCGTCTTTTCCTCTTGGACTTTAGCTTCATGACAGCCATAATAAAGTCTTGTGACCGAAGATACCTTCTTTCTCCCCTACACCGCCTCTTTGTTTCCATGCGGTAGACCCGGCCGTGCATGTTGGTGGCCCGCAGGAAGACAGGTGCATGTTCGATAGACGTAGGCTGTAGCCAAGATAGAACTGAATGAGGCCAGACTGCTGTCATCCATACTTGGGGAGGATAAATCGGATCTCGTATCGCCATCGTGATTGTCAGTGGGCCTTTTTTTTTCCCCGCGAGCTCCGGGGTCGGGTTCCGCCGCCACACAACTGATACCCGTTTGGCTTAGCAGCACTTGCCGCCGGATCCTGACCCGCTGTTGTCGCTGACGTTCACGCCCGACGAGCCGCCAGAAGCCTCTTTGCCGGATGTGTCGATGATGCGCTTCTTGATGTCGTTGGCGAGGCTGAAGAAGGCCTCTTCGATGTTGATGTTCGCCTTGGCCGAAACCTCGAGGAAGGGAATGCCAAGTTCGTCGGCTAGCGCTTGGCCCTGTTCCTTGGAAACCGCCCTTTTTTCCTCCCAGTCGCACTTGTTTCCAATGAGAATCTTGTTGACTCCTTCCGTCGCGTGTTGCTCCACGTTGGCGAACCAGGTGCGGATATCTGCGAAGAGAAGGTCACGTCAGCAAAGGAACGAGATAACACATGGCATGGTATCCAATGGGAGACTGCTGATGCCAGAATCTGGAGCAATGGAGAGGCACGGCACCTAGAAGGCACCAATCCATCGCATTTCGAGCGTGACCTCAAGGACCACCTCTTGACCGCAACTGCCATGCCGTTTCAAGCGGGATGGGAATGTGTGTGCACGTACTGTTGAATGACCTTTCATCCGTCACGTCGTAAACGAGAAGAATGCCCATGGCGCCTCTGTAGTATGCCGTCGTGATGGTACGGAAACGCTCTTGACCGGCGGTATCCCATATCTGTAGCTTCACCCGCTTGCCATCGAGTTCGATTGTGCGGATCTTGAAGTCGATACCGATGGTGGTGATAAATGACGGTGTGAATGAGTCTTCGCTAAAGCGCAACAGACAGCAGGACTTGCCAACGCCCGAGTCTCCGATCAAGAGCAGCTTGATCTATGTTGGGAAGCGGTATCTCCGGTCAGCGTCTAGAAACAGAATAACCTCGCCAAACCCACTACGGGGGAGGGGGGGAACAAAAGGAATGTCTAGAGTGCGAGCGGTGAGGTGAAGCAAAGACTCACCAGAAAATCGTAATTCCTGTTACTCGACATGATGAAGAACTGGTGTGGGGGTTAACGCCGCCGCCCGTCGTTTCGATTCCTTGGAATGTTTCTCTGGTTGTTCGGAATCCGGAATTCGGCAAAGGGGATATCAATCGAGATCCGGCGTTTCGAGATCGGGCTGTTGTACACTAGTAGTTGCGGGAAAGGGAATGGGGATGGAGACTGGAGGCTCGAATGGTGGTGGTGATGCGCAGTTCAGGAAACAGGCGACAGAGCAGGAATGATGTTCAGTTGTAAGTAGGTAGTGTAGGTGAGTGAGTGGTGGTGGAATGGTGGTGGTAGTTGAAAGCGTGTCCGCAGTGCGACGTTGACGGGCCTGTCAAAACTGCAGGGCGGTTGCACGGGTTAGTCCAGCGGAGGAGGAGTCGCAGAACGAACAAACAGGCGAGAGCGCGATGGGGTCTCCTACTCCTGCACTAGACTTGGCTGGCCGGCTACTGGGCTGCAGTGTGTACCTGGGCTCTCTCTCCCTCCAACTTTACGGGGCGATGCCGTGCGGAGATCCAATGGAAAGGCGAACAATGACGAGGACGGGGAAGGCAGAAAGGGGTCTTGTAGCTTCCACTTGTTCAAGACCTCCCTGCGTGGAGAGGAAGGAACTGAACCGAGAAAACTGGAATGTCTCAGATGCCCCTGATGTCTGATACTATCTAATCAATGCTAACCTGGGTCCCAAAGCGCAGGGCATGGAACAGTTCAGAGCCCGGGCAACGCGATTACCATACAATGTGAGGGTTGACGCATTTGCCTGAAGTGCTACAGAGTCGCGGACTGTGGAATGGGGGGTTATTTGTGCCCTTTACACCTGTCGGGTACCTCGACTCTAGTGTAGTGGAAGAGCGCTTGTTGCAGCGCGTGATCGTGGTCTAGGGGACGCGACTGTTCGGTACGTAATCGGTCAAGTTTCTAGAACCTACAATCGCCGCAACAACTCCACCTGATATTCCATTCTTTGTGTCCCCTTCAACCTTGCAGTAGACAGAGATACCAATGTGTTATAAATGACAGGATGAGCTCGAAGGACAAGTTGTTGTGCATGGCGCAAAGTGTCTAGGAAACCGGAGTGAGAAAGAGACAACTCAACTGCACTCTCAACGAATGCAACCCAAGATTCAGGAACCAGGGAGGGAGCTCTGCCACAACTAGGATAGTAGACTTGGTTACCTAGTATCTAACGTCGCAGAAGAAGGTGAGCCTCGAGACCACACGAGACCATCCGTTCATTCATCCAACACAAGACCAGCTGTCTTTATTTGTTTGTTTGACTATGAAAATTGATTAAGGGGTTTTCTTGGCTTCTTCAACAAAATGGAGTATCATGAAAGGCCAGCTGAAGCTGCAGACAGTCAGACACAGGCGACTGGGCGGTCTCACAGCAAAATGGTGATAAAGGCGGGCAGGGCGGTGAACAGTCTATACGCACGAGACGCAGTATCCGTTGATGGATCTATAACCCATATTGGCCCAATGATTTCTTCCACCATTCAAAGCCTTTTCCTGCCCTCCCGCCACACGAAAGGCGGCCCCTGGGAGACCCTGCACCCTGGTTATGCCCCTGCGTGAAGCGTGAAAAAGTCCAACAACATGCCCGTGGGGTGTTTTCACACTACGTGGACTAAACGTCGCCGCCTATAGGCACATAGGTATCCACCATGTTTAAGGGGTTAGTAGACAACTCTGTTTTGGTGTTTAGGCCCGGTACTTCCTGCGCCTGCTTACCTCTGCCATATCACCGGCACCATCTCCCTCGTGCATTCTCAAAACTCCAAGTCCCTACAGCTGTTTCATACAAACAGAAGAATCATGAAAGTCTAGTCGTTGTTCACTAAAATACACTGATCATATCACATCACAGCTCAACTAACAATACAAAACGCTTGCCGCCAATCACCAACTCCCGCGCTGGGGATCTAGGGACAGAGGATTGATGAAGCTCTGACAGCCATCTATTTCTTGCCCAGCCAATCGGCGTACGCCCACCGAATCCTCTGCAGAGCCTTTTCTTGAAGAACGACATTCTTCACACTCGTCAAATCCTCCAGATCCTCCAGGAACTCGCGCTGGATGTCTCCAGGGAGCACTTCGGTAGCGAGCTCGCGCAACACATGCGCCTCGCAAAGCAGCAGTCCGCGGTCCTTGTACTTGAGCCCGCCCTTGGGATTGGTAGCGCCCGCAGCCAGGATTCTGTCCATGTTTCTGAGTACCCTGACGATACGACGAACCTTTTCTCCTCTGCGAAGACCCTTGCGGCTGCCAAAGACGGTCCTGAGGTATTGCACGATGCCAATGGAGACTGTGTTTGAGAGTTAGCAGTGGCATTCAACGTTTTCTCAGACAAGATTTGAGCAAAATCACTTACCAACAACCCCGGGCGCCAAACCGACAAACCCAAAGAGCAATTCCTGGCTCTTGAGAAGCGAGTCGATACCACTGATAGCCACCTCTAGATCCACCTTGGTCTTCTGCACTTGGATCAGCAGCGAGCGGACCAGGTCACCGCTGACGGCGCCGACCAAGGGACGACGGAGGCCCTTCTCATAAGCCTTCAAGATAGGCGTAACATCTCCCTCCCTGACCTTTGCACGGATATCAGCAATCTGGAGGTCGGTAACGTTGGGCGACCCGACAGCCACGCTGGGGTTATCCAGCGTGAACTCGACCACCATGCGTTCCAGACTCTCCCTGTCGGCCTTGAGACTGTCGCGGCTCATAATGGCAATCTCGCTGTTGGTGTCATGGCGGATGGTACCGATGACCTTGCGGATGGGTTCGATGACCCAATTGAACCAAAAGTCACGAACGGTAATACCGAGGTTCTGGATCCAGTCGATGATGCTGTCGCGTCTCTTGACGAGGACGTACAAGATGGTTGGAGAGGATACAAGCAAAGCCAGAGTGGGAAGCCAGTACCGGACAACGCGGGACGGCCTTCCGTTTTCGGAAACGTGTTTGGCAACGGCTGTCTTGTGCTGTAGCAAGCTATGGTCCAGAATCTGGATCAAGCGTTCGGCAACAGATGAGACCTTGGGCTTGGAGCTATCGGTAGTGCTGAAAGCGCTCCGAACGTCTCTGGCAACCTTGAAGACGCTGTCCTCGAACACCGAGAGTGGTTCGTTTGTTTCCACCGAGTTGGTCAGAATCGCGTGCATCAGAGCAATGCTATCAACCAGCGTGCTGTCTGCCACCATGAGTCGCGATTCGAGGCCCTTGTCCTCTTCGGCCTTTCGATCAAAGGCAAGCCCTTCGTCCACTAGAATTCCTAGCGCGGCAGCGATCGTCTCCCTGAGCTTTTGGAGCTCTGCTCGCTTTCGGCGAGCTTCAGCGCGGCACAGATCGACTGGAGAGAGAACCTTGCGTCGAAGGTTGGAGACTGAAGTCACATCCATGCTTTGCCGCACGATGGAGTAAAACTGTGACCACTTCTGTGACATTCCCTCACTGAGAGATGCACCCGATTGCGCCGCTTCGACTTCTGACTGCTGCTGCAAGTGAATGTTCCGAATCTGTTCACACACCACATCGTAGACCTCTTTGGCGCGAGACCACGCCCTAGCCGGTGCGATTTGCGTCGCGTACAAACAGCTTTTGAGATACGAACTGAGCACATCGTCCCAGTACCATATCTCATCGCTGAGGGGCATGATTTGGTCAAAGAAGGTGTTCATCAAGATGCCGTAAGTCTGAACCGTAGCCTTGGCCACCAGGAGCCATTCGATATCACGCTCATACTGGCTCTCAACGCCGACCTCTCCCTGCTGGGCAAGTTCCTTCTCCGTGGCCAAAACCGAATCCTCCAGTAGTTGCTTGATACGAGAAGGGGGCAGAAAGGTGCCGGACCGAGAGGCAGTAGACAAAATCCTGGCTATGCGCAAGAGCTCATCGGCACGGGGTGAAGGCGGCTCGCTCACGGCCGTGAGCAACCCCGTCTCTTGTTGATCATGCTCGGCATCCTGGGTCGAGCCGGGCTCCAGTCCCACGATCCTGTCAATGAGTACGTCCAAGTGACGCACCTTGCTGTCAAGAGAAAAGTCATGTTAACACCACCGTCCATCATCGAGACAAACTGACAAGTATGTCCTTATATGAGAGACCCCGGAAGAGTACTGACTCGGCCACAATCGCCATGGTTCGACTGGTTGGTCCCCTAACCCTGCAAACGAATGGTTCTGGGCTTCGGGACAATTACAGCAGCTAATGTAATATGAGGATGGTGGAAAGTTCCGAACTGTTCGGGATTTCGTCTCGCCGGTGCTTGGCTACCAGGCCCTTTCGCCGGAAATACGAAGGGAAGGGTAAGTAAGGTTCGCCCCAAACGGCCTCTCAGCCTCGCTCAAGGACGCGTAAAAGTGGCGATATGGAATCTCGGCAACAACACTGGAAATAGTGACTGGATATGATAAGTGCGATCAGGCCATATGACCGGTACCGGATGTGAAGATTGCCGAGATGGTCAGTTCCTGTTCAAGGCCTCGGGCTGTCACTGTCGAACCCGGAAATATGGGATGAGGTGGGGATGTTTCTTTGGGCTTGACAAGCGGGGCGGGCGGGCATCCGAAACCCACCGAGTGATGATCGATGACAGGATTGGTAAGGCGGGGATGGGAGCCGACTGACTTGCGACTTGGTTCGGCTGCGATCCGGTCAAAGGAGAAATGCGTGGTAAGATGATGACAGTTGAGCCTCATCAATGAATGACCTGATGAGTTGATTACCTGTTGTCGGCAAGTTGTACATGAGTAGTTACCAAGGAAATGTGCTACAGAATATTGTAGAGTCAGGCACAACCAAATGAAGGTCGAATCGAAGCTCAAATGTCAGCCTATGATGTCCAAGGATGGATTGCAAATGCCAAGTCCAACTTTCAAAGGCGGTGACAAATTGCCGATGCCAAAAACCTCAGATTGTCAACCACGGCATTGAATTCGGGGACACAACTCGTAGTTTGGCAATGTTCTCTGACCCATTCCCGAATACCAGATGTTTGGAACCATACCGGACTGTTTGTGAAAGCATCCACGAACGCGCTTTGGGGAAAAAGTGACGATCCCATTTAACGTAGTGTAGCTGCTCCGCTCGCTGTCGCCGCTCAGGTACGTACCGTATGGAAATTACCGATGCCAACTGTGCCAGTTCGCCGTCAGTGGCTCAACGTCCCAATCCAACTGGTCCATCACGCCAACCCCCCTGGCGACCTGATTTGCCTGGGTGGTGCATGGCAGGATGGCAACGAA